AAAATTGAATTTGTTTTCATCAGGTCAAACTTGGTACCGGGTGTTACAGCTGAAATCAATATGAGATACTCTTTTTTATTGTCCTCTGTGTACAAATGGACATAATCTTTAAATAAACCCCTTTTATTGTGTATAAAATTTGCCACCATTTTGAGTGGAGGAGAATCTATAAGTTTACGTTTGGCGGCAGAATGCCTGCCACCACTATCTTCGTTCATCACTTATTAAATTAGAGACTACTAATAATAATTTAAGTACAAAATAATAGAAAAAGGGCTACTTAGAAAGTAATATTTAAATTAGTTAAGGATTTCCCTCACAACAGTTCGAGTGTTCGCGCCCTTTTTTCCTGTTCCACAACTGAAACTCGATGACAGCTGATGTATTTTTTTGAAGTTATACTTCTTTAGGCGCGTTATGAAAAAATTATGAGAGTGAAATTTTAAGATGCGCGCGCATCACTGTAACACAAAATTTTGGTCGCTTTAGCGACCAACTTCATGCGTTACTTTTGTGTTTACCCCACATTAAGAAAATCTACCAACAATATAGAAATAGAATCTCTATTTAGTGGGTGCTAACGACTGCATTGTGAAGGCCTATCAAAAGTATTTATTAATCTGGAACAACGGAACCAAAGCGCGATTCAGGAGACTACAGCGCCATCTCTTGACCATTGGTGTAGTAGAACCAAAAACCACATCTTTATTTTTGGTAATAAAGTAACAAAAAGTATTTATTAATCTGGAACAACGGAACCAAAGCGCGATTCAGGAGACTACAGCGCCATCTCTTGACCATTGGTGTAGTAGAACCAAAAACCACATCTTTATTTTTTGTAATAAAGTAACAGTTAAAGGTATTCTTATTTATAATATTTATCCACATGTTTCTAGTTTGTATATTCGGAATACGTGTTTGAGTTTCATACAAGTGCAAATCACATATGTTCTAATAAATTATATTCAGTAGCGATTTTAATTGAATATTTTGACTATTTATTTATTTTTTCAAATTAAAACTGAACTTTATTGACTGTGTCCTTTTCCAGACTTTTTATTAATTTATTGTAATTAATTATTTGCATGCAATTAAAAACTAATTTTAAACGATGCCAAAGAAGGATAACTTCTCACGCGCCTACTAAGTACACGCACCCATTTTTTTTTTAATTTATTCATGACCATGGATACAAGTCCTTCAGTCGTCAGCTGATGTATATAAGTTTGGTGTTGCCAGACACATGAATAATGTTAGTTCCTCAAACATTCATGTCACGACTTTATAGACAAACTGTAGTCGATGTTTGACTAAATTTTCTGTGTCATTTTCAACCTGTAAATAAATTCGATATTCACAGTACTTACATACATATAAAGTAAATAACAAAAAATAATAAATATATTTACATAAAATATATAGTTATTTTTACTGAATAGGTTATTCCGGACCTACTTACGATTCAATAGGTATATCGATCAGAAATAGGCACCTATTGTTAATAGTTACTTACTTCAAAATGATCTTCACACACATATTTAGTGCTTTTAGGGCCAATTAAATCACGCTTCATTACTTTGCACCACTTTTTCCTTGTTGTTATATTATTTGGTACACAAAAAAAAATATTGGGATTTTTAACTGCTGTGCTTTGACACATAGGAACAATACAATATTTGTAGGCATTTTTTTTAATTTCTGCCATCCGGTAATAAACAAAATGCGAATCAAACGGCGCAAGCAACTACACAACAATACATTCGTACGTACTCAGCGAATACGTGCTGCGTGTCGTCTAGGTCAAATGACGTCACACGATGGAGCGCCGCGTGTAATAAAATTATTCTTGCGAGCGCAACTTCAAAGTCCTGTAACTTTTTAATTTCTTGAGATATTTTATTAATTCTTTCACGTCTTTGTTTTATTTTACTTAAATTTTTATAATTTATGTATATAAAAAAAATGAAAACTTCTTCATTCGAGCCCAGTATTCAAGTTCTAGGTTTGGTATTCGCATGTAGACTCGAATCAAGAACTCAAGTCCTGGACTTGATTCTAGAAATTTGAGTCCAGAACACGAATCCGTTAACGATGTTAGAACTAAAAGGATTAATTGAAATGGAGTAAAGTTCAAACAAACGTAACGGTTGAACGTAATAACATAACATATGAAATGTTTTTAATGAAAATATTTAGAAACATTACAAAAAATATAGAACACACTTGTTTTAGTACACAACAAAAACAGATCTTTTTAAAAGTTACGAACTTCAAATATTTGTTCCATTAGTTTATAACAAACTTTGCAAGTCATATTACTTATTAAAACAGAATCAAATTACACAAACATCCAGGCGAATCAAATAAATTTAAACAATGTTTTTGAATCAAAACTTATACACAATAAAATTTTAGGTTAATTTTAACAAACGAGTCAACGAGTACAAAATTGATTCTTCCTGACTCGAGTACAGGAATTGAGTCTGGCGGACTCAAATCAAAAATAATTGGTATTCGAGAAAGCAAATCCATCCAAGGCAGGAAACGAGTCTGATTCGAGTCAAGCCGTACTCGGAACTAGAGGTGTAAAAGTAACGAAAAAAAAGCGTACCCGTATGTATTCGTTACTTTAACAATTAGTACCCGTTACTATAGTATCGTTACGTTACTCGTTACTTCTCATAAAAAAATCGGTTTTACTATTTTGAAATTTTTAACTGTGAGCTTATGTTATATCACAATAACATCGCAATCCATTATTCATCAATTATAATGATAAAGCAACAAATAGGTGTCGAAAATTATTGTATTGATAATAATACTTAAATAGCATTCTAACGATAAATCAACATAAAAATAGTTTTGCTTAGAATGAAATTAAACATAACGAAAGAAAGAACTACAGCAAAAATCGTTTGTTCTCAAAATAAAATTATAAAAAAAATAAAAATATTTTAAACGAAATCTATCAAGTTGGCTTTTTCGATAAGCTTCTGTGAGGTAGTCAACACGACAATAAATTTCTCACGTCCATTTGACCGGAATAGCGTATACTTTAACGATTCCACTAATTCTTTAGTTACGCAGACGGTTGTAACACAAAATCACACCAATTTTATTTCACAATATCCACTATGAACGAATTTAAGAATAATTAAAATAAGACGCTAACCGCACTCGATGAAATCCCGCCAAAAACTCCAACGTACGTTTTTAAATTCTCCGAATATGCTCGCGCATGCTTAAAACATACGATCAGCAAATGTTTCTATACACACGTCAATTATAAGGCAGGCTTGTTGAAAATATATCGATGTATCGATATATCGATATTTTTTGTTCGATATATCGATATTTGTTGCCGATATATTTTGATTCGATATATCGATACTAAATAACCGATATCGAAATTCGTATCAAAAACGACATTTTTTTAATTATTAGCGGCATATCACGATCTAACTAAATTCGTATCTGGAAAAATCGGAACTGGATCTCAGATTAATGATATTCAACATATCTATGATCTGTGCTGTATTTAGTATTGTCTATTATTTGTAAATCTGTTTCGCTGGTGAATTGGTTGCGCTGAATAGGCTAGTTGACCCTTTTTGGAAAAAGGTTTTAAATGGTTAATAAATGTTCTATTAGACCGAAAAAAAATGTATTGTATTTTTTTGAGACCTAGAAAGCTACAAATCTTCAATTTTAAAATAGACTTTTCATGGACATACAAAAACGCTGTCGGCCATTTTAGTCTATAGATTATCTATGCTATGACGTCGACGGTAGTAAACAAAAACTCGTAAGCACGTAGAAAATAACCCATCTGAGTTTATAATAAAAAAAAACATGATTTCTAATAGATACCACGAAAAATATAGTAATTATCATTATTGTAATGTACGAGAATGTAAAAAAAAACCTTGAAGACTCCAGGAAAGTTGTGGATTAAAGTGCCGAAAGAAATTAACCTACGCAATACCTGGTTAGAACTTGCTAAAAGTGATCCTGCAACTTTATCGACTCATAGTAAAATTTATTTTTGCGAAGATCACTTTGATGTAAGTATTCATTGAATAATATTTTAAGTCTCTTCGTTTATTATCAGTTTTAATAATACAAGTTTTAAAGTTATGTATGAATGACATTTAGTTGTTTACTAAAAGAGACGTCACAATCATGGCGGATGTGGTGAACAGCGTTTTTAGTGTTTAAAAAGTATAGACTAAAAATTATTTTTTTCAAATTAAATTTCTACAGCAATCTTCTGCTTTTATGAAGTGAAATCGATATATTTAGGTTCCCTAGACCAAATACTTTAAGAAATAAAAATTTATTTAATACAATTCGATATGAGTCAACTAGCCTATTCCATTATATTCTGTGGAAGTGTGTGACTGTCTAGCCTTGTTTACGAAAGATGACACCTGAGAGGCTCTGCAATCATTTTCTACATTCGAAAAACGGGTCTACTTTTAGGGATATAATTTTCGTTTCATTATTATTCCGCGTGCCATATTTCGTGAGATACCGTACTGTCATGTAGTGTATCGGCAATTGGGTACTTTGATAATTCTTTCTTTAATTATAATTTGTATTGTTATTATTAATGTGCTAGGCTGACCTAAATATAATTTTGGGAAAATTGGTCCGATATGTCGATGTTTTTTTCGTGATATATCGAAGCCGATATTGATATTTTTTAAAATATCGATGTATCTATATTTTTTTCAACTTTCGACATCCCTAAAACATATAGATAGCCATACTACGAAAAATGCGAGTAACGAAATTTATTTGTGTGTAACGTTTCGTTACACGGTACTAGATGGCGCACCCGTTACTCAGTACCGAAAACATACGGTTTGCTACAGCTCTACTCGGCACATCGCATCGCTATAAACTACAATAAAAATATTTCTCACCCAGAAAGAGATTTTAAAAATTTATTTGAAAAACAAATTTTCCTTCTCTTTTTTCTAAATGAAATTGAAATAATGTATTGTCGCCGTATTTCTGCTCCATGTGTATGTTTTATTGGATAGTTTTGATAAACTAAGTCTATTTACAATTGTTTTCGCTCTTTATTTCAGTAACTTTTATTTAATTTGGTTTGATGCATTAACGTACATTCCTATATTATACTGAGTATGATAAGTTTATTTAATGTCATTAAAATACCGTTTCTTTGAAGTACCTACCTTTAAAAAATTTCAGGTTTTATTATTTCAACGAGTTACATCTAGAAGTCGATTCAATATCAAGCTTCCACAAGAAATAAGACGGTTAGATGTACGATGCCAAAGCACCGTAACCTTGGAAGATAGCTATGTTAAGAAGTTTATGAAGGCTGTTGGCTGGATGGACCCTGCTCGTACAGTTAGTATGAAACCAGATATTCTTTCAGTAGAATATAACTTTAATACACTGATGTTCTCTCTCGTTTTGTTTGTACATAAGTTGACAGTTTACTTCATAATTTTAATTATTTGCTTAAATACACATGTTTAAACCCCTTGATTACCCTCTTCTCTCTCCAAATCTCTAACCCAGTGCCTGTTAAAGTACAGTTTTTTTCTTCTGGGAGCAAAGCAAAATCTAAGAGTGTTTTGGCTGCTAATTTACCTATGTGGATACTAAAACCCTGATAAAACTAAAGGAATTGCAGATATTGTTGCATAGAAGTACTGTTTGGCCATGCTTTTTTATTTTTATAACTTCAATATTTGGCTTGGGGGCCATGATTTGAACAGATGTTTTGTGCTAAGTACTTGAATGGATTACAAATACTTCAAGTGTCTTTCATCAATATCTAATATATGCCACTTTTTAACACAGTAAGAACTACATTTTGGTATTACAAGGGTACACAAAGTTTTAAAAAATATTAGAATTTCTTTAATGGAAATGCTAATATTTGCTTAAGAAAAAATATAAGTAAAGGAATTATCTTAACATTATTGCCTATCAAATTCTAATAATATTTATGTACCTATTACATGTCACTGATGTATGGATGCTGTAACCATTTACCTTCAGACAGGCCACATGATTATTTGCAACATCAGAGGTAAAACTGTACTTTCTGGGCTCAGGAGTTTGACTGACACATCATACTTTTTGTTGAAACACGGGACAAATGTGTGCCGTGCCACTCACATCTATGTGCGGTAAGGTAGTCAAGCCATGACGTTACATGCTCACGCACATTTTACAATCAATATAAAAATCAATACTGAGAGAGTGATATCCCAGGTTATTTTATGAAGTTGCCTACGGGACTAGAAATATCCATTACATAAATAAAAAAAAAATAGAAAATATTCACTTGACCCAAGTTTCAAACGGGATCATAAGATTTAAAAATGTAGCAGTAAGGGGCCGTTCAAGTAGTACGTAAGCAGATTTATTACAATTATTTACCCCCTCCTCCCCCTCGTCAGCAAAAGTAAGCAAAGCCCCCCCATCCTTACATAAACATGCATTTTTCCTTTAATGTATTCTGTTTTTTTTATTGATTCATGAGCTTTCATGAGCTTTCATGAGCTTTCATGAGCTTCATGAGCAGCAGTACTTAAAAAGGCTTAATCGATGATGCTGACGTAATCACCATCTCTACCCCCCACCCCTCCATGTCATCAAAAATAAGCAAAGCAAAGACTCCCCTGCCCCCCTATAGTGCTTACGTAATACTTGAACAGCCCCTAACTTATTATATACTTAAAAAAATATATAAAAAGTTACATGAAACATTACAAAAAAAATTGTCTCTCTAGGTAGGTGTCAACATGGAATGTTCTCATTTTTTCCGTTCTTAAAAAAGAAAGAAGATGAAAATTACTTACTTTACATTCTTTTTTACATGAGTTACCTTTCTGTGCATGCCGTAAGGTAGAAGAACCAATCATGGATGGTTTAAGAATGAAAACGGTGTTTATTTACATTTATTGATTATATTCTTTTGGTATTGGATGAAAGGGTTATATCAGTAAATAAAACATGCTTTTTATAATCGATATATTTGACACAGTATGTTCCTCCAAGGTTTACTTTTAGGATATTTCAAAAATCCAAGACCCCTTATCAAGGACCTATTATGAACAGTTCTAGTCTTGAACACCTAATGTTGAACATTAACTAGTCTTGGACACCTAGTGTTGAACATTTTCTTAACTATTTTTACGCATCCATAATCAAATATTAACGTCAAAAATATGTTCTTACATACCAAAAACTTAAAGATGCAAATCTTTTGACATGATATAAATAAAATATAACTAGAAAAAATTCCACGCGGACCAGGCAGCAGACGGGACTCGAACCCGTATCCTTCGCAATCCGGGCGAATTCACTGACCAATTATGCAACCACGGCCCTGACGGCCGCGTCGAAATTCTTCTAGCCATTGATGCTGCAAGGCATCGCCATTTCTTCGCATTGTAGGTAACCCACAATGTCAAATGAATACTTTTACAAGTATCTTCCAGTTGCCAGGTCCTGCAAATAAGTTTTTTTAGTATACTTCCTCGCACTGTACACGAGCATTTACACCAACATTATCGAACATTTTTTTGCAATGTGTTATGATAATATTTGTTATTATTTTAGCTTATTGTAATAAGTAGTTAACAATGTAAACTTACCTGAGAACGTAAAATTCAATCCAATTACGGCTGTTATATAACAGATAAGAATAATTATACAACTGAAGAAGGCCACGTTAAATACAACCAAAGAAAAGTTGACAATTTGAAACTTATTTTTGAAAACCTGCAAACTTTTTTATTTTTTATAGATGCGAGTGACCTCTTAATTAATTTTATAGCACAGTGTGACCTAAACCCGCACTTTACGCACGCTTTTCCGTGACCTAAGTTGCCTATTTCTGCACGGTGTGTAAATGAATTGACCAACTTCACTCATGTAGAATTAGTACATTACGATACGCGTACCTTAACTTTACTATGCCAATCAAGGAATAAACGTTCATGGATACATTGAAATTCTATTTTGTTGTAATGATATTTGATTTTTTCCTTTTGAAATATACTTTCAAAATGGTAATCTGAACTGGAATTCTTTCTTTTCAGAGTTTGACTTGCAGTCTGTATTGCAATTCTTTGTGATTGCAATACATGAATTTTACTTTCAAAACACTAATCGCATCCCCGGCCCCCCGAGGCAACTTAGGTCACGCGTATCGTAATGTACTATTAACTAAACATTTTGAGTTGACATTCGTGATTACGTTCAGAAATTGAATAGGTGTACACACGTGGGTACAGAGGGCGGTAATGGGTTTAATGTAATTTTTCAGAGATTAAAATTGACGGGCTACTTCCTCTACGAATCAGTGCCAGACAAAGTTGTTTACACGGAATGGTTTGAGCAATTACAGCTGCCCGACACATTTGTATCTTGGTTCGCGGTGACTGAATTGCATGTGTGGATGCTTATGGTTCGTTATATGGCTGAAGATATTGCAACGCCAATCAAAGACAAGAAACAGTACATCAAAGGCGATGGCCATTTTGTTAGAAATTGTATCATAGAAGCACTATGGGCAGATGTAGCAAATAAAATTAAGCTGCTAGAAGTAAGTTTAATAACTTAGTGACCAATTTAAATGCTTTATCGCCATTGTACTGTCAGTCACATATTTCTTATAATCTGATTACAGGGTGCTAATCCTGCCATTGCTAGAAAACAAGTAGCAGAATTGTCGGAACAATTTCAAGCTGCTCTAATAGCTTATGATGAAGGTCTGAGTGATGACAAAGTACTGGCTGCTGCAATATGGAGGCGATTTTACTCATTATCTGAAGACACTAAAGCTGAAAATATTGAAAGGATAGTCCATTACATAAGACATCAAGTAAGTATAAGTTCTGTATAAAAACCTTTTGTCATGTTCTTCAATGGAAAAGAAAAGTCAAACTCATATCAGACGGCGTTGCATTCCTATAACCCAAAACAATTTACGACATCTGTGAAACAGATACAAAAAATTGTTAAAAGTACATTTTATTTTTTTATGTAAAATGCTGTGTGTGGTAATTTTATTGTAATATACATTAAATCTTCAACGAATGCAGCCGAACGCGCTAGCCACCTGCGCCATCGAGCTCCTCCTAGCAACTTTCGTAGTGGTCGGTCATTGGATGGGTGACCAAAAATTTACTATTTCGAGCTCCTCCGTGCTTCGGAAGGCACGTTAAGCCGTTGGTCCCGGCTGCATTTGCAGTCGTTAGCACCCACCAATCCGCACTGGGCCCGCGTGGCCCAATCTCCCTATTCCATCCATAGGGTGCCCCAGCTGTGGGGACATTAATAGGCTGATGATGATGATGATACATTAAATCACTACTTTTGCCAAGATGAGTGACTGAAAAAGCTATAAGTTAAGGAATAAGAATTTTCAGTCTAGTGCATGCAGGGTGTTATTTTGATGTCTCGAGATTCAGTTTCAGTCAGTTTCATCCCCATTGTTTTCTGGACATATTTCAATAATCAGTAAAATTAAACTTAGTGTGAAAAAAAACGACAATATTCATTATAATTTTTATATTTTGCTAAGGGTAATATTGTTTGTTTCTGTTGCAGTTGTCTCTCTTGGATAAAATACCCAGCGAAAATTTGAAATTTAGACCAAATATTGATTGGTTAAGCATACTCAACCACTAGCTCGTAAGTTTCAGTTTTTGTTAAACAGTTGTTGTCATATATTAATTAGTACAATAATAAATTAGTCTTTGTTATTATAAACAATCTTGATCATTAATTTTATCAAAACTAACACGATTATTTAGTGGAAAAAAATAGTTCCCTTAGTTCTTCACATCTTTGTCTTTCACCAAGAACAGTTACAACAGTTTTGCATAGATTGTTAATTTTGCAATTATCATCGCACCGAGCCTGCCGATAATCGCTTATCTTTGAATAAAAGGCTGAATATAAATCTAGCATCTTAGGTTGATCTGTAACCATGGAGTAAACTAAATCATTCATTGACTTGGCAGATAGATCGTTAAGAGTAAAACTGTTCTTCATATCATATAGCAGGAACCATTTTGGTCTCTTATCCGGGGTTAGGTTTGCTTCAGTAAGATTATAAACGTAATTTACAATGTTGTCAGGCATCTGTAACATATAAAAGCATAATATTTAGTTTATAAAATAACTAATGAATGACAAACAGAAAAAACTGAACATTCTGTTAAATTGGCACAGTTTTACTTTTGATACTAGGTAAGAGTAGTTGTTCCTTGTTTTTTTGTGGTTGACCGGAAGTGGCTGTTATTTATTTCCCAACAGACGCTACAATTCAAGCCTGAAATCCTAAACAAGTGCAGATGTCGCTGCAGTTTCACCCTTACGCCGTATTGCTTAAGGCTCATATTAGAATGAATATCACCATTCGACCTATATATTATTTTTAACGTTGCGACCCGCGGCGCTCCGATAAAATGTGTACCCTTATCACGAACCAATATTGACTTCGAATAGTTTGCGAGTGCGAAATGTCATTGTCAAATATGTACTGTTTTTTAGTTCTTGTTACGTCCGTTGTGGATTTTACTTCTTACTAAATTAAACGTTTTACCTTAGTTATATTATTTAATACTGATATTAATAATACAATTCAGTAAGCAGGAGCGCAAGTAAGGTTACCATTTAGTTTTTTTTTTTATATAGCCAGGTTGGCAAATGACTCTACCCCACCTGATGTTAAGTGGTTTACCTAATATCAAAAGTCCTGACAAAAATTCTCACATTTGGAAAAAAGTCCGGCTGTTTTAGTCACAAAATGCAAACTTTAATTACTTAGTTACAATGGTACCTCTGGCATTTGACTTAATATGTAGTTTTATTATTCATATACAATGTAATTAAAAAAATCCGGACAATTTAATGAGGCGGACAAAGTCCGGATTATAACCTACGGATAAACGGGTAACCCTAAGCGCATTTATGTAAAATATATATTTATTTACTATGATTCCTTTCGAAACTTACCAATGTTTCGGTGTCTAATATTACAATTTTGTAGTTGAGATTATAAAAAGTGTAGGATGTTACACTGCCACCTCCCCAAGCCATGTTGATGGGAGTGTTATTTGGACTGTAGAAAATTTTAAACTCGTCTGAATGCGTGTGACCATTGAATTCGGCTGCTATTGTTGCAGAGAATCTATAAAAAAGTATAATATCATTTATTAATACATTCAAGCCTTCCTCTTCAAACATAGTAAGAATACTAATTTTGAAATTGCGAAGACACGTCAGGCCAACAGTAAAGTCCAAGGCATAATCATAATTCCCTTTAAGGAATCGATAGCTGACAAAAGTATCTCTAACGGATTTTATGGTTTTCTGTCGCTTTATTAGTTTTCTGCACTAAGGTATTGATAGCTATTAAACTTTCAGTAAATTAAATTATAGAATTGATTGAAAATGCGCACCTATTAACAATTTTATTATATTCTCTCGTCCAAGTATAAGTTAAGTCATGGACGCCAGGCGGGATATGCGCTATAATGTGAACTTTTTCTCCTTGCGATTCTGCCTTATACAACTCTTCAACTAACCAATCCAAGTGACGTTTAGCATCGAGAGGATCGTAGACTAACCACCTGAAAACAATTTGATCATAAATTGTATACAAAGGCGGTTACGGTTTTAACAACTTGGCATCACTTTTATTTTTAAGCTGTATTTGTAGTTTAATTTGACTACCACTTCCTAGCTGCTGTAAGATAAGAGTTATGTACCTAAATTAATTAAAATTCTTGATTCATATACTGTTATTAATTAATAGGTAGGTTAATTTCATGTTATTGATAATAAGGTAGTTATTTCTTTAAATCAGAAGATAAAAGATACAATCAGTGCATACCAGTTGTGTCGATAAGCGACATTGTTATTGAGTGATATGACTCTTAGTCCAGGTCTTACTACTACAGAGAATTCCCCACGTTCCAGTAAAGTTGCCTTCGCGTCATCTGTCAAGTAATGACCCCATTTCTCTGAAAGGGCCTTGTAGAGCCATGTCGTATTTAATTCAGGTGCAGTTACTGATGATGGGGCGAATCTAAAATAAAATACTATTATTTCATTCATTAGATATGTAATCATGTTTTATTTAACAACAATAACAGCTTCAAAACAAATGAAATATTAGGTCCTTACATATGAAATTATCGTTTTCTTTCGTGGTATTGATCACTTTGATCTGAGATATCTTTGGTTTTCGATCTAAATATTCTTTGGTTCGGAATTCCAAATTCAAATTTATAATTTCATTTAGCTGGTATATGTGAGTTTTGAAAACAGTCATTCATTTTTGTTTCTTAGGTTTTCACGCACATCACTCATTAAATAAAACTAGTTTTTACGGGTTAATGCACGAAACTCTCCTACATCGGGCAAACAAAGAGGAGTATAGGGACTCGGGTAAAAGAACATATCGCAGATATGAAACATAGGCCCGAAAATAAGTCTGCAGTGTGTGAACATGCATTAGGGGGACCAAACCATTAATTAGATTTGATAAACCACAGATCCTTGCAACTGAGCAACGATTCGTTCCTACAATGATACGCGAGGCTATTGAGATTAAAATATATCCAAATTTCAATAGGGAAGATGGTTTGTATATACCATCAGCTTGGGAACCCATTATACAGGAGATATAATCCCAACCCCGAGCACACACTGCAAGACCAACAGATACTATTAGTTCTTTTTGTTTGCATAATTTAACATAAGAAGGAGATAGAAAGTCTCTCTTGAGTTTGTTTTGCCGGTTCTTCTCAGAAAGGTCTCCCAATTTTGGAACCGGTGGTAATTTACGGTAGTTAGGGTCAAATAAATAAACTCAAAATTACAAAAAAGAATTTTAAATAAAATAGCTCGACAAATTAAATAAAAGTTTGATTCTGACGACGTAGCCTGTAAAGGCTACGAAACGTCAATAAATAATAGAAAGTTTCGTGCATTAACCCGTAAAAACTATTTTTAGTCATTCATTTATTTTTTTCCTCATTATTTTTTTCGTCGCTTATTACCGCACAATGGAAAACATGAAGTATCGGAATATTTACGAGTACGAGTTCCATCGTGGCACCAGTGCTGCAGAAACAGCTCGAAGAATTAATGATGTGTACGGCGCTGATGTCGTAAAAGAAAGCACGTTACGTTTTTGGTTTCAATGTTTTCGTTCTAGATATTTCGACCTTCAGCACCAACCCCGTGGACGACCGGAGACCAAAGTGGAAAATGAAGAATAAAAGGCAATTGTGGAAGCGGATCCATCACAAAGCTGATAGCTGCAGGCTTCGGGGAAAGTGACAAAACTGTTTTAATCCACTTGAAGCAAATTGGGAAAGTAAAAAAACTTGTACGATGGGTACCTCATGAATTGAGTGAATCGAACTTGCAAACACGCGTCGACTGCTGTGTTACTTTGCTCAAACGACAAGTGGATACTACTACTATAAACAGTCACATAAAATGAAAAATGGTGTAAGGAACTTTAACACGATGTTCGATTATCTAGACAATGATTCCTCACACGACATATTTCGCCAACTTATTTTTTTTTATTTCTCACAATATGGCGCCTAATGTCCCCATATTGAATTTTGATTAATATCATATCTGTAGTAGCACTCCCATGATTTAGACGAATCGATTGACGTATGAATCATCAAACTCCACATTTCCAAGTAAAATAGGTATGGAAACAGTGTCAAAGGCCTTGGAAAGATCCAGAAATATACCTATATTCTTAAGCTTTCTGTTCAAGCACTTAGCCACAGTATCAGTTAACTCTAAAACAGCGTCTTTTTCTAAACTGAATAGTTTACCCGAGAGACACTTCCAAAGTGGTAAAATGGGTGTCACCCCCCCCCCCCCCCCCCTGTAACTTCTAAAATAAGAGAATGATAAAAGTAAAAAAAAAAATATATGGTGTACAAACTTCCACCGAAAATTGGTTTGAACGAGATCTAGTAAGTAGTTTTTTTAATACGTCATAAATCGTAAACAGCTATTTACCTTTCATTCAATCAACTCAAATATAAAAAAAAACATTTAATTTCATAAACATAAACGTGATGTTAAAATAAGTAAATAATAATAATAATTCGCGCGGGGCGTGGCTTGATCGGTAGCGGGTGCAGAGCGCAGGGGCAGGTTTTATATTATGTGCTGTTACAGAACCCTTCATGGGTGAGTCCGACTCGCAATTGGCCGCTTTTTATTTAATAGGTATGTATGTACTAGCAGAAGAGTTAATGTTAAAAATCAATATCAAAATTATCAAAATGAAAGCAAAATGATCATAGTTATCTTTAATATCAGCTATAACTTACTGATTTGTTGGTTGAGCTTCATGATTACCAATAGTAGGAACAACCATTACATCATCTCCGAAAGTGTTTTGGATCTTCTCAATCAAATGACGGTTCATGTTGTTGATCAGTTCATAAGAGGTCTCCCAAACACCATGGTCTATTGTATCTCCTATATAATACACCATATCTATATCCTTTAAAAATATTGTTTAGTTAATTTATAAAACTAGAATTTCACTTTTTAATTATGGTTATGTTTCAGCAACAGAACCCTAATACATACTAAATCTCTACAGTTAAAGAATATTTTTTTAAAGAAAATTGTATATATTCATTTAAGTCCTAATATTTTGCATTTTCTACATTAGAAAATCGCGGGCCGCTTAATTGAGTAAAAAAATAAAGGTTTGATAACTTTATCCTCAGACTTTCGATTTAGGCTGTTATTGACTCATAACAATACCGAATGAAAATAATCAGGCAGCGTGAGGTTCGTGTCGAATTGCAATCACTCGACGTCCGGAAAGCTAGTGGACCTGATGGCATCCCAGCAGTAGTATTGAAAAAATGTGCAGCGGAGTTGTCTCCCGTGCTCAGGCGCTTGTACCAATGCTCGTATTGTTTGGGGCGTGTGCCGGAGACTTGGAGAGATGCTAACGTGCAACCGGTGCCCAAAAAAGGGATCGCTCAGACCCGGCAAACTACCGGCCAATAGCAGTCACCTCACTTTTATGTAAAGTTCTAGAAAAGGTCCTTAATAACCATCTGACCCGCTACCTAGAGGATCACTCCCTGATCAATGATCGTCAATATGGTTTTAGACCGAAACTCCGTCCTATCCCCCACTCTCTTTCTGCTGTATATCAATGACTTGATTCCTCTTGGGAATATTCATTGCTATGCAGACGATAGTACAGTGCATGCGGGGTATCTCGGACAAGCAGCGGCTGGGCAGGCGGTAACCAAGGAGAAACGGGAGAATCTTGTCATTGAGCTCATCAGGCTTTGGACCACATTTCCGAATGGGGTACCAGGAACTTGGTTTGATTTCAATGCCAAGAACACTCAGGCTTGCGCTTTCACGGCAAAAACATCGCCATTCCTTCCCCTTCCCTCTCTTCAGGGCACAACACTACCGCTACAGAGCAACATTTCCATGCTCGGTATGGAAGTTCGCTCAGACCTGAATCCAAAGGACTACATCGAAACCGTGATCAAAACAGCTTCACGCAAACTCGGAGTTCTGAACAAGGTGCGGCGTTTTTTCACGCCCGATCAACTGTGCTTGTTGTAAAAAACGCAAGTGCGGTCCTGCGTGGAATATTGCTCGCACCTCTGGGATGGCTCCACCAAGTACTTGCTCGATGCTTTGGATAGGTTACAGCGGTGCGCGACCCGCATCATAGGCGATGAGGAGGTGACTAAACACCTTGAGTCTCTTCAATTACGCCGTGTAGTGGCGTCACTAAGCGCGTTCTATCGTCTGTACCACGGCGAGTGTTCTGAGGAGTTATTCTCTCTTATCCCATCTTCCCCTTTCCTTCAGAGGACCACGCGCGCTAGCCTACGTTGTCACTGTCTTACTGTGGCCACAATTCCAACGCGTACAAAGAAATTTGGTGACTCATTTCTTTGTCGCACTATCCGTAAATGGAATGCTCTGCCCGCTCACGTGTTCTCTCCCTCTTACAACCTGGGGTCCTTTAAAAGAGGCGCGAAGAAGCAACATGCAGGCCGGCAGGGTGAGGATGGCTGGGTAGAACTGCTGTATCAGCTATCTTCGCGTCAGGACTTCACCTTCACTTAACATCAAGTGGGGTGGAGTCATTTGTCGGACCTATCTATAAAAAAAAATACAAAGTATTAAATAAAGCTTATCTATCATCATCTTCAAACTCACATTGTGGTTCTCCTTGATAGTGTCAATCGCGTCATCATAAGCCCAAATAGGAGTATCGCAATTTCTATAATCACCCCAATATCCAGCCGGGTCCGAGTTACGGGGTTTTTGATATCTCGTGCGGGACGATTTCTTATGTTCTCGAACCTTCGTTGCAACACTAAGATCTAACATTTTTTCTCCGTTGTTAGTTATTACACTTTCTTCGAATAATGATTCATCCACATTTGATTGGTAAGAGAAGGCCCTTCCTTGCGTCTGACCTATTCTACAACACGTAGGTTCGCCACAATCTGCCACGCCGAACGGTTCGTATAGTGGGTCAATGTGAGCGTCTGTTATAACTGCTATTTTGAAAGGTTTTCCATCATAAACTTTTGCCTGAAATATTCGAAAGCATTACAAACCGATGTCACAATTTAACCAAGAACCTAGTCATGTTCTTTGAATAAGCCAAAGACTTACCGGAATGGGCTCTCTCTTCTCTGGCAATTCCACTTGCCATTCAAACCTCGAGTCTTGGTGTGGGCAAACGTTAGGATCTTGCGCAGATTGCAGTACAATGCTACAAAATGTTTGAGGTGAGGCTTCAGGCGTGGTTCTTATGATGTAAGTTAAAATTGGCTTAAAATAAAACAGTTTGCTATCAATAGATTCAGGTAGAGAAGAAATTATAAACGAAGTATTTAACCCTTTACATTCATAAACGGAAACAAAAGATACATGAGTTTTGCATTCAAGAGCAGTGACATTTGCGTTCGAATCGATGTGCAAGATTGTATAAGTTTAGTAGACTACATCTTATGCTAGCAATGTTAGGTATATTTCTATTTGCATTTGCTATTTATAAACTTGACAGTACTATATCATGCTTTAATTAGGAAACGAATGGAAAGACTATTGTCAAATTTGCAATTTGCAAATACTAATAGCCATTAGCCATGTGGGGTGCTAGCATTATAAAAAAACTGTAGAGCCAAATAACTCTTTTAAGTTGTAAGTTTGTAGTAATGACCAGATATTCGTGTGGCGGGATGTCTCAACGCAAGCATAATTCTTAGACACTAGTGACTGCTTGCAATCGTGATTTTTAGTCATCCCTTTGGTATCAAGAGAATCAAATTATTGTTTACAAATACTGCTGCTTATGCCAGCATTTCAATTGGCTCTTCGTATTTGGTATTTGTAAACTTGACAACAGTCTGTCCTTATCAAGCTTAATAAGGAGTGAAAATGAAAGACTGATGTTAAGTTCACAAATACCAAACAGAAATAATAGCCAACTGAAGTGCCGGCAGCATTATATATAACAGTTAAAAGTCTTGAAATTAAAAGTGACATCATACTTATAGCCACCAAAAACTTACCATGTTGAGTGCAACAGCACCTCTGCATACGTTGTGATTTTCGATGCCTAAGTTAACGCATAGAGTAGTAATTATGTGGGTTAGCTGTTCGTTTGTCTGGCCATTTAGAACTCCTGTAAATAGTGTTCTGAATGCGCTGCGACAGACAAGGCAATCAAGAGCCTGAAATAAAATAGCACATTGGTAAAAAGAATTAGAAAGCAAATAAACATTTGTTGAGTGTTATTGCTATAGCAACTAGATTTATCTTGTGTATCGATGCTAATACATAGTTATGCATACAAAATATTGCTAAATTAGTGTATTTATTACTGTATCTGTAGATACCTATTTATCTACCTTAGTTTTTTCGTTGTGGTTTTATATTAGTATCTACTCGTACCAGCTATCTTCGCGTCTGGACTCCACCGTCACTTAGCATCAGTGTACCCCAAACACGAACTTTGACAGATCCGTATTCGTATCGCCACTGCCAAAGTTTCTATAGGTAAAGGCAGTTTGATTTTACGTCCAGTAGGGGCGCTGCTTAGTTTCCATAGAAACTTTGATGTTGGCGATACGATTACGGATCTGTCAAAGTTCATACTTGGGCTACAGGTGCGTTGGAGTCATATATTGGACCTTTTCTATCATGCGAATTATCAAACAAATCTTGAAAAATGAGGGATTGTAGTTATTGTTGTAAACATTTTTTTTATAGTCATAACATCCTACTTCCTACTAATATTGTAAATGTGAAAATTTGTATGTTTGTTATGCCGGCATTTCACTTGGCTATATATATTTGCTATTTGTAAACTTGACAGCAGGTCTGTCCTTAGCATGCTTTATAAGGAATGAAAAAGATATAGACTGATGTCAAGTTTACAAATAAAAAACTAGAATAGCCATGTGAAGTGGCGGGATTACTCAATCACGCAAAAACTGTCAAACGGATTTACTAAAAATTAACAATGTTATACACTAAAACTATGTTAAATCCTTATTTTATTGTGATGAAACGTAACCTTGACTTGCTGCGGTCTCTGAGAATGACCATTAAACCAGAGGAGGAATAAAATCCACATTATTACTAATAATAACGTCATCCAAATACTTGTGCCCTATAAAAACCTAAATTAACTCTTTATGTTTTTAACTTAGTTTTTTTGACAATTTAGCCACAAAGAGAACATTGTATAGCAAAATTGCGTCATTCGAATTGGGCTCTACATATCAACAGTTAATATATATTGATTAGGGAATCGGCACCATTAAACATTCTCCGTCATAGCTTTACGTTCCGGGCACACTCCAGTGAAATCCAAGTGGCAAATGAATCTTCTATTTTCCCACATAATGCCACAAACTGATGATGATCAAATCCTATGAGGTATTAGCTAGGCTTTATTTTTTTAACTCTTGTATTTTTTTTACACTAAAGTGGTAAATTATTTCAACAACAAATAATATACATTCATACAACTTTTTCACGCGCCTTTTTTTTGAGAAATGATACTCCACTTTCTTAAATTCACTTCCACTCTCCATACACAATTCATACTCTTAAATATTAATTTCAAATAATAAAAATTAAAGATGAATGCAAGTGCTAAGAGAACTTTAAGGGCACATAGTTACCAATCTTATTTCACTCGTGTTTTCAATCCATTTTTCGGTGACAGGTTCAGGTCTATATAGAATCTCCAACACATTGGTTAAAATTGTTTTATCTTTTTCTGATAATTCTCCCAATGCAAATTTGGTTAACAGAGTTTCAGCATCATCTAAAAATAAAGAAAATCACGAATTGATACAACAATAGATATCGTATAAAAAAGTTTTCAAAATCTTAGATGTATTGTTCTAGTGTAGGTAGGTGATTGATATTAATTCTTAGTGATAAATTAGTAGACATTTATGTTAAACGGAATAAACAATAAAAGAATATATTTATGAAAAACATATAATACTTACTGAATGTAATAAGATGGCTAGCTACACTTGAGCTTAATAACATACAAAATAACACCAACACCTTCATCTTTCCCGCCTCCGTGATCACCACTAAATGATAAAAGTTAAATCACCTTTTTATAAAGGTTTGTTCACGCACTCAAAACGCCCACATTCCAGGCAAATGCTTTTAATTGTTTGCCGTCATTACGCGGTAGTTTATTATACGGGTACTTATTTAATACTACACAGATACCCCCGCAAAAAATCATGAACATATTGTTACATCTCCATACGAGGTTAAATGAGATAAAATTACGGATAAGATTTACTCCATCTTCTCAAACACTTTAAGATAGATAGGTAACTAGAGCCAATATAAATAACACCTGAGTAATAAGCGCTACTCAACTATTATCTCATGATGACAATTGAAATCAACAATGATAATCACTCTTTATGTTCAAAACTAAAAACAATAATATATATTTATTGAGTTGAATGTCATTTCATTGGAGATAAGATTTCTTATCCGATCAAATTAAGTAGATATTAAAACCATGTGTTCATTTCATTAATTGATAAATTTTACGTAACTTACCTACTTTTTATTTTGATCTTTTCAAAACACCACTAATTCTAAAACAGTTTTTTGTACAAAACTTATTAAAGACGAAAAAGCTCAGGGGCGCGGCGTTGCAAAACTATGGTAATCTACAGTGCCCCTAGCACGAACCAATATCGAATTCGTATCGTTTGCGAATCCGAAATGTCATTGTCAAATGTGTACTGATTTTTAGTTCTCGTTACGTACTGTGTGCCGCTGCTGTTCAAATTTAACATTGACATTTACAAAATTTGACATTGACATTTCGGTTGTTCAACAAATAGTAACAGAACCTACTAGAGAATCCTCATGTATAGACTTAGTATTTATAAATTTTTCAAATCAAAATAACATGTTAAAAGAACAAGAGTTTGGTTTTTCTGATCATAAAGGAGTTCTTTTTTGCACATCTTTGGGAACGAAAACCTCAAAACAATTTAAGACAGTTAAACGGATATTTAGCAACACCAACATGAATAAATTTAAAATTGAACTACAAAAAGTCAACTGCATAGATATACTAAAAATAGAAAACAATATAAACGAAATTTACAATGCCTTCAATAAAATTATTCAAAAAATATTAAATATGTGTATTCCGAAAAAAGAAATTAAATTAAATAACAAACAAAAAAAAAATATAAAACTTCAGGGTTAAAAATATCAAGAAAACATAAAAGATTATTAAAAATACTTAAAACTCACGCAAAAAGTGAAATTTTAAATATTTACTATAAAACATATACTAAAACCCTTAAAAAAGCTTTTCAAATGTATAAAAAATTATATAATATAAACAAATACGAAAATTCCAATAACAAAAGTCGAGCTATGTGGCAAATAATTAAAAAAGAAACAAATCAAGCAACCCGAAAATTCAACCAAAATATAATTCTAAATCAAAATAAATGTTTTGTTTATGCTCCAAAAGTAATAGCTAATATATTCAATACATATTTTACAGCAATCAGTAACAACAAAGTAGATTCTTGTACGCCTGAAAGTCCTAGAGGTCCTAGTAATACTATACATACTCTATACTTACATGATGTGGAACATAAAGAAACATTTAAAATCTTAAAAAATCTCAAACCTAAAATCTCTTTTGGTATCGATGAAATTCCCCCCCGCTTAGTTAAAAATTGTGCAAGTGAGTTGACCATACCAATAACGAAACTAATCAACCAATCATTCCGGGAAGGTATTTTTCCAGATGCCTTGAAAATATCCTTAGTTAGACCTATTCATAAAAAAGGAGACAGGACTGATTCGTCTAACTATCGTCCTATAGCTTTACTACCTACATTTGCAAAAAATATAGAGACAGCAATGACAAACCGGCTTTATAGCTTCTTTGAAAAGTTTAAAATTTTACACGATAGTCAATATGGCTTTCGAAAAAACCGATCTACTACTTTGGCCATTTACACATTCATGCAAAAAATAATAGAAGCGATAAATAACAAAGAGTATGCTATTGGTCTATTGCTTGACATGAGCAAAGCCTATGACAGAGTTAATTATAAAATCCTATTGCAAAAACTCTATAGACTAGGAATACGAGGAAAAGCGCACGATTGGTTACATTCATATCTTGAAAATCGTAAATCATAAGCGTATCATTCGCGGATGACATATCCATAATACTAACTTGTAAAGATACTGAATCTCTAAAAAAAGACCTTAACGCTATATTAGATGATACTACAGACTGGTTAAATAAAAACAACCTACAGTTAAACCTTAAAAAAACTAAACTACTTCAGTTTAAGCCGTATCAAAAAGCACCATTAGATTTAAACTATACATATAAATCAACTAAAATAGAAACTGTCCAAAATACTACTTTATTGGGAATAGAAATTGATACACATATTACCTGGAAACACCATATACAAATGTTGTCAAATAAATTATCGACCTTTATCTATGCCCTTCGACAATTAAAAAAAGTTACTTGTCAGAAAACTGCACTGGCAGCATATTATGCTTCCGCACACTCCAGACTATCTTACGGAATTATACTATGGGGAAATTGTACTGGTATTCAGGACATTTTCGTACTTCAGAAGCGGTGTCTGAGGATCATAACAAACATAGATCAAATGGAGTCTTGTAAACCATATTTTATTCGATTAAATATTTTGACCCTCACTTGCATTTATATATTTGAAGCCTGTAAGTTTATTAAAAAACATTATGAATTATACTCACCTGTGAAAAAAGTTAGACGCAATAATCGATACCAAAATAAACTTAAATTACCTAATACGACATTAAAGATGTATTCGTCTGCTCCGCATGCAATGTTAATAAAAATATACAAACATCTACCAAATAGTTTAAAATGTACAACTGAAAATAAAATATTTGAAAAACAGCTTAAAAATTTTCTAATAAATAAAAGTTACTATAATATTTCTGAATATTTTAATGACAATTTTTTATAATATAATAAATATTAATAATAATGTAACAAATTAATAAATATAATTAATACTTGAATAAAATTCTAGTTAATATAATAGTTGTACACTCTAATAATATCTAAATGTTATCATATATTTGGAATCATTATATTTTTGTTTTTTTTTCTAGTAAAAATAATAATAATAATTACTTTACAATTATAAATCTAGCAGTTAAATGCTTAAAATAAATTTAAACGTTCTTGTTCAACGGATATAATTGTATTAAATATTATTATTAACTATGTTTATGTATAAATAAATTGCAAACACCCTTGCAGGGTGTCACATGTACTATTATAATATATTACTAAATTGTCATCTTTTAACCATGTGACTATGCAATAAAGAATTTGAATTGAATTGAAATTGGTTTGCAAACTATTGGAATTCGATAATGGTTCGTGCTAGGGGTACAGAGCAGACCTTAGATCATCTATACAAAATGCTTTAAGAAGCAGACTCATCACAGTTTACATTATAAAAAAAATACGATATGTTATATCCTTAACATTCTTTACAGTGATTATGGATTAGCTTATAAGAAAAAGTTTATTTTGTGGTTTTGTTTTTTAATTACTTATGCTTTTTTTAGTCATTGGTGGGTGGTTAAGCAAATTCCGATACATCGACTCGTAAGGTCTCTTCTGTCTTAGCTATTTTATGAATTCTGTTACTAGCTCTTCACATTTTCGACGATCCCAGAGCACAGTGACAACAGTTTGGCACAGCAAATCAGTTTTACATGCATCATTGCAATTGGGCCAAAGTACGTCACTCATTTTCGAATGGAAGGCCGCATATCGATCTAGTAATTGCTGTTGATCTGTTACCATTGATTGTACTAAGTTGTTCATTGTCTTTGGTGAAAGATCCCCTATTCCGAAGCTGTCGGTCATATTGTATAGTAGGAACCAACGTGGTCTCTTCTTGGGCGTTAGGTTTGCTTCAGTAAGGTTGTAAATGAAGTTTTGTATGCTGACTGGCACCTGAAAAAAGATTTATTGTTAAAACATAGATCATTCACATACAATTGTTCGGTTAAGATTTGATGTTTATTACGTCTTCGTGTGCTTTTATGACGTAGCGGTTAAAATTAACAAAAAAAGTTTAAACTTATTTTTTTTATGAAGAACATGCAAACAGATAATGTGTTTCAATAATTGATAATAACTTAAAATAAATCACGTTAAAACTTTTAATGAATAAAGAAAAAACAGAACAAATAATAATAGCGAGAAAAAAAGTTAAACATAAAAGATGTCCGTTCACTGAATAAAACATCGAGAGCAACTGAGTTTTCACTAATATCGATCAAGCAAGTTATACGTCTTTTCTATAAGTTCATTACTTTTTCAACTTGTCTTTGCCATAAGCTATCACAATGACCGCCCTCACAGTAATCGCTGCAATGGAGGTTTCACGTTGCATTGCAAAATCATTATATACGAGCGAAGCCGGGTATCATAACTAAGTTGATAAAATGTGCGTGCCAATAAAACTTAAAAAGGAGTCCCGGCACGATAAAGGGACTTATATAGTGTGATAGCCCTTTATCCCCCTCGAACAAAAAAGTTCCCGTTTTAACCTAAAGGGCGTGTTTTTAAAGATATAAGGGCTTTTCCAACCCTTTAACTTGAAAATTAAGTGTAGTGGCGCCATCTGTTGTCGATTATTTGAACTTCAAGAAGGTGTGAGAAAGTAGAATACCACTGATCTCTTCTGAATTGCTATTGCAATTTAAAAGGTTGCAGTTACCAATTAAATGAGGCTTTAGTTTTACAATTAACAAAGCGCAAGGGCAAACTTTAAAATATTTTGGCATCAACCTCAAAGAATCCTGCTTCTCTCACGGTCAACTATATGTAACTTGCTCAAGAGTAGGAAATTCGAAAAAATTATATAAACGAGTATATACCCCAGACAATAAAATGATAAATGTTGTTTATAAACAAGTAGTGTAAATAATGAGATATTTTTTTACTTTTTACGTTATATTTTATTTTTTATTTCAACTACCACGTCATCTCATATCAACTCCCGAGCGAAGCCGGGTATCATAGCTAATAAAAAATAAAACAAAAATCAGTATAATTTTAATCACTTACGAAAGTCTTGGGATTGAAGTCAACAATTTTGTAATTAAGATTATAGGAACTGTATGTGATGATGCCACCTCCCCCCCAAGCCACATTAATGGGATTTCCTTCAGGATTATAAAAGATTCTGAACTCATCCGAATGTGTGTGTCCATTGAATTCGGCTACAATAGTTGAGGAGAATCTAAAACATAGTTATAATATAGATCTCTTAGCTTGTCTATAAAGGACAATAGAGAACTCCCATACAATATTTTGTTAATTTTTTTGCCATCTATAAATGAATTATACAGGGTGGTCCAACTAGTGACGTCAATATTTTTTTTTGGATTCCTCGCACCTGGGGGTATCCGAAAATACCCCATGTATGTTCCGCGATTTTTCTTAGTTTTCGAGTTATAATTTTTTTGTGTATTTTTAATGATTTCTGCCAGCGAGGTTTCAAAAATTCTAATCTTTTTTCGTAGTAGGTATTTTGCAGTCTTTTTTTTTTGACATAATTGTCATGAATGTTGTTTTAATAAAAAAATTACTACTTCCTGCAATTACTTAAAGTTACTCAAAACAGGCTTGAAAGTTAGATCTTTAGTTTTTAGTAGGATTTACTCAAACGTTCAACTTCAATACAAAAATATAAAAAGGAGTTTCCATAGCTTCTGGCTAAAATTAAAAACTCCGCATGCTTCTAAACTACCAAAAATCATAAAAAAAATGTAGTTAATCAGCCTATTTTTGTTGTAATTGGCTTTTGAAGACAGATAGGCTAAAAATCATTGAAACACGATTAAAGCATTAGACATTATTTTATCTACTTTATTTTCATTTTTATGGTAAATTAAACCTAAAAATGTAATTTCAAATTAAATTAAATTTAAATTTCTGTAAAATAACTTTAGCATGTTGAATTTTATAATAATTTCGGTTTCACCACTAAGATTTAAAATGTGAGCAGCATGTATTGAAGTTGAACGTTTGAGTAAATCCGACTAAAAACTAAAGAACCAACTTTCAAGCCTTTTTTGAGTAACTTTAAGTAATAGCAGGAAGTTGAGTTATTTTTTTATTAAAACAACATTCAAGACAATTTTGTCACAAAAAAAAGACTGCAAAATACCTATTACGGGAAAAAGATAAGAATTTTTAAAACATCGCTGGCAGAAATCATTAAAAATACACAAAAAAAAATATAACTCCAAAACTAAGAAAAATCGCGGAACATACATGAGGTATTTTCGGATAACACCAGGTGCGAGGAATCTAAAAAAAATGTAGACGTCACTAGTTGGACCACCCTGTATGTAAAATTATAGAGTTTAGATTCTTCATTTAAGAAGTCTTATTTCTTTATTATAGGAAATCTGGCTTTAAAGATATTCTATTTTGAAGTTTTGGAGGTTATGTCATACCAAGTTATAAATAAACGAATGATAAAAGTATACTTAAGTTTTACAATTGACAATCATAGTTACCGATTTTAGAAAAATAAACCTTATGTTCTTTAAAAAGTGATAACATTTTATTTAAAAAGGTCCAGCATTATTTAATATGTAGTTAGTTGCCGGCCTGCTTTGGGTATTCTTCACACCGCTTTAAAAGGATCTCGGTTGTAGGAGGGAGGAAATTGCGGAAAATTTGCGAATAGTGTGATAGCGAAATGAGTCACCAAATTAATTTTTTTTCGGCCCTAATAGTGGGCATAATAAGCTGGTGACAACGGAGCCCAGTGGGCTTGGTCGTCTGAATAAAGGGATAAGAGAGAAAAACTCCTCAGAACTCTCGTCGTTGTATAGACAATAGATGACGTCACATCACGACGTAGGTAATTTTAGAGAATCGGGGTGTTGTTTAGTTACCTCCTCATCGTCAATGATGCGCGTGGCGTGTCGCTGTAACCTATCCAAAGCATCAGCTAGGTTCTTGGTGAAGCCATCCTAAGTACTGCACTTGCGTCTTAAACAACTATTAATGGCGAGTACCTTACACACCGATGATTTTCACCGATGATGTAGGTAGTTCTTATGGTTGAGACTTTGCAAGATTTGAAGACAATGCTCGAAGATCTCAGTAGTGCTTCCCGAGACGAATACGGATAAGGCAAAAATCATGCCGAATGTCTATACTACTACTCGCTCCAGTTAAAATTGTCAACTCTGCATTCAAAGTTGATGACGTATACCCGGGACAAACAGTCTAATTGGATAAATCCAACGTCGAAAGATAATTCTCTCGTCGACTCTAGCTCGAATGGCCAGCGTTAAGCAAAATAACGTACACGGATAGACTAAATAGTAGGAAAGCTGGCACCAATTTTTCGGTAGGTATTTGAGGCAAGCTGAAAACTTGTCTTAAACCTCTCCTATTATACCCCAAACCGGAACTGCAGACCTGGCTGGTGAGTTCAGGCTATTCAGGAAAAAAAACCTTATTAAATAAATATTTTTTAAATACATATAAAAAGATTCTGGCTTATTTGAATAAAGTCAGTATATATAATAATGAAAATCCTTTAATGTTAACATTTGGAAGCCTCGTAGTCACGCCACGACATACAGACAGACTTTTTGACTCTTTGACGAATCACAACATACTGACAGAGGTTTTGATTCTTTGACGGATCAAAACTAAATTACAGAGATTTTTGCTCTTTAACGGATCAGAACAAACTGAAAGATTTTTTAACTATTTGACGGATCACAACAGGCTGACAGACTTTTTTACTTTAGACAGATCACAAAGAAGAAATAATGACTCGTCTCGGCTTCGCGGCTACGAGTATTGTATTAAGTAGACACGAATGAGTAAAAATGGTTTTGAAATCTGTTAAGTGGTTAAAAATAGAATTTTACCCCTGGAGATCCCGTGTCCGTGGAATTAACAGCACAAAAGTTGTACTTATTCTTCTACTTATTCTATTGAAGATTTCGTTTTGAAAATCAGTTAAATGGTTTAAGAAACAGGATTTGACACCCGTAGAATTGGTGGAAAATGTTGTTTTATTGTAATTATTTACAATAATATTTCTACTAGTGAAAGAATTTTTAAAATGGGTCAGGATGAGTCAGTCAGTGTATCCTTTTCTCTCTTTATATACTCGTAATAGTACAGAATATAGATAGTATAGAATAGTAATGTAAGTATAGATATAGAAGAAGACATACATGTATATTATGGAAACTAAAGACTGCTCTAACATTATGCCCAGTTGTCATTCTCATGTCAAATTATAAAGTTAAAGCTTTAAGAGTATTTAATTAATAACAAAACAGAGCAACTCTGCTGAAAACAGGTCGAATATCTGAAATCTACTTGGTCAGGTCACCCTGATTTTTCAGCTTAGAAAAATGTTTCTAAGTAAATAGGTCGAGTTTCTATTTAGCAAAGAGTTTCTTTTAGGCATATAGGTTGAATATCTTTTTATCCCGGAATTCCCAAGGGAATGGAAACTTCGCGGGTAATACCGCGGGGCGCAGCTAGTAATAACATATTAGAGCAAATTTGCTGAATATATTTTATAGATAACTTGCAATCCTTATTTCTCGTCGTAGAATTTCAAAAAATATGAAACACGTTTTTTTTGAAGTTTTAGTTTAGTTTATCTCAGCCTAGTTTCAAAGCTGTCAAGCTAGCCAAACTCGTTTTCCCATACAAATTTTGAACCCCTATATCACCCAATTAACGGTGGAATGCCTACGTTATTTAAACAACCTATTTCCTAAATATCATGTCTCTACGACCAAAAGTGTAGGCGTGCATTGACGCACTATTTAAAACTTTAACATGCTATATCTTTGTATTAGGAGGGTAGTATTGAAAAAGGAATACACAGATAGCATTTCATTTTATACAGACTAGGTGTGCAAAATTTTAATCAATCCTATGCACTTTTGGATGATCTCCCATACAAACTTTGACACGAAATTTTGTATTTTTTTGTGGGTAGTTGTAATAATTTTATGTAACAGGCTTAGTGTACATCTATTAAATAATATTTATGCAAAATATGAAGTCAATAAATCCAAGGGATAAAATTTTACGAATAAACGTTTTCTAATTATCCCATCTTATTACTTATCTAGGCAATAATAGGAACCTACTGTCCAAATTTCATCATTCTAGGTCCAGCCGTTTCAGCTGTGCGTTGATGAGTCAGTCTGTCAGTGTATCCTTTTCACTCTTTATACACAGGATGGTCCAATTAGTGACGTCAAGAATTTTATTTTCCGCGATTTTTCTTAGTTTTCAAGTTATATATTTTTATTTGTGTATTTTTAATGATTTCTGCCAGCGAGGTTTAAAATATTCATATCTTTTTTCGTAGTAGGTATTTCGCAGTCTTTTTTTTGGGACATAATTGTCTTGAATGTTGTTTTAATAAAAAATTACTTAAAATTACTCAAAAAAGGCTTGACAGTTGGGCTTGACAGTTCAATTTAAAAATATAAAGAGGTGTTTCCATAGCTTCTGGCTAAGTTTAAAACCTATTTTATCTACTTTTTATCATTGGTATGGTAAATTAAACTTAGATTTTAAATGTGAGCAAGAATAAAAATCAGGCAAAATGGCTAGTTGGGAAATTACCTGTTTTTTGATAACAAATAATAACCACATATTACTGAAAAATTACTATTTGTTACACAGTAAACACACAGTAAATTTTAAAACATAACTTTTTAAGACGTTGTCAATTGTGTTTTTAGGTTGGAGGAAGGAGTTTTGAAAATTGACTGTAATAAATATGATATTAAGATTTTAATTCCAGAATTAGACAGCCCTCCTCAATTATACTATAATAAAATCTTGTGAAATTATTTTATATACATTTCTGATAATAACACCTATAGACGCTAAAGATAGGAAATCTTTATAATATATTTTTATCAAATATTTCGCCATTGTCCACATCAAAATAGCTGAATCAGTCGGAAGTCAGAACCGTGAAACTTTTATGCATATAAAGGAGACCCGGCACTTTTCATAGAAAAAATGCTAAACTTGTATACAGTTGAATTTGGTCTCAAAATAAAGCCAAAATTATTTGCTACATAAAACTACTTTTGCCTTATTTTTAGTGAATCGTGGAAAGAAATTATTTAATGATTAATATTTTTTGATACAGAAACCCTTTTGATGACAAACCTACGTATTTGACATTGACAACTAGCTGCTGATGACAAATATTGCCAGACTACGGTACCCAATTATGAAACACAGATAAAAAAATTAAAAAAGTATACAACTTTGGCACAAAATGCCGGGTGTCCTTTCTGTGGGAAATCCAATTATAAAAGAGAATAATTATCTAAGTACATATTTTTATGTGATTCAGTACGTCCCAATTATTATTTAAGACTTTTCAGAATTATTATTAAAGAAGCGCATAATGTTCAATCTATATTTCCTAAGTCATATATTAAAACAAAAATACTAATAATGGGAGTTTACCGGTTAACAACCCTGTTGTACTCTCTAGTCCAGGTGTGAGTAAGGTCTTCGGTCCCGGGGGGAATATGGGCTAAAATATGGACCTTCTCGCCCTTTGATTCAGCACTGTACAATTCCTGCACTAACCAGTCCAAGTGTTTCTTCGAATCCAGTGGATCGTAGTGTTGCCACCTGTTTAAACAAATGAAAGCTTATTGATTTTTAGTAACCGAATCATTATTTCCACCAAATTAGCACACTGCTTTCTTGATAAAATGCAAATGGTAAAGGTTTAGACCTCCTGGTTCGATGTGAATTCTGACTGATTCTAACAGTAGAGATAATTTCTATAATACTTTGGGTAACATTTCGGAATGCCGATATAAAGTCGAACCACGATAACTTTGCAGTCAATAATCTGGTCCCACCAGAAAAACTTGATCTGGTAGCCCTTTTAAGACATCATTCAAAAACGGCATAAATGTCATGTCTTGCGAGAATCTTTTGTTTGATGAACATTTTTTGATGTTTTTTGTTTGTGAAGAGATAAGAAGAGAAAAAAGTGGAGTAAAAGTGTGGTTTTATAAAATAATAAGTCAAAATAAATCTGCAAATGAACAAATGGAGTCGGTTCCTATGCAAAAAGATCAATGTTATGAAGAAATCCTAACGTCAACGAATGAGTTTCAATCAATTTCTTGATACTTGTTTGTTTACAATTTGTGTTTTTGTAGTGGTATTTTTATTTACATTTCAACAGTTACATTCTATACCTATATTACCAAAAAAAATGTTTTCACATAAAATATAGTTTTGATTATGGACGAACACTTTTTTTTATTATTATTAAGTTGTGATCAATCGTATCTTAAAACCACAGAGGGTTGAGCCTGCACGACAATATTAAAATTGCTAACGGAGTTACTTTATTACATTAATAAAAATGGTATGAATGCACCTTTAAAATATACAAAATATATTGTTGGCTTGTACATTGTATATAAATAAAACTAGTTTTACACGGGTTAATGCACGAAAGTTTGTTTATTTATTGACGTTTCGCAGCCTTTACAGGCTGCTTCGTCGGAATCAATTTTTTATTTAATTTTGTCGAGCTACCTTCGAAAGACTTTTATTGAGCGTTCGGTTATTTCATTGTTCGATTTTTAAAGTTTTATTTTCTGAAACGTGCGTGAAAACCTAAGAAACAAATATACATTGTATATGTAATCATGATTTTTTTTAATTGTTTAAAACGTATTCTTTTCATTTTTTAAACTATTGCATAGCTTTTAGCGCGGCGACTGAATCAAGAAATTCCGTAACGAAAATAAACCTTACACCCCTCACTGCGACCGGCACAACGGTGCGTAGAATGGGTAGTGGAATAGAGTGGGTAAAGTGGGAGGAGTGGGTAGAGGGGTGGAGTGGGTAGTGTGGGTGGACTGGGTAGAGTGGGTGGTGTGGACGTGTGGGTGTATGTGTATATAGATATATATATATATACAGGGCGTCCCACGGCTACCTCACACGGAGGGAAAGTATATTAAATATTGAAGATAGGATATTTTACTGAAAGAAGACATCATTTTATTTTTAATAATAACTAGAATTGTATTCACAGATTTTTTAAAAATCGCCTGTTACAACTGGGAATCAAACTCGTGAAATTTCGAAAAAAACACGACGTATTTAATGATAACCATCGAAAGGGTTAATCATAAGGATTATGTTTTGCTAAGTAACTTAGCATTTTAAATGAAAGGAATGTCTTATAACGTGATATACAAATTTTAGTACGTATGCATTTCTTTTTGAATTCAGTTACAATGCGATTGACTGAAATTTGTAATAATAATTCGAAAATGGAACACATAAATTTTCAAGCCTGTGTTCTTTTGTTTTTGTGAGTTTCATTTTCGTTTATTTGCATTTTTTGTTAATTTACTTACCATGGCGCATCAAAATAAAATAGATTTAATGTAAGCTTACTTTATGAACCACAAAGACATATCATTAGCTTAGCGGTGGTACTGCAAAAGATATACTGATAGAGACAAACCTTCTCGATATGTGTTTAAATAATGAAAGAAAGATAGAGATAGAGAAAGATTTTTGATAAGCCGTGGTAAGTAAATTAACAAAAAAATTAAAATGAAACTCACAAAAAACAAAAGAACAGACACTTGAAAATTTATGTGATCCATTTTCGAATTATTATTATTACAAATTTCTGCCAGTCGCATTGTTATTGAGAGTTCAAAAAGAAATGCATACGTACTACAGTTTGTATAACACTTTATTATTTTTATCACGTAATTCACATTCCTTTCATTTAAAATGCTATGTTATTTAGCAAAAAATAATCCTTATGATTAACCCTCTCGATGGTTATCATAAAATATGCCGTTTTAGTTTTTTCGATTTTTTACGAGTTTGATTCCCAGCTGTAGCAGGCGATTCTAAAAAAATCTGTGAATGCAATTCTAGTTATTATTAAAAATAAACTGATGTCTTCTTTCAGTAAAATATCCTATCTTCAATATTTAATATACTTTCCCTCCGTGTGAGGTAGCTGTGGGACGCCCTGTATAATTATATGAGAACTTCCATCTTTTTTTAAGTCGATAAAAAAGTATCAGTGGTAGTTAATTAAACTATAATCAGTACTGTACCCCTAGTATGAGTTTTAATCGTTTTCGAATTCGATCAATCGTATCGTCTCGTTTCCATATATTGACTAGCAGCGCCCCTAGTGTTAACTATCAAAAACAAAAACCAGCAGTATGAGTTTCATCGAGTCATCGTAAAACGAAAACTACCAAAATTTTCGTATGTCGTTTGCATTTTGGCAGTACAAGTTACAACTTTGACAGCGCGTCATGAGTATGCTACGAAGTTTGATAGTATCGTCACTCGATTAGAAACTTTCAGTGACTAAGTGTTTTAGGTCAAGTTTTTATGCAATCTAATAATGTTTACGGCACAATATTTAGCTCGCATGCTCGCTGAAGAGATTGACGAAGACCAGCGTGCACAGGAACGACGGGACGGGATTATTACAGCGGAGGCGATTATCTTCTTTTATCACCGACATTCATTTTGTACAATGTATACAGGGTGTAAAAAAACCTATGACAAATACTAAAACAACGCATTCTGTACACCCAAACAAGTTATATTACAAAATATTATACGTGGGAATCATTTGTATTTTATAAGTTAAAAAATTTTTTTTTTCTCCAGTACGCAATGTATAGCGCGGCGCGCTACTGTGGCGCTACGCAAAAAATGTGCATGTGTGTATGTGTATGTAAGTGCGTCGATAAAAAGTTTCTAAATAACGTTTTGAAAATATTAATACATAAATCTTGAAAAAAAATTTTACTTTAACCTTTAATATCTCCATAACCATAAATTTCCTAGGTATGGTCCAGAAGAAAAAAAAATATCGTCATGATGTGGAAAATACGTAGCTTTCGACTTCGTTAAAGGTTTTTTTACACCCTGTATATATTTTTTAATATTATTTCTTTACGGCCTTGAAGTCAACCATACAGACACATACAATCAAGTTTCACACACAGTTAAACGTAGGTTCTATACTCTTTCGACACAGATTAAGTCAAGAGTTTTACATAAAACTATATACACATAATGGCTCAGCTATTTCTTTTTTGGCAATAAAGAACAAAAGAGACAAAACTAAACAGTGTGAAGTTCGTTTAATCGCGTCATCGAGCATATGATTCTATACTCGTACTGCGACACAATTCGAAAACGTACAGTTTGATCGAATCGACGAAGACGATCGTTCGTTTCGTAATAAAAAAACTCATACAAAGGGTACTGCCATGTGCAAAGTTTAAATTTTTGCCATTGTCAGTCCACAGCAGAGTTATCTTGGTCCGACTGTATCCTTTTTTTTTCAATATTTTGTACTCACCAATTATATTTATATGCGACGTTATTGTTGAATGATATAACGCGAAGCCCAGGTCTTACCAAATATGAAAATTCCCCATTTTTTCTTAAAGTTGTCACTGCTTGCTCGGGTAAATAATACTTCCATTTATCAGCCAATACGTTGTAGAGCCAGTTTGTGTTTAATTTAGGTATAGTAATTGTAGAAGGAGCAAATCTAAATTAAGAAAAGGCTTATTATTTAAAAAGAAGGCTCTTTCCCAATTGCAGACATATCTCTGAATGTTTTACGTACTGATTTATCGGTTGAGACTCATGATTTCCAATAACTGGCACGACCATAATATCTCCAAATGTGGCTTTAATTTTATCAAATAAGTAACGGTGAACTTTAGTATTGGATTCGTACGATGTCTCCCAAACTCCGTGATCCACAGTATCTCCTATGTAATACAAAATGTCGATGTCCTGGAAAATATAAGACGTAAATGTCTATTGCCTTATTTTTCAGGCTCAATAAAAGACACGGTTAAATGTAACAATATGTTCGTGTTTAAAAAATCATTAACTCACTTTGTGGGTTTCTTTAATTCTGTCAACAACATCTTCAAATGTCCAAACAGGAGAGTCACAATTTCTGTAGTCTCCCCAATAACCAGCTGGGTTAGGTTTACTTATGCCAAAAAGCTTATCGGATGCGCCTTTATTTTTCATTCTCAATTCTTGTGCTATGCTGACATTCAACATTTCTGCACCTTCAACCCTAACAAAACTTTTTTCTAGTACGAAATCATTAACTTTTAGTGAATTAAATATTTTTGCAGTAGACCCCTTTCTACAACAAGTAGGCTCATTACAAGCTGCTACTCCAGATGGTTCATATAGTAGGTCAACATGGGCATCTGTTATTATCGCCACTTTTAACGGTTTTTCGTCGATTGCTAGAAACTGTGAAGAAGTAATATTTTGTATTATTAAAAGACCAAAATGTTTATTAAAATTTATGTAATAATGTTATGTATTACTATTTAATATAAAATATTTTTTTTAAATACTTATATATATATAAGTAATTTTCAATTTCCCTCTTAATACTTTTGGTCCTTTTCTGAACTACATAATAATATATCGTTTATATAATATAAACACCTAAAGGATACTGTCAGAATGCACGCACACAGCGATAATATAGGTACCAATACGTACTTATATGATCGTCCTTGCGTAACCGTAAATTGATGGCGTTTGATTTTGTCGTGTACATAAATATATTCATAAAATGTAGTTAAGTATATTGCAGCAATTTCCGACCCAGTTCGAAAACAATATTATGCAAATTGTTTACCGATGTTGTGTTTGTCTTTTCCGGTAATTGCACTTCCCAGTCGAACCTCGGGTCGAAATACGGACACGCTAAAGGGTCAGCATCTCTTTGTAGAATCAGACCGCAAAAAGCTTCAGCCGAAGCTTCGGGGGTACTTCTTATTATGTATGTAATAATTGGCTGAAAAAAATAATTAAATCATCAACAGTAAAAACGAAATCAATGTAATTGAATAAAAGTCTTCGTATCGAATCATACGCAATACACTGCAAACTTAAGTAATCTCCAAGGTCTTATTTTTGTTCATTTAAAAAATAAATTTGATATAATAAATTCCTTTTTATTAACATGGCTAGCTTAATGTATGTATAATATTTGCGTAAAAAAGCGAAATTTATCCAAGTACTTTATTAATATAAAATTATAATGTATGTATGTGTGAAATTGTTTGTCACAACACAACACGATAGATAAGTATATTTCTGCATTAAGAGCGGACGCGAGCTAAGAGATATTTGAGAAATAGGTGTTTTGTTTCAAAAAAGCTATTGCCGTCCCGCATTGGCAAGTACCGTGCGATAGGGACAACAGTAGCTAACGCTGAAAATTGTGTATAACAATTGCAGAATTCGAGGTTTGGCTTTCGATGATTTCCGCCACGAAAATTAGATACTCAGAAAGTTTTGAGAAACTAAAAACTAACTACAATGAAAAAACATTTGTTAGTAAAAATTTTTCAAAGCACTCCACCAGTCTCTATACAAAGAATTTGAATGAATTTGGTATCAATTTAAAGTTAAAAATAGTTTTTATCTTTTATTTCTTCCTTTTTAATGCTTAACATAATATGAAAAAGAAAATGGTTGTTCGCTAAACTTAAAACTTTGTAAATACATAACTAAAGTACGCAGATCCTAAAAGTACATTTACTAGAATCAATTTATGACAGTTAAAATTGAGTTTCATAATGATACAATCGAAGAGTTAATATAGACATTTAAAAAAAAAAATATTTTTTTTGCGGACATATCTAAATCGTTCTCTAAATTAGCTAGTGAAGTTGCTCCGGTAACTCAAAATTCACGGTGAATATTTATATATTTAGCCATCGATGTTACATGATTCATTTGTAGTTTGTTGACTGTTTCTTAAATTATTTAAGGACGACATACGTAGATTATTTATATTAACTTACCAGGTTCAGTGCTATAGCTCCGTGACATACATTATATGTTAAAATACCTAGGCCAGAACAGATTCTTGAAAGCACTTTTGTGAGAAACTTCTCCGAGTAACCATTTAAAACGGCTTTTTTTAATGCACTACCTGCCCAGCGACAGACTTGACAATCAATCCACTGCAACATTAAAAACACGAAATAGAAATACCTACCATAGATTATTTTGAGTAGTATTTAAACGAAGGACTGTAAAATAAAATTTAAAGTGACAAAAATACTAGGCTTATTGTTTTACTAAGTGAGGACAGCGAGTGACGAGAAATCGATAAAACGCGACTTACAAACATTCATTTGAGTTACTTAAAATACAAAATGAGCAGCTTTATCTCTTATTTTTTTGAATATAAAATAATGTCCTGCATTTTTTCAATATTTTGCAAAGGATTTATTTACAGTGAGCGGCATTTTATCGTAATGAAGTGTCTCCATTACAAAAACCTCTTTGAAAAATACTAAAGTGAGCAGAATATTTTGTCTGAATATTTTTTTTAATGTGCTTTGAAATAACTATTTGAGAAAATGTACTGTTAAATTTAATTAGGTAGATCTATAATTTAATGAAATAACGTATTCCTCAGAAATAATATAATCATTAACTCAATTAAGACGCTTCAGTCAAAAAAACTATCTTTAATACTAAGGAACTTGTCGAATACGCGAGCAACAATCTGTAGCTTTTATTAAAAAGTGTATCATAATAATAAAGAAGAGACTTCAAATAGAATACCAGTAGCCAATAATCTTTAATAGAGCAGCTTACAAAACGGTGCTCAAATAAATAAGTATATTGTTATAAACTTTCATGGCCACTTACATAATAAAAAATATGTTATTTACTCGATTGTGACCATTGTACCTTGTTTTTAGCGAGTTTCTGATATTTCTGCATTGTTGCAAGCGCCATGATCACGAAGTAACTGGAGTGATTGCGGGTAGGCTGTTATTGGCAGACATATCAGTATACCCTCCAACGAAGTCTTTTATTGCGTTCGATACCCGTACCACTGTTCGCATTCTCACTATTCACTCGAAACCTTTCTCTACACACAACACTCACAGTATTGGATTGCGACACGACACTCTTTGATTATTTTTACAGATACGAACCACAGGATTCCAGACACTCGCAATATTTTGTAGTCGCTCGTTTAATTATTTTCCTTAAATTTATATTTTTAAGCATTTAACTACTAGATATTTAAATCTAAAGAAAATTTTCTAGAAATATTTCCATTCGGTGTGAAAGTTTTGTGATTGATTAATACCATATATTATTCCGACTGCGATACCGTCTCCTCCACCGACTTCCATACTGTCTGTGACTTCCATACTTATATCATAATGCGAAAGTGTATCTTTCTGTCTATTACCCACTCAAACTATTGAACCTATTTAGATGATATTTGTTATAGAGATAGTTTGTATCCCGGGAAAGGACATAGCATAGCCCTTTTTATATCGGATAAATGTTAGATACCTGTGGGATACTCAAAAAAACAACTAAAACGCAAACGCTGTAAAATTTAACGAATAGATCCTCTGTACATCGCGTTTATTTGCAAAAAAGTCGTTTGAGGGACTTCAAATGATAGCAATGTATAATATGTATATCCTTATTTTTAGCAGTGTCTGTTCATTTATTTGTATTTTTGAATCCCTATTAAACCAAAACTGCTAATGCAATGAACAATACAAATATATATTTCAATTGGATATCACAGAGTAACATTTAATTTTTATTTCATTAAAATCAGTGTAAAGTAAATAAAAAATGTATAAAAAGAATTATTATACATGGTTATCGATAGCAATTAATGAGTATGTAGGGGAGGGATAACGTCGACCCGCCCTCGTCTATCACTTTTGTTTTTAGGGTTCCGTACCTCAAAAGGAAAAAACTGAACCCTTATAGGACCACTTTGTTGTCCGTCCGTCCGTCCGTCGTCGCATTTTTCTCAGGAACGCGTGGAGGTATCAAACTGAAATTTATATCTAATACTCAGATCTACTATCCCTTGGAGCTATGAAAAAATCAAACTTTTAAATCAAAAGATACAGCCGTTTTTGCCCCAAATTTTCGAAACTCGCACGGGAATCGAAACCTACAGAGTACTTCCCGTGAACTTAGAATCTTGATTTGGTTCGAAGTAACGTCTTATAGTACAGATAAAGGAAAAAATGCAAAATGTTTTTAGTAACATCATATATTAAAAAATATTTTTTAAATAATTTTTAAAATATACCTACAGGCTTGTGCGGAACCCTCGCCTCGGTGCGCGAGTCCGACACGCACTTGGCCGGTTTTTTTTAATGTTTGCTTACCTCTATTTATGAGAGAATCCCGCTCTTTTTATGTAGTAGAAGTAGAATAAGTTAGTAGAATGCTTGCTCAAAACCGAATATTTAGTTAAAAATATATAGGTACATGAAAAGAAGGCGAAACATTATTTTTTCTATTTACCCCAGTATGTGGCACGTCATTGTCTAGAGCTCCTAGAGTAGCATATAAATATATTATTTATTTTCAAAAACAAAGGAAATGAGGGACCGTCCAAGTTGTCATTGTTAGATCATTTTTGTTGGGGGTCTATCTTAAAACATAATCGAGTTTAGAATGAGAAATGTTGTTGTATATCCCATGTGCTGTACTTATTTAAACAACAAATACGGAAAACGCCGATCAAAATGTACTTTGAAAGTTAAAATCTTCACGTGTTAGCAAAGAACGTGAAAACTTAATATTTTCGAAGCTTTTTCAAATTAAACGTCGGATCTTGGTAAGGATATAAATTAATAACTTGTTTCTTATTGTATGGTACACGACTTCAAAGCACATTCGCATTTATTAGTTATTGTTTTGTTGAAGTAATAATATTTTTAATATTCTTTACAATAAGTTTAATGCCCATTACGTAACATTAACGGTGCATAAATCATGATAATCTGTTAAATCTTATGCATGCAATTCGAATGACGCTCGTTTATTATAATACTATGCTTTTATGAGTACACTTCATTTCGTGTCATTAATTTTTAATTTTTCCTTAATAAAATGTATGTTTAAACGCTGGACATCCACGGCATCTAATATTGGAAATGCTTGCAGTATTAGAATAGAATCCTTTACTTTTCAGATATTTTTATTTTTTTATAAATAGGGCCGTCAGATTACTCCACCTCACCTGATGTTAAGTGACGGTGGATTCCAGACGCGAGGAATGAATATTCCCTAGAGGAATTTAGAAGGGAAATTTAAAGAAATCGATATAATGACTATTTCATCTCAGTACATTTACGAAAATTTAATGTATGTACGCAAAAATATTAAATTATTTCCTAAAAATAGTAATGAGGACTCGAAGTACTAATTACAAGGCTCCACAAAAACAATAATTTAAAGGTCTTTGTTTCTTTTACAATAAAGTCCCTAGCAATATCCAAAAATTAAGTGTCAATAAAACAAAGCTACTATCAAGTTAGACAAAAATGCTTGGGTTTAAACTTTTCCAAACGTTCCGGCAGGCATTTTCTATAATTATGATGAACTTTATACGTTTTTGTATTGGCACCGTAATAAAAGAATATTTTGATAATATTGTTACATCATTATTGACGCTGTTAAGTTAAAGTCTCCAGTTTTTTCCACAGCTAAAAAATGTCCTTAACTGTTAGTAGGGAAAAAAATGGACGATTTAAAAAACTGAATTTTTGGATTTTGAATTAAATCATTGACTTGCAGCAGAAAGAGTGTGGGGGATAGGACGGAACTCTGAGGAACACAGGCATTCACTGACATGAACCGCGAACTACTAGATACAATCCTTAAGGACACGAATTCTACGTTCATACAGGAAGTCCAGAAACAGAACTGAGCAGGCAGATTGATAGCCAACGACTCACCCCGCTTTTCGATAGCTTTACCCCAGATGTGAGTCAAGTACGCTAGGAGATCACCTGTCGATCGTTTGGGCCGTATTGAAAATCATGAATCAGAGAGTGATCCTCTAGGAAGTAAGTCAGATGGGTTTTAAGGGAGGGAAGATGTAAAAGGATAATTCAGATTAGTGAAGAATATGTGTAAGTAAAATAAAAATTCAAATTATTAGCTTCCTGCAGTCCTTCTCCATAATAATATAAACTTTGGTGTCGATTCTATATTTAATGTCAGTCTGTCGTTTTCATATTGTAGATACACACACTATACATACTACTACACTACATACACTTTTCACTTTTGTCAAATTTAAGTTTAGGTTTAGAGAATCATGCCGGAATCGACATCTTTGATTATCTAATAATCTCACACTCCTCCGTGTGCATAAAAAACAAAAGTATCTAAAGTACGTATTGTGTGCTTTAACATTACATCAATATTGATGTAATGTTAAAGCACACAATACGTACTTTCATGTATTAAGTTAGTAATCACAACAAAGTACATACCTACCTAAGCCACACTCATCGCGTTTTAACCCGACTGCGCAATTCAAGAGCGCGAAGCGCGACGCGCAGACAGGGTATAAAAGTCTATTTAAGTATGTATGTTCCTTTGTGGCACACTAGAGACCAAACGCGTGGACCGAATTTGATGATTTATACATCAATCGATTCGTCTTAATCATGGGAGTGCTACTAAAGATATGAAAATAATCGAAAATCAATATGGAGACAACTGGGCGCCATATTGTGAGTAAGAAAAAAAAATAAGTTGCCGAAATATGTCGAGTGGGGACCATTGTCTAGATAATCGAAAATCATGTTTAGGTGCCTTACACCATTTTTCATTTTATATGATTGTTTAGGATCTACAATAATTTAAAGTTGTATATTAACCACTTGCGCTTTTAATTTCAATCTTACGTTTGTATGGATCTTTGTAACTCTTTCAATCAAAAAATACTAAATGGATTTTAATCAAACTAACCAATAATAATAAAGCTCATACATAATAATAGCATATAGATTATAATGTATGTTGTTATTTGGTGAATTGGCCAAAATATAACAATAAGTGTCACGTAAGATGGAAAGAATCTCCTATCTGCTAGCCATTTTGGCCTGCACTGCAAAAACAATAAAAGTTACATGAATATAATGTATGGTGCAAATGTATCTCTTATATAGTTCTACAAAAAAGTGCGGGACAACATATATCTATTTTTAATGTGTAAGCCATTATATCTAAAATAGTGAATCATAAATAAATTTCCAAAATGCATATTTTGTATAAACAAATTATTTTTTATCAAAACAAATACTTTTATCGCTTTTGATATTTAAAGACGATAAATTTTGCCTTTTACTCTGTGTTATTTCGACAAACATTTAAAAAGTTACAACGATGTTAAGATGTCAAAGTGATAGCGCGGTCACGGTAATATTAATAATATTACCGTGGCGCGGTGTACTATGCAGGAGTACGTATATACTGCGGGAATGGTGGGTAAATTGATGAATTTTGGTGTTTATAAACGTAGATAAAAACTAGGACAAATAGAAAAAAATGGGCTACTCGCAGTATCTAATCCTATACGAAGTATTTACAATAAAACTGTGATAAAATTCCTTCTTATTAAATGATGAAAAATAAATTATTATAATAGATATTTATAATTTTTGAAATTTAATGAAAATCTCAGAATTAAACGGTTTTCAAAGTTTATTTTAACGATATTACTTCATGTTACTGAAGGGTTACTTAACATAATCAGAAATAACCTATTATTCGCTAGTAGGTACATACCTAATAGACTCCCTGTCTTTATTAATCAGCTCGCGATAATGTTGGTTTTGTAATTATAAACGATAATTCTGCAAAATTCTAATCAAATATAAAAAGTTTTATGGGTAAATCACCCCTCCCATCACCCTACCCCTATAAATATTTCGATAATGTAGCTTAGAACCAAGACCCCATCTATTTCTATAGGGAAATTCATCATAATCAATTTAGCTATTAGGGCGCGGAAGCGTAACAAACAAATTCACTTTCGGTTCTATAATATTATATTGTACTATTGATTCGCTCTGACATTGCATGGGCGAAAATTATTTTAAAGGGATAGAATATAGCTTATGTCACTTGGATATAAAATAGTTATAAAGAAAAAAAATTCTAAAAAAAATCCTCTCGGAGAAGTTGTTAGAATGGATTTTTTTCAAGTAAAAGTTTTCTTTAGATTTATAAATCGAGTAGATTAACAACTAATTGAGATTAATGCTTAAAAATATATTAAATAATGTAGCTTCCATAAGGTGAATGAATTTTTGAAATCGGTTCAGGTTTGAGGGATTATTTCTTACACACATACAACTCTTGCCTCTTTATAATACCTATTAGTAAAGATAGTTAAGATAATAATATATATTATTATATATAATTAAATATATTTAACATCTGGCACCTACATATTTGGTTCTGTGAATTATTAAGTAAAACAAATTATGAGACAAGGAATATGCACTGCATTTGTGTATGGGGCATTCCACGTGAAGCGGACAGGTAAAAAAACTCGATGTTTCCGATTTCAGTAATATTTGAGTATGTTCTACTTATACTTATTATTGATACGTATACTAAATATTTTTGTGATATAATGACTAGTTAAAGAGTAATGGGACTTTGAAGTTTTCGACAACCGGTTGGCATGCAATACTTCAAAGCCGATTATGGACTCATAAAATTATATATTAAAATAACTAAACCACTGGATTTCCAACTTTATTTACTGGGCTTTTTAACTGTGTTTTTGGAAAAGAAAAAAAAATTTTTTTTTCGTAAAAAAAAACCAATTTAAGTTTTTTTCCTTGATTTTCACCAAGTTAGACCATTTAGTTTTTTTTTATTTTTTTTTATATAAATTGCTAATATTGTATAGAACATTGGTGCCAACTTTTATAATGGGCGTGAAAGTGGATTAGGAGCTAGACTGAAAATACTGCCGCCGCTTGTGCGCGATTAGTCATCAAACTGTCAATCAAATAAAATCACTTTTGACGGAATGTTTTGTAGATTTTTAATAAAACCAATACATAGAAAAAATCCACGCGGACCAGGCAGCAGACGGGACTCGAACCCGCACCCTTCGCAATCCGGGCGAATGCACTGACCAATTATGCTACCGCGGCCCTCACGGACCGCGTCGAAATTCCTCTAGCCATTCTTAAGCAGCAAGGCAGCGCTATCTCTTCGCATTATAGGTAATCCACAATGTTATATTAAGAATGGCTAGAGGAATTTCGACGCGGTCCGTGAGGGCCGCGGTAGCATAATTGGTCAGTGCCTTTGCCCGGATTGCGAAGGGTGCGGGTTCGAGTCCCGTCTGCTGCCTGGTCCACGTGGATTTTTTTCTAGTTATATTTTCTTTAGATTTAAACATCAAGCAGTTACATGCTTTAAAGAAATAAAAATCATAACTTTAATTGCTATTTCTTCTTTCAAATATTTAATACTTGTAAAAGTATTCATTTGACATTGTGGGTTACCTATAATGCGAAGAGATGGCGCTGCCTTGCAGCTTAAGAATGGCTAGATTAATTTCGACGCGGTCCGTGAGGGCCGCAGTAGCATAATTGGTCAGTGCATTCGCCCGGATTGCGAAGGGTGCGGGTTCGAGTCCCGTCTGCTGCCTGGTCCGCGTGGAATTCTTTCTGTGTATTGGTTTTATTAAAAATCTACAAAACATTCCGTCAAAAGTCATTTTCAGTCTAGCTCCTAATCCACTTTCACGCCCATTATAAAAGTTGGCATCAATATTCTATACAATATTAGCAATTTATATAAAAAAAATAAAAAAAAACTAAATGGTCTAACTTGGTGAAAATCAAGGAAAAAAACTTAAATTGGTTTTTTTTTTACGAAAAAATATTTTTTTTTCTTTTCCAAAAACACAGTTAAAAAGCCCAGTAAATAAAGTAGGAAATCCAGTGGTTTAGTTATTTTAATATATAATTTTATGAGTCCATAATCGGCTTTGAAGTACTGCATGCCAACCGGTTGTCGAAAACTTCAAAGTCCCATTACTCTTTAACTAGTCATTATATCACAAAAATATTTGGTACACGTATCAATAATAAGTATAAGTAGAACATACTCAAATATTACTGAAATCGGAAACATCGAGTTTTTTTACCTGTCCGCTTCGCGTGGAATGCCCCGTATATCACAATCTTAGAGTTGCATACAGCCACTGCCAATTTTAGATAGTCTACGAATTAAAGTAAATGAATTTTATATATATGTACTACTAAAAAGAATATAAGTAAAAGATGACTTTTTGAATAAATACGGAAAATAAGTACAAGTTAAGTATATAATTTACATGCATTAGATAAACAGGTAGGGAATTGATTTAACTTCACACATTTTTGCGAAAATTGAGGCCCATAAAGCCTTGACACTTGACCCATTATTGAAAATTTTTATCCATTCTTGAATATCTAATGGGTCCCGATCGTTAAAGTAGCTTTGTTCATGACTTAACAGAATTATAGACTACTGGACTTGTTTTTTTTTTTCAGTTTTTATTTGCAGTTATATTTTACCTTTTTTGATTTTTTAAATTTACCTTTTTTTTTGTAGCACTTACTTATTACTCACTACAATAAAGAGGATAAAAAATATACAATACCTTTCTAATATCATTGCTACGAGTTAGCGGTGCAACGTTAACAGGCTCCGGTCGACGAAAAATCTCAAGAATATCTTGTAGTAGAAGATTATCTTCTTCAGTTATCTGGTTCATCATAAAATTCATAAAAAGTATTTCGGTTTCATCTGAAAATTATAAATTATTGATAAAAAGTCGACGAAAAGCTTAGAATACCGTAAATGTAATGATGTGTAGAGGTAATTCTTTCATCTATCGTTATGATTCTTCAAATGTTATCGAGGAAATGCAACTCAGTAATTACAATGGAAAGTGGAAATATTTGAAAAAATTAATTGCGTACCCTCCGAGGGTTGGTGGACCCTCAGTTTTTACGTGTTCATAATTTACTCTACTGCTACAAATTTGTAGTAAAAGCTAAGTTCCTTTGGCAAGCTTTAAAATTTATCAGAAGTAGTCAAAATGCTACCCTGTGAGTACGGGGTTGATATATTCTACCAGTACAGAATAAAAGATTAGTAAGTGGGTCCTCGGTCGAAACGCTTATAATCAAATTCACGACAATTCGCGGCCCAACTATTTGCTCCACAGAACACAGAAACCTCTTTCTTTATTCTGTGATTTGATCAGTGACCATATATTTATTATCTTAAGCATCTGCAGCCGTTAATACCACAACCACAACCAATGAAATACATCCGTAGCTAATGCCTATGCCCCTGCAGAGGGGACATCAAAAGGCTGATGATGAAATAACAATAATAATGAGAACTAAATATGTAGGTACTTTTTATGGAGGTAAATATCTCAAGATAGGGACATAGACAATTAAACCTTTTTATATCGAAACTTTAACTTTTAGCACACATTTAAAAATTAAAATTTTATATTTTATACATACAAAAATGATGTCTAACTAAACTAAAAGAATCTTCTGAATTATAGTGAATGTTGGTAATACCTTCTTTCCCCAACTGTTACTTACTAATATTCAATAAAATTATTGATTAAATCACAAACGTGGAGTATTTAAATTGGAACACGTACTCTGTATAAAACTAGGAATTAAAAATAAAAGTTAACTTACTTAAGCTAATAAGCTCTCTAGCTGAACTTAAACTAATTAACATGTACACAAAGATTAGGACTTTCATCCTGTTCGAATGAGTTTATAGCGGTGAATGACATCGAAAACTAACAAACACCTTTTTATATGAGTCGGAAAACGTGCACATTAGGTGCAGGGTTGTCGCTTGATATTTAAAAGTAATTTACCGACGAATGTGACTAAAATTCTTTGCTAAATAAATAACGCAAAACTCGCCCTTTAGAAAAACTTAAATATTTGTCTTTGTCTTCTACCTAATCCTATGTCGTCCCTAATGCGGTACTATCGGCTTAGCAAAATATCGATGATATTCTCAAGAATATAAGGTAATTTTGCGGGTGATCGCAACTCCGTTCCCATTGAAAACTTTTTCTGAAGATGAAATGTTGAGAAAACCATACAAAGAGTATCGTGTAATTGCTTGTGACCACGTAAGATTTTTGCATGAATACAATCCCTAGCTTGACTAAATGAAAGAAAATCATTCCACAACGTTATCGCATAAGTACCTACATAGTAAAACTATGTAGCCTATATACAAGTTTCAGAGACTAGTGTAAACAATGCGCTGGCAACTTTCTATTGTATTTGGATGAAGACTTGGACTCGAGTGCCCGATCAATGATAAGTAAATAACTGTAGTCACAGATTATCTATTGTAACTGAAACCTGTTAATGGCTGTTTTATTTATCCGGAATAGAGCTTACAATTCAATAATGTACCTAGGAACTCTTACTGAAGCATATATATCTGAAGAAGATTTCTGTCACTTTTATGCAACTACTCTTGTCTGTCTGTCTGTTTTTGTCTGTTGCGCACCATATGTATAACTTACAGTTTCTTCTCCATATCGAGATTGAGCTAAACCAAGTAGTAAACCGCCAAATTCTAGCAAAAGTAGGTTTCAAAATATGTTCTAAATAAGTACTACATACCTATTTTCGATACTCTCTCTACTAGGTTTTTCGTATTGATATATCCAAATAAGCTTATGCGGTTACGTTTCTCCTCGGTAACAGTCGTTATTTTAAACCGGAATGGTGTAATTCAGGAATTTTATATAACAACCCAACTTTATTAAATGAGTACCTACTTATTGAAGCAGGTAAAGATACAATTCCGCAATGAGCTGCAGGCGACACTGTGGCTAGCGCCTGCGGCTGACCGTGCATTATATGCATTGTGCAGCCGCGACATGTCGCCGCGCTCGGAATCAATTTCATAGAAACTAGTAGTGTCGCCTGCAGTCTGCAGTTGCGGCCTGTGGTCTGCGATTCAGTTCGGACTTGTACCTTAAGTCAGCATCCTCTCCTCTGTGTTGTATGCATGTATTAGCAAGTTATATTTAAAACCATGGTGATGACCTTAAACAAGCTACCTGCGCGGCTAAACGTGAACATTTTGTTTCATAACCGGCTCTTCATCTCGGGTAGAGTAAAGCCAAAAATTAACTCCTTTAACATAATTTCGAGGCGTGATTGAGAACAATATTTATTGGTCATCATACTCTATTATATTTTTACTAGAGGCGAACTTCGTACCGCCATAAAATAGTAATGATGTACACACATCAAAAGTGTCTAGGGATCAAGCATTTTTATGCGGATTTCTTGAGATTGAGATGTGGCTTTGTAATAAATTTATGATTTTATAAATTTATATGGATCCTTTTTGGTGCATTTCATAATTTGAATCAGGAACTGTGAATCAAATTCGAGTAAAAGATGAAAATCAGCTGTCAATATTTTCCCTATAAAAACATACAACGCATTGAAGACATTATTAGTGCTACTGTTTCCCTACTACTGATTAAAACCAACGTTATTATGGAGCGGCGACGTCATTTAAGCAGGGAAGAAATGCTCAGAGCCGTGGGAATGATAGAAGCTGGTTCCCGGCAACGTACTGTGGCTTTAGCTCTGAATACAAGTCAGTGTTATCAGTCGACTTTGGACACGATACCGAAGCACTGGTACCGTGGCTGAGCGCCATGGAGGACGGTATCGCTGCACCACACGGAGACAAGACCGATACATTCAAATCTTAACTCGAAGAGCTCCAACAATAACCGCCATGATGTTAGCCGTGAGGCTTCATCACTCTTCAGGGAACTTAATTAGCGACCAAACAGTCAGAAACCGCTTGCATGAAGTGAACCTTCATTCCCGAAGACCGCTACGGGTACCACCTATAGCAATGCACAATCGTAGGATTCGATATCAATGGGCCCTTGAACACAGAAATTGGGCAGAAGAACAATGGCGTTTCGTGTGCTTTTCTGATGAGTCTCGTTTTGGTATGAGACCGGATACAAGACATATACGACACTGGAGAACCCCTGGACGCCAACAGCGATTAAAATCCTGCCAGGAAGTCCATCCTTATAGTGGTGGAACCATCATGGTATGGGCGGGTATTTGGATCGGCGGAAGAACTGAGTTGATTTGGATCAGAGGCAACCTCAACGCTCAAATTTATGCTGAGACGATTGTATCAGACGTCATCGTTCCTCTACAAGTGCAAATCGGTCCCTTATTTCAGTTAATGCATGATAATGCACGACCGCACACCGCAAGAGTTGTAAGACAGACTCTCGCCGCAGCTAACATCAATGTCCTGCCCTGGCCTGCTCAGTCGCCAGACTTGAACCCGATTGAGCATGCATGGGATATGCTACAGAGAAGAGCTCTGCCGAATATGGAGGGTATCCAGTCGCAAGAAGACCTTTTTTTGTTGTTGCAACGAACATGGGCGGCCATTCCACAGCGTGATTTGGATGAACTCATTTTGAGTATGCCAAACCGATGTTCTTGTGTTGTTAGTGTTCGCGGTAGAAATACGGATTATTAATTGTTTAAGTTACCCAATAAAATTTTAGAGAAAACTGTTATTTCAGTCTTTTTTTCGAACTTTTGTGTTAGTGGTTCAAATGTCAAAAATCCCTTTATTAGGAAAATGGCAAATTTCTTTATTAATGCAAAGGTGACTTGGTTTATCGTTACTGTGACAAACGAAAACACTTTATTTGATGAATCCTTAAAGAAAATTTTAATTAATATCAATCAGGAGAAAAGTTATTGCAAAAATATATGTTGATCCCTAGACACTTTTGATGTGTGTATTTTAATGCCGAATCCCAAATTATAAAAAAAAATGGTTAAAAATTTTACTTAGGGATATGGAAAAAAAGTTGTCCTATTACCAGACCTACTGAATATACACACAAAATTTCATAAGAATCGGCCAAGCCGTTTTGTTATTAGAGATACATATATTATATGTTGATTTTACGCATTAAACTGCTGGATTTATGAATCTATGGAAAAAAAATACTAGTAATGCATAAAAAATTACTTACTTCAAGCACTCTCATCAATTAGTCTTAGAAAAAAATACACTTACCATATTCGACACAGTCATACTTATTTGGCATTGGTTGCGGTCAAGATATTATCCGGAAACATATATATCTTGTGGATAAATAGCCGATTAGAAAACATTATAATGCGATTCAAGTAAGAATAGGACCGACTGGGCGCCATATTTTGACGTCATAGCTGTCAATTCAAACCAAATAGGTAGAGTGAGCAAAAAAAAGTTTCTATTTAATAAAACTTATTTACTAAGTAAGAAAAAACAACCGATATTTAATAATATTTCTTTATTAAGACTGTGTGAGAAAGAAAATTAATCAGAATCTAGCTGATGACTCCGCTCATCTCTGCATTACCGCTGGAGTAGATGTATGAATAATCATGCAGGTCACATACGAACATGCATCATATATGTAAACGAAAGTTTAAATAGAGTTTCTGAACGCAATATAAAGTGACATTTGGTTGACGATTTAGGTTATCAACCATCCACAGCCAAAGCTCAATAAATGAAAAAAAATATCAGCCAATATTAATTATCAATATTTGTTATTGTTTGTTTAAAAATGTTTGGCTTTTAATCTAGAATTAGCTGAGTGCTAAAAAAGTGTTCCGAGATTTTTTGCAAACCGTACTTTTCATGCGACATTTGACAGATGGAGGTCATTGGCTTTCCTATTCTTATTTGAATCGCATTATAAGAGCGTACGCTGCATTAAGCGGGACACGAAGCGGGCGTCCACTCGGCGTGTTTGTTTCATGTTACCTATTTCATAGAGCAGCGCTCACTCTTCTATGAAATGACATAAAAAAATTGTGTGTGTCAGCTCCGACGCACGACGGGAGTTTACACTCTAAAAACGATTGTCTTTGAACAGACACAAAACAAAATCAAGTCCGAAGAAGTCGGTTACAAGTAGAGATATCTCAGGAATCGTCCCATGGTTTCGACTATCATAGGTTCCATGTCACACATTTTATCATCTAACATCAGCGATATTCATCATATATTTTATTATGTATTTCTGGAAACACACAATTTCAAAAATATCACACACTAGTCATCATTTTGTAAATATGTATTATAATTCCATCTGTACTGAAAATCACTATTCCAGAGTGCTGGACACTTACCGGCATTTCTCTATATTCTGTTATTTATTTGTTTTCATTAATTTTGCTCCGATTTTATCTATTTTTACTTTATTTATTTTATTGACATTTGTGACAACTTAATGTTTTTTATCCGTTGCCATGGCTAAAAGTGAAAAGTGCGCAGATGAGGTTGCGCACAGAAACGTAACGAGGTCATTAATGTCATTCATCGATAGATTTTACACCTTACATTTTTCTCATACCGGGCCCCTTATATATGCAAATGGATTCTTAAGGAGTAAACTCCAAAAATGCACTCCGGCGCCGCGCCGCGCAGACACCCGCTCCGTGCCCCGCTTAACGCGTACGCTCTTAGTTGTATCTGTAACATATATATATATATAACCAACTAGTTAAAAGTAGAATTTACCCCTGATATATTTGATTTGCAGATAAAACTAGTTGTTACACAAAGCTTTTGTTAAAACTAGCACTAGAGAAACTAATTTGGGATTGAAAACAAGATATAGTTTTAAAAATATTTATTAAAAAGATCTAGGACACAATAGTCACTTGTAATATGAATTACCGTAACCGCCAAAAGCCAATTTTTCAGGAGGCAAAAAAGTAATTTGAAAATTAAAAAAATATTATTACTTTATATATACTTACTTATTTTGAAATTGTTTATAACAATTGTCTTATATTTATGTGATCTTTTAGATAAACAAGATCTTAAAAAGCTAGCTATTATAGTTTAGAAAATAGCATGGTGCTTACGTAAAGTAAACCTGCAGTTATCACGCAAGTTAATCAGACTACCTAGAAAAACCTTGAAAGAAATCGTGGGTGTACTCCCGGTCATGGCTATTTCTACAAACACCTTTGTAATTTAGGTATTTCTGACAGCCCTCTGTGCAGAGTCTGCCTGGAGGAGAAAGAGACGAACGCCCACGTTCTGTTGGAGTGTAGAGGCGTTGCAAGGCAAAGGTCTTCTCCACACTGGGAAATCCACGGACACTAGTAGAAGCCTGCACCAAAACCCGAGGACTGCTGAGCTTTCCTGAGGAACTGGGATGGTACGACTGATGCCATTCCTCACGCAAAATAGGCACATGGTGCCGGCCCTAACCGTATCCCTAAACCTACCCCGTAAAAGCCTAGAACCTTGCTTACCAACTGAAACACAATACCAGCAAAAGGTTGCGTTGTTTCATTGCGACCTTCGGTAATGCAGAGGTTGCTTCTTCAGATCGAGCGTGCAATCTGCTATAGCCTATTTCAAATATAGAGCTTCTCAGTAATGTATTATATTCCTCTGCGGCAATGTATTTCATACAAATGCATATATACCTACCATTCATATATACCATTATTAGCGCTTCATTAAACCAACTGAACATTTTGAAGTTCATTTAAATATGATCATTAAAAACACTAGTTCAAATTAATCTTAACAATATATTAACATTTTAAAAACTTTGCATTTAATCATATAATCAAAACTTAAACTTCTGTCATTTCAACATCTTCAATATTTAAGTCGTCCAACATTTCGGCCAGGGTGATGCGAGGCAATGTAGGGTCTATTTCATCTGTATCAACAGGGATTTTATTTTGATCTTTAAATATGTTGATATTTTGTCTGAACGCAGGGTCTTCCTCCAAGTCATCAAGGAACTCGTTGTAGTCTCTGTAAACGACAAATATTAATGATGTTTAAACAGTGACTGATTTGTTGTTCTGTCAACAAGTAAAAGTGTCTTGATCAACAGGGTTATTTTTAAAATACCGGTTACCTCTCTGTACTAGATAGCTTACACCATACACAACGTTTTTTTTCTTTATTTATTTAGAGGCTTTCATTCAACGAATATGCCAGCCTCGTCGTACCCTTTTTTTTTTTGTGACGAGGGGAAATACCGTGACGCTGACTAGGCGTACGGCGTGTGTGGGGCTCGCCGACACGGGAAACAGTGCCGACCCTACTCAAGTAGGACCAGTGCGGAAGGCCACACTGATCCTACTCCACTAAAACCCCCCGGTACCCTCCTACGCCCATATGGGGGCGTCTCGGGGCCGACGCACCTGCGTGCGCCACATCTCCGAGCACGCCCCCGGGCAGGCCCGGCCCAACGAGTGGACCGGGCGACGCGCCTCAGGGGGACTGCGCTAGGGTACTAGGCAGTCCCCAGACGTGGTGGCCTATGCCGGAGCGGCACCTAGGACGCGCGGCTGGTCAGGCCGCGCCCAGACCACCTTAGGGCCGTCGAAGACCGGCAGTCACCGCTGCCTGCCTTCTTCGGCCCACCCGTCTACGCCGGAGAGGGGCGGCTAGAGCGTCCTCCTCCCGCTCCCTCCTTCTGCGTCATCACCGATTCGCAGAAGGAGGCGGCAACCCTCCAGGCTCTCTCGCTACCAAGCATGGCTCTTACCATACTTGGTAGCGTGAGGCCTCCTACGCCGAGCGCAGCGATCAGATCGCGGCGCTCATCTCGCCAGGCCGGGCACACGATCAACGTGTGCTCGGCCGTGTCATCGGGAGAGGCGCAGTGATGGCACCGCGGCGTCTCCTCCCGACGGGCGACTCGGTGCAGGTAGTGACCGAAGCATCCATGTCCGGTCAGTACCTGCACCAGGCGGTAGGTGAGGGTGCCCCGCTGGCGCCCTACCCACTCCTCCAACACCGGACGAATCGCCTCGATCGTCCGGTGGCCAGCGGCTGGGTTGGCGAGTGCCTCCACCCATCGGCGCAGAGCCTCCCTCTGCGCCTCGGTGCGGACCCGTTCTATCTCCTCTAGAACGGGACAGTACCAGGGCATCAATCTCCCACGGGAGCGTGCCTGCTAGGACGCAGGCAGCCCCGTGGCTGACCGTGCGGTAAGCCCGCACGGCCCGGGTCGCGATGACCCTCTGCGGTCTTCGCAGGAGGGCCCTCGCGCGGGACGAGAGGCACTCCGCCCAGACCGGGGCCCCGTACAGCGCCATCGACTTTATCACGGAGTGATAAAGCCGACGGCACTTCGCCTTCGGCCCCCCCCACATTGGTGAGGAGGCGACCGAGTCCGGCTGCGACGCCGCACAGCCGGGGAGCGAGGAGCCTGAACTGCTCCTCCCAGCTCCATCGGGGGTCTAGGGTCAGGCCGAGATACTTGAGATACATCTCGCCCGGAACCTACACCCCCTCTACCCGGGCACGAAGCCCCGGCGGGGTCCTGCATCTGGGAGCCTCGTCGTACCCTAACAAAAATATACACAATTAATTTAATTGAAAACATTGGAGAGGGCGAGCTATTGAAAACCATATCAAACATCGACTTTGTTGCGTGTGAGTGTGGTAGGGACAAAATCGGGGGTGAAGGAAGAGGGCGCGCGGGCGGGGCTGGACGCGGCGCTAGCGTTTGAACTTGATTGACCTATTTATCTACGGCCGCCAGTCGGCCGGCGCCTTTGATGCGCGTGAAACTTCCTTGTGTGCAAAAATTGTTCGTCATCTTACGCCTGCATTTATTTAATAAAAACGAAAACACAATAATAGGTACCAAGATGTAAGTAGTGTATCTTGTAAAGAAATACAATATTAATTATTGGATAGCGCACGAGCGTTGCCCTTTTGATTATGAAGGAAGCATAGACGTATAACTGTCACGACAGTATACCAAAAACTTATATTTTTTTATTGATCAAAGTATTGAGTTATGTTAAAATTCGAAGAATAAACGTTGTTGTGTATGATGTTAGCAATCTAGTCCGGCGAGGTTTCTGGTATTTTAAAATTAACCCTGTATATTATTTATTATTTTAAGCATTACACTTCTAGATCAATAAATTTAATGATAAGTATATCATATACATAAGGATTATACAGGGTTATTTTTAAAACACCAACAACCTCTTAGGGTTGATTCTACTCATCAACAGGATCAACTTTAATTATGGGACCAACGTTGAAATCGCGAGAAAAAATCTGCTGTTTATCAATAAATAAAAATGTTACACATCATACGGGACTACTGTAAGGCTCGCTCGTTTCTTTCTAGTTTTTTTTACTTACTCGTTAGTAGAGCTAAGGCCTTCATGGAGTTCTTCTGCCATGTGTTTGAGTTTCCAGTTACGGGCGCGGCGCCGTGCGGATCGCTCGCCATAAAACTTTTTCACCAGAAAAACGTCGGGCACTACATTCGGGTCCAACTTGTCGAAGTTTGAATCATTTACGTTCGAGTTGCTAAGGTTGTATCTGTTGGCATACATAACTTTTGTCAGAGGCATATTATGTAAATCTATAACAAATACGCAGGACCAATGCAAGTATATATTAAATTGTTTTTCCAGATTTATTGGATATAGTACTTGAAAAATGTCATCCATCACCATGAACGTTAGTGTGAAAATAGAGATTGTCGAAAGGCGTAACAATAGTTACAATTTTAACAATACCTATCTTACATGATCTGTGATGGATCTGTTAAAAAAACACGTTATTCAAGATAGGCCTTTCAAAAGTAAAATTTACCCTAAAACTGTATCACCAGGCTTCAATATATGTCCAAGATGGGTTTTAGTATGTACTGGGTTCACATCAAGACCCAGTTCACTAGCTTTAACAACCCAAATATCAGCCACCACATGTTTGTTAGACACCGCACCTTGACCTGGAAAGGACTTCTTTTCCTAAAAAAATCCACAGGCTAGTCATAAACACTGTTAAAATAAAAAATATTTAATATTATTTTAGAATTACCTTATGATAATAATTAAGAATAGAAGCTAAGAATGTTTAGTTCAATATCTTTGGTCCTATAAGAGTATTTATTGAATATGAAATTTTGTAAAGCCAGGGCACTATTTGCGAACTATTTTTGTGTGTCAATTTCGTTGCTTAAATATATACCGTTCTTGGAAACGGCCATGGGTACGCTAGCTTGACGCTAGCGTACACAGTAAAAATGGTCTTTATTTCTTAAATTGAAGAGGCACTATTTTTTTTTATTTTTACACTAATTTGGCACTATTTATTTATTTAGTAATGGCATAACGAAAAACCGTTTATTGATCGTGGGTACGCTACCATCCCGGACACTGATGAACGCTGATTTGACACATTATAATAGTGAAGTGTAAAGTCAATTTGATATTGAAAAAATTAAACGTATGCTTAGATCAAAACAAAAAGGGAAGATACGGCACTCGCAGCTCATAAGTAATCCGCTTAAATTGTGGTGCATGACCACAATTCACTTAGTCACAATTGGACATTCAAACACGCTATGCTATAAAGATAAAACAATGCCTTTGATGCTTTTATAACGGATACAAATAGTTTAAAATCTAATGACAAATTTCACGGCAACATGAGCTCGAGTGTAGACAGATTTCAGTGCGGTCAAACTATGGTTAGGGCATATCTAACTATATAAACTCTTAAAATACTTACATGTTCTTTTAAAATATCAATGTCCATCACAATATACTCCACTAATTGCTTGGGATTGCAGATTGGAGTGAAAGGATATCGCCAGTACAGTGTTGAAGAAAGATCACAAACTGCAAAAATAGAAGCTTTTTAATATTAAATCCTTATTATTACTCCAATGTGTTATTTTAGACATTAAACAACTACACTTCCGAACTCACTCTCCGAAACAACGATTAAAAATGGGTCATAATAAGCGACATGTCACTGTAAGCGAAGTCATTATAGCCGACTTTGTTACAATGTATTTTATATGAAAACCAAACTTCGTTGTGTAATTACATCATAATAGGCGGTTAGTCAATATAGGCGGAGTCATAATAAACAGATTCTACTGTGCAAGTATTTTCATATAGAAATACATATTAAACATCCATGACTGGAGTAAAATGCTCATATACATCATAGAAACATCTGCGCCCACCGGGATTCGAACCCACGACCTTTCGAGCAGGCGACACCTTGAAACGCAGCGTACATACCACTCGGCTATGCAGGACTGACTAAAAGTTGGTAACGGATTATCTAGAAAAGCAAGAAATTGTAATGTTTAAATAGTATTTCAAACTTCATCCCAAGATAAATTATATACCTAAACACTTGATTATGTCATCTTGAATTCTTGACAGACAAGGGAATAAGAATATAAAAATCATACCTTGTCCGGTATTAGCATCAATTAAATGAATGGTGCTGGTCACTCTGTTAACCAAGCAAATTGGAGATATAGAACCCAACTGATGAGTTAACTTTTTGGGCAGGCAAACTAGGCTGTCCTTTGATAATGGTACAATTTCAATACTGAATGTGAATTTGTAATTGTATACATTGCTGTGAATATCATGAGATATAAGTTTCTTGGAATGCTGGCATTTGATTGGAAGAACTGATTGTACAAAGTCCACCATTTTACGTGCATGACTTTCAGTTGCATAAAAGAAATCCAGTCCATCTGCAAATATCAAAAATATTCAATAAAAGAATTTTGCAATTTCTGCAATTCTGACTTAGTAACAAAATGCAATTCCTTACCATGTTTGGGTTTAATGCCCAGGGTATTTTCATGAGCTTTGTGCTTCAAAATTAATTGTTCCAAATAATAAAAAGTCTTTCGGTTATTAGCTCTTTGCCTTACTTGAACTAAAGCTCTCCAATAATCTTGAGCTTCAGAGCGATGGCAGGCATCACACATTTGATGTTGTATAGTGTACTCCACTATAAAAGTCTGCTGAAGCACAGCTCCTCCCATAACTTCACCTTGAACTGTTAGTTTCACCTAAAACAATTTGTATAACCCTATTTACTCATGTTATGCTTTGCTGCTGAATTCTCACGATTAATTAACTTGTAGTAGTCTGCCCTAGCACCTATGGTAAGTCACGATTGTCAAAAGCAAGAATTTAAAAAGTTTTTTGACAGCTCCTGCCTCTACTCAGTGCGTGTTGACTTGAATGTCATTATCTGTTTTCGTGCTACGGCTGGCTTATTTTTTTTCAGATTCTGCTCGTTGTGTACTTGATTTTTACACGTGCGGGATTATTTTTTCTTATAAAACCAAATGAATTACAGTTGATTGACTTATATTTTGTGTTTTTTGAACGTGGCATCTATGTTACTAATACTAGTAAGTGTTTTCTGGTGTAGATGGACGTAGACAATGTGCCCCCTGTTGGGGGCGGCGGACGTGCTGGCCACATGATAGATCCAATTCTCATAAGCGAACAGGATTTGAGACTACTGTCCAGGCAAAAATGAAATCGGTAATTCCAAGTGCTTCCAAACAGCACTCATATATCATTCCAGAGTTTGCGGCAGGTTCTAAACTCACATACTCTCACATAGATATGGCTCCTTTCATTAGCTAGAACTAAACCCGACCCAGCAACTGGTCTTAGTATGAGACTGCTTAAGTTCGCTCAGTTTGACAGGGTCTCTGGCATTGTAAAGGATGGTATTAAGTCATCAAGACGCAATCGAATTTTGGTGGAACTCATGGATGCTGACTCCTTGTAGTAGCTCTGCATGCTTTGATTTTGGAGCATTTTGCCTTAGTTTTTTAATATTTCTTTGGGTCTGCGACTAATTTGGTGCAAGCTGACATCCTAGCCACTAAAATAGAGGGGACTTCTTTAAATACAATGACATTCATGTTGGAGCGCACTGAGTAGAGACAGCCTTAGTATTTACCGGTGAAGCTATTGATATCCTGGAAGCTGTCTTAGTTATAGTCTCACGATCTGAATAACTTAATCTAGTCTTAATCTAAATTGCCTATTGTATTAAAAATTAGGGAAGCATTATTGAGATGCCACTTAAAAGGAACAAACATAGCCCTAGCCTGGATCCCTGGGCATAATGGTATTCCTGGCAACGAAACTGTGGATACATGTGCTAAACACGCCATTTCTCCTGGCCTCCCGAAGTACTCTAGAGTCTTCTACCAGGACTTATATTCCATAACGCGTGAGCGTTTATTTAAATCATGGGAAACTCACAGGCTACAGACTAAGAATCGTGTTGGTAAATACTACTTCGATATACAGCAAAATATTCCATCCAAACCATGGTTTTTCAAGGTGAAAAATCTTAATAAAAAAGTGGTCTCTACAATTTGTAGATTAAGGATAGGTCATGCTACTACCCCTGTTCACTTAGCTAGGTTAAAATAACGTGACAGCCCTACATGTGATTGTGGAACCGAGGATGGTACAGTGGATCATCTTTTCTTTAACTGCCCCAAATTAAACATCTCTCTCTATGACATTTTACCTCCCACTATTCCTCGTCCTATAAGCATGAAAGTCCTACTATGTTTTTGTGATTACTCAACCCTCAAGCTCTTGGCCAAATTTATTTCCCATAACAAAGCTCCCTTGCTTTACTTGTTTAATGTTTGTATTGTCCTGATTGTGAGGTTTTTCTTTACAGGTAAAAGTGCTTATAAAATACAGGGTGTAAAAAAACCTTTAACGAAGTCGAAGGCCACGTATTTTCCACATCATGACGATCATTTTTTTCTTCTGGACCATACCTGGGAAAATTTTACATTAATATTTTCTAAACGTTATTTAGAAACTTTTTCCTGAGGAACATATTTTTTTTTTTAGTATTTCTTCCATAATAAGGCTTTTGTCTTTACAACGAGAAATGTACAGCAACGCATGCACACGCACCGACGCGCTGTGCCCCGCGCCCGCGCTCGTATCAGCTGACACGTAGGTCAACAACCGACAACCCAGTCAACACCGGGGTTTAATCCAACCACTTATTAAAACGAAATGCGTAAATTAGTCATTTACCCCTTATTAGGTTTGCTTAAAAAAACATTTAATTAAAATGAAAGTTACACTAGCCATATTTTTTTTTAAACAAGTAGATTCCCAAATTTTTTATTGTTTATGTAACAAACTAAACCATGCTTCTGGCTTTTATTTTCCATAACGGTTAACATTGCCATAATCATCAAAAAAAAATGTAAATAATAACAGGAACGTTTTTTTTACACGAGGCGCAACGAATTACCACAGATGTTCAGTGTAAGTGGAGTCCAATCGCGAAGAAAGATGATGCGTCGTCGACATGTAGTGTCCCATACCACCGTGCATAAAGTTTTAAGAAGGGACAGGCAGAGGCAGTATAAAATCCACCGCGTGCAAGCACTGGTACCAGGCGACGCCCAGCGCCGCATGGCTTATTGTCAGTGGCTGTTGAGACAAGATCGAGGTTTTGTTCGACACATCATTTTCACTGATGAAAGCACATTCACTAATAATGGCATGTGGAACCGTCGAAATGCTCATTACTGGTCTGCTGAAAATCCCAACCAGACTCAAGAAACGGGCTTCCAGGCGCGGTGGAAACACGACGTATGGGCAGGCATTGTGGGGAACCGGATCCTCGGTCCCGTTTTTTTGCCGCCTAGAGTGGACGGGGCCGCCTATTTAAATTTAATTGACACCGATTTGTCGGAGGCCTTAGACGACATGCCGCTGGCCGAGTTGCGGGAGACTTGGTACCAGCACGACGGTGCACCGCCTCACATCGTAAGACCAGTTCGGCAGCGGCTGACGGAGCTGTTCGGAGACCACTGGATCGGCAGAAATGGGCCGCACGCGTGGCCAGCGCGTTCGCCTGATTTGACGCCTTTGGATTTTTTTCCTGTGGGGTTTCGTCAAAGACCGTGTTTTTGACCGCCCCTGTCAGACTAGTGATCAAATGCGTCAAAAAATTATTGACGTATTTGAAGAACTGAAATATCGGTCTGTACGGGAAGGAATACTGGAGCGCGTCCATCAAAATACGCTGTACCGGGCACGCGTTTGCTTACATGTGGAAGGTCGCCAGTTCGAGCCACAACTTATCCGGTTCGAGCGGCCGATTCCAGACGAGGTCGAGTAGTCGGTAAGTAGTAAAAGTACTTACGTAGCTCTAAATCTAAACAAATTCCATAAGGGCTGTTTTTAAATGTAGGAACTTTGGAAGTAAATAATCAAGTAATTTTGTGTACATAATACTCCCGCTAGGTAGTGGAGAAGCGCGTTCTATCGACGCACTTACACACACGCACACACTTACACACAGGCACATTATTTGCGTAGCGCCACAGTAGCGCGGCGCGCTATACATTGCGTACTGGAAAAAAATTTATATATTTTTAACTTAAAAATAGAAATGATTTCCCACATATAATATTTTGTAATATTACTTGTTTGGGTGTACAGAATGCGTAGTTTTAGTTTTTGACATTGGTTTTTTTACACCCTGTAGGTAACCAAAATTCAGATTTTTAACTGTCATTCCCTTACGTGTAATGGCTAATCACTTGACATTGGCGGAGCTGTGCTAAGTCACAATGCAAGTCATCATAAAAGAAGAAGAAGAGTAGAGACAGGAGTTATCAAAAATCTTTTTAAATTCTCGCTTTGGACAATTACGACTGGCTGTAGGTACTAAGAGACTACTGCAAGTTAATTAATCGGCTTGAATTGAGCAGCTCATATAATTATAATACAACTTAACCTACATGTAAGCTTGTTTTATTATTTATTGCACTCCAAAAATAGACATTTTTATATAAATAATGTGTTTAGGCATAAACAAAAGTAAATGTAAATTAATAAATTATTAAACATAATTATAGCATTGAAAAGATTTAGTGGTCAAAATTAAATAATCAACAATACCTTTATTCTTTTTGAATGTGGTTCAGTCCAGGCAAAGCCAGCATCAATAAGTTTAACCCTGTTCAAACCTTTTAACCTCTTAAGGCATAATGCAAGCAGTTCCCTGGACTCAAGAGCACAAACCAGCCATTCAGCCGGTGGTTGTAAGTACCTGAAAAATTACAAACAAATCTTTATAACTTTTAATATATTTAATAACATGCCACATTGTGCCTTAACTTGATACCAGATATCATGCTCTAAAGAGAATAATAAGGTAGGTAAGGTGTAATGACACACAACAATGGGGATAGGTACTTTCAATTTTAAGAATTCATAAATATTTAAAGCCCTAAAAATATTCCCATAATTTTAATTACATTGTTAATTTAATTGATTAGTTGTTTTCTTTATTATTACTCTTTTTATATATAAATAAAATACATTTTTTTACCTCTCACATCCCCTACAAAAGAACAAAGTGGCCTGTTTAGGTATACCATCAGTGATATCCACATGACCTCGTAGACACGCAACACACATGTTGGATGGATTTGCTTCAATAGGAACAGCACATTGGCAGCAAAGTCTGCAAAAAGGGAGATAATAGAATATCATTTCATTCATTTATTTTCTTTAAAACATGCTTCTAACCTAAATTAAGATGCTTACACCCTTGTGCTGTTTGAAGGAAGAATTTCTTCAGGTGATATATATTCCATTATCGGTATGTAAAATGTATAATGTAGGTACTTGAAAAATACTTAATTTTACGACAAATGCACTTGTTTTTGTCCAGTAATCAAATCAATCACCACGATACCACACTTCCCCCTTCCCCAGTTCACCACAGACAAATTTACAGGTCACAGATTATGTTGAACTCTTTTTTTAATTTATTGGCAATGGATACATGATGTTGAACTTTTGGTACCAGTGCTGCCAACCCGAATTTTAGAAAATTAGTAGATTATGTGCCAAATGTTGGTAGAAGTTGGAAGAAAGTAAAATGCAAAATTGGTAGAGCTACCACCTCAATTTAGAAGATTTTTTAATATTAAAAATGCATGAACTGTTCTTAAAACGTTTATTTTGGAAATTAATATTTCACAAAATATATATTTTTTTTTTTTTTTAATTTTTAAATATTCTGCGCTAGACTGCCCGTTGTTTGCTATGAATCTTTTAGTACGCAACAATCCCTCTAGAGTTTCTAGCTTTTCATGGCGGAGTTCCTAACCTAGAACTCTGTGCATCGCTTTCGTTGCCGTCAGAATCCATTATACATATAAATAAATGCACGCAACACAGAACATACTGCAATTAGCACCGTTAATACGTAGTTATTTAGTTTTCACAACAAAACAGGAGCAAAGATTCACCATTGATATCGCAACAAACCAACCGGGAATGGGCCACAGAACAGTATAATAATATCTATGGGCGCAAAATTGTGCAAACGGCGCAAACGGCAAACTGTTGCTGACGTTTTTTTTGTGGTTTATGGCTTGGACTCTATGTATGCGTGACGCATCGTCGCATGGCTCCCGCAACACATCGCAACGTCGCTCGTCGATATAAAAATAATTCAAAGGGGTGACATGTCAAACTCATTAAAAAAATTGGTAGTTTTTAGGTCTAGGGTGGTAGATAGCTAGACTGAAGTGAAAATTGGTAGATTTACCAAAAAGTTGGTAGATATGACAGCACTGCTTGGTACCACTTTCGCGGCTATTCGTGTTTGCTATTTGTCAACGTGACATCAGTTTATCTTTTTCATTTCTGATCAAGCATTATGGGGACAAACTTTTGTCAAGTGGACTACCTCACAGAAGCTTATCGATATAGCGGACTCGATACATTTCGTGCCAAACACTCCAAAAAATATCAAAATGTTTTACACCCTCATTCTAATGTAACATTAATAAATCTGAAGACTAGGCTGTATGAGCATTGTTTCTTTTGCCTTCCCTGAAAAGGCAGATCGTTAAAAAATGTGAGGACTGAGGTTATTTTCACGATATTTACCTGAGATTTACGTAATCGGTTTTAGTATCAACTGGACTAGTTTAACTGATTTCACCATAAAAATGTTGGGACGCCTGGGGAAAAAGCAACTTGAAATTGCCACCGCTTTCTGTACATCAGCTGCTGGATTTGGAGGTGCTGCGTTTGTATCTCTTCTGTACGTGACCGACTGGAAGGTGTTCGTCACATATATCCCGTTCTATTCAGGCAAATTCCCCGAAAGTGAAAATGAAAAGTGAAGCAGAGGATATACTCTTACTGAATTTAAGTAGCAAGTAAAATATGTGTAATTACAGATGTGATTATAAGCCCTAAACGAGCAGCGAACTTTGTTTTACTTTCCTACATTTGGATTGCTATGACTGGCTAGTTATATTAATATAATATTCAATATGCTTGACAATTTATTGATGAATGCTGGTACCTAGGTATATAAAAAACCAGTTGGTATGATGCAGTCTTTTTAAATGTTATAAAAATATGATGCTAGGACACAACTAGGATGTGTACATTTTTTAAAGAATTGCTAGTTTTGAGTACTGTCCTCTTAATATAGTTTTAATGAAGCATTAAACAAAAAAATTTTACTCTACAAATTCAACACTCCTCAGGTACTATCAGCCTATTTGATTCCTGACCCATCTCAAGCTTATTTTTTACAAATATTCCAATACTGTCACAAAATGTTTATGAAACATACTTTTGAATGTCTGAATAATGATAATTGCAATGACAGACATTGCCGCCTCCCTGTGTATGAACTATGTTTTTGATGTTTCAGTTTTTAGTTATATCCATAGATATAATTTCAGATTTGACTTAACTTTGAATTTGCTGAAAACATTGAAGAGAAATAATGGTGTAGATTCTGGCATGATTCTCTAAACTTAAAACTAAATTTAACATCAGTCTCTCCTTTTCATGCTTCAAAGAGAATTACAAGGATACACTGTTGTCAAATTTAAGTTTAGATTTAGAGAATCATGTCAGAATCGACACCAATGTGTTGTTAAATTTAAAACACAAATTTGTTCAAATCTGCCTCCCCATGGATTTGAATTGACATGGAGCAGTTTTGAACAATGGGTATGAGGGAACCAGAAAAAAGAGGATAGACTAATAATTTATCTTTATTATAATGATATTTATTGTTATTAAAATTAAAATAAAAGAGCGAGCCTTACATCCTCATTTGATGTGTAACATTTGAAACCTCACCTTATATTAGTAAAAAAAAATTGTGTGTGTCAGCTCCGACGCATGACTGGAGTTTACTCCTTAAGTTCGATAGTCTAACCAGACGCAAAAAGAGTTTATTTAACTTAAAAAAGATTGATACTGTATGAAAGGGTAAATTAACAAATTAATGAAATAATATACATATATTAATATATATTTATTCATTTCATATACATTTATTATAACTAATCGACGAAATATTTTACATTAAACTTTTTACAATAGGCAATTTCAGATGTGCATAAACATATCATTACGAATGTTGATAAGTTATGTAATTATTATTATCAGACTATTATAATTTTTTTAAATATTAATTAAATCAACATTGTCTGCATTATTAATTACAGTGACAAGTGGTTTACGGTAACTAAAATAAGACACATGGACGTTCATAGATACGTGGTTCACGAATCTTGAAAATACCGCATCAATGGTTGTACCATACCCAGAAACAATATCTTAATTCAGTTCAGATTTTAAAAATTTTATTAATGTCAATCCGTCATCTTTGTTTGTCAAAGTTGCGCGACATAGGATGCGCACCAAAAACGTACCTAGGTCATTCATCGATAGATTTTACTCCTCACATTTTTCTCATACCGGGCCCCTTATAAAGGAGTAAACTCCAAAAAAGAAATAAAACCTACTACAAAAGGAATAAGCCATTTGAACATGATGTTCTAAAATCAAATCAAATAGTGCGCGCTTCCCAAACTTCCTGTTACACTTCCATCCCACTTCATGTAATCACTCCCACAAATTGCACGAAAGCGAGAGGAAAGATTTTAAACGTCAATAAACTTACACGAAACTTCTAAAGTTACATCTTGCATTACAGTTACAAAAATAAAAATAGTAATTTTTAATTGTGTCTGACTTCCATATGCATCTGCAGCTCTTCTTAGTTTCATAGTTCCGTTGATGACGCATAAAACAGCATTTTGGACATTAATCAAGATGATGTCCAAAATTGTATGTTCTAACCAATCTATAAATAATGAATTACTATACAGTTAGTGATGCATTTAATTACAATTAAGTATTACAGTTAGAATACATGTATTAGAAAACATTTGAAATTTGCATTTGAACGTCCCGTTCAAATCTGCCCCGTTTGTTTTGATCAAATCTGCCCCATGGTCACTTGGAAGATAAAATATTACAAATGTGAAATAACTGGCAAGCAAAAACTACAAGGTGGATTGAAAACTAATTAGTACTGCACATTTTTGTGAAAGTTGGAAACCTTTACTCACGTAAAACCCTTACAACATTTATTTTTATTTTTTACTTCACCGGTACAAATACGACGACAGGTTAAATTTTTTTTTAAAACGAAACGCGCGCGCTCTGTTACTTGACGTTTGTCACAGCCAGTGCTGCCAATATTAAAATATAGTTGCGGCATGGATTAACATAGAGTTACGTTCAGAAATCAACATGTTCAAATCTGCCCCTGTGGTAAGGTGCCTCCTCTTCTATGATTTTTTTATATCATCTTTATGAATTTTCAAGATTGTTGATAATATTGGTTATGTTCTAGCCTTATTTTAGAGAGCCCTTCTCATTTTATCGAGACCTTGAGCTGGGTGAAATGAGCATGGAGTAGTCCTCAAATGTCCTCGTTGTAACTTCCGTTGACATCATGCCTATTCTAGACATTAAATTAAAATACAGTGTGAACTCTATATATCGACATTAAAGGACTGTACATTTTATGGCGTTATAGAGAGTTGTCGTTAAATGTGTTCTCCCTTCTTTCTTCCTTCAACTAGAATTAGTTAATCAAATAAAAATGTAGGTCAGTAATGAATGCTTTTTGTTAGAGCGACAAATTGCTAGGAGTTTATATTTGCGTGTAATCTCATTGCTGTTATTCGTATGGTTTGTGGTTGTCAGAATTATTTGAATATACTGACTGACATGCACTTCAAGTTTTTGGTTGTTACTTGCTTAGATACGTTGTTTGTACTCATGTGTTCTATTTTGTTTGTAAATATATATTAAGTCAATATTAGCTGGCATTCTTTATTTATTATATATGATCGAGGTTATCTAGTCCTCGATCAGGTTATGGGCCGCATATGATAAATATAAGAAGACTTAAAATATGGCTACACAAGGAAATAGTATGAAGGTAAATTCGAGCAGCGATGGATCGGAGAGATCTCAGCCTTCACACGACACAGGTATGAGCATAGAGAAACTCGATGGAAATTCGAATTATAGTACTTGGAAATTTTTGGTAGAATTATATCTAATTCACGATGATTTATGGGAGTACACACAAACAACGCCAGATAAAACTGATGTAGTAGGCTGTAGGAAAGACCAAAAAGCGAGAGCAAAAATATGCTTGATGGTAAAGCCCCACTGTCTGATTCACGTTCGAAACGCTAAGACAGCTAAAGAAGCGTGGGACGCTTTGAGATCGGCTTTTGAAGATAAGGGTCTTAACAACCGTTGCAGACTTTTGACCAAGTTAGTTAGCCTAAAACTTGATCAATTTACATCAGTTAGGAGTTATGTAACAGAAATAATGTTAGTAGCGCAGCAATTACGGGACATCGGTAAAGAAGTTGACGATGAGATGCTAGCTGCTCTCATGTTACAAGGTTTGACCGAAACTTTTCAACCAATGAGGCTTGCGATTGAAAACTCAGGAGTAGAGTTGACCACAGATTACATAAAAACCAAATTACTTCAAATGGAAGATTCGTATAACACTAGTAGTTCAAGCAGTAATGATATAGCATTGCGTGTTGATACACATAACAAGACTAGGAGATTTCCATACAAGAAGTCACAGAAGATAAAATGTTTTATTTGTAATGGACCACATAAAGCGAGAGATTGTCCAGAGAACTCAAAAAATAAGAAGGCTTCGTTAGCATTGGGACTTGCAACTTCAGGAAAACCAGACGAGTGGATTTTAGATTCTGGGGCATCAAGCCATATGACTAACAGCAAAGAGTATTTAATGGACGTTAGAATGTATGACAAAAAAGTGGAAATCGGATGTGCGAATGGTAGTAAAGTATATGGTATTGGAGAAGGTTCTGTGGTATGTAAGGAGAATGTTGCAGGCGTAAGTGAAGTGATGTATGTACCACACTTAGCAACTAACTTGTTGAGCGTGAGTGCTATTGTAAAGAAGAATGTAGTTGTTGTATTTTCAGCGAAAGGCTATGAACTGTTGAAAGCGGATGGATGTAAGGTTACTGGTGATGTCTTATATACAGGTGTGGAGGATAATGGTGTTTATAAACTTAAGCTCTGTTCACAGGAGAAAGCACTAGCCTCGACTGTCAGTACCATAGACATAGAGTTGTGGCATAGACGTATGGGACATCTTGGTGTACGGAACCTTAAGCTGCTGAGAGACAAATTGGCTACAGGGGTAAGTTTTACTAATAATCCAGTTAACTTACAGTGTAGAACTTGTTTGATGGGAAAGCAGACCAAACAACCGTTTAAAAAGGGTTTAGCAAACAGAGCTGATGATATTTTAGGTTTGGTTCATACTGATGTATGTGGACCAATGAGTAAAGACTCAATGTCGGGCTGTAAATATTTTCTAACGTTTATTGATGATTTTACAAGAAAAACTTTTGTATATTTTATCAAAAACAAAAGTGAAGTCTTTCAAAAATTTTTAGATTTCAAGACATTTGCTGAGAACCAGTCTGGAAAGAAATTAAAAATTCTTCGATCGGATAATGGCAAGGAGTATGTCAATGAGCAGATGAAGAAATTTTTGAAGCAGTGTGGTATACAACAGCAATTAACGGTTGAGTATACACCCGAGCAGAATGGAGTTGCAGAACGTGCAAACCGCACAATAACAGAAAAAGCTAGAAGTATGCTTCAGGAAGCAGAGCTAGATGAAAAGTTCTGGGCAGAGGCGGTGAACTACGCTGTGTATTTAAAGAATAGATCACCGACCATTGCAGTTAAAGGTAAAACGCCAGAGGAAGCGTGGACTGGAAGGAAGCAAGACTTAAGCATGCTACGAATTTTCGGATGCAAAGCGTTTATTCACGTACCAAAAGTAAAACGGACGAAATGGGACGCTAAATCTAAAGAAATGATTCATGTAGGCATCTGTGAAGAATCGAAAGGCTACCGCTTAATAGACCCAATAACTAATCATTTAAGCAAGGCCAGAGATGTTGTGTTTTTCGAGAACGAGAATATAAACTGTAAGCAAACAGTTGAAAGAGTTGAGAAGTCAGCACCGCTTAGTTTTAAGGATAACGTCACAGAATATGAAGATCACATAGAAGTTCAAGATTTTCAAAGAGATCAAATTGAATCGGAAAATGAACCTGTAAATATTGTAAGTAGTAATGATGATGATATTCTGCATGAGAATTTAGAAACAGAAACAAATGAAGAGAGTTCTGTTACAAGAAGATATCCTTTAAGAGATAGAAAGAAGAAAGAGATACCTGACTGCATTACATATCACACAATAGCTGATTGTGATGATCCGCAGAGTGTGGATGAGGCATTGTCTAGAAGAGACAAACACTTATGGAAAGCTGCGATCGACGAGGAGCTTAATGCACTCAAGAAAAATAAAACATGGAAATTGACGTTACCTCCAGAATCTTGCAACGTCGTTGATTCTAAATGGATATTTAAAATCAAAGAAGAGGCAGGGGGAAATAAGAGATACAAAGCACGCCTAGTTGCAAGAGGTTTCAGCCAGAGGCATGGAATAGATTATTTTGAGACATTTTCTCCAGTTATTAGACATAGCTCTTTGAGGACATTGATTGCATTGGCAGCTCATATGAATCTTAATATAGACCACATGGACGTGAAAACCGCATTCTTGAATGGTAACTTGGACGAGGTGGTTTATATGAAGCAACCAGAGGGTTTCGTTGAAAAGGGAAAGGAGAATTATGTGTGCCAGTTGCAAAGATCATTGTACGGACTTAAACAAGCTCCCAGAGCATGGAATAAAAAACTTCATTTGGAATTGCTGAAACTTAAATTCAAGAGGTCTGAGTATGAACCATGCGTTTATATTAGATCTACAGGAGATAAAGTAATTATTCTTGCCATATATGTAGATGACATTTTATTGTTCTGGAATAATGTTGAGGAATTAAGGAAGGTTAAAACCGATCTCACAAACAAATTTGAGATGAAGGACCTTGGCACAGCGAAGTTGATGTTGGGAATACGAATAGCACAAGATAGTGAAGGGATCAAACTGGATCAGAAGGGATACATAGAGAAGGTTATTCGTACATTTGGAATGGAGAACTGTAAACCAGTTGCTACTCCAGCAGTACCAGGACAAAGGCTAGAGAGGCCACAGCTTGATCAAGAACTTGATGAAAAAGTACCGTATCGCGCATTGATTGGTTCACTGATGTACCTTGCTGTTTGTACGCGCCCTGACATAGCACACACAGTAAGTCAGCTCAGTCAGTTTAACAACAGCTACGGAGACGAGCATTGGATAGCTGCAAAGAGAGTGCTCCGCTATTTGATGGGAACCAAGGATCTAGCATTATTCTATAGAAGGGGAAACCAAAATGAGTTTGTATTAGGTTATGCTGATGCAGATCACGCCGGAGACTTTGATAGAAGATCAAATTCAGGTTGGGTATTTTTATCTCAAGGAGGAGCTATTTCTTGGGAGAGCAAGAAACAACGTACAGTGGCAATATCGTCTGCAGAAGCTGAGTATGTAGCGTTATCAGAGGCTGCAAAAGAGGCAATTTTCATTCGCAGGTTTATTGCAGAATTAAGAGATGGACCCAATCCCGCAATCTCAATTTTCACTGATAGTCAGTCGGCTATGGCAATTGCTAAGAATCCTGTACATCACCAGCGTACGAAGCATGTGGATGTAAGATATCACTTTGTACGTGAGGCGATTGAGAATGGTGACATTCATTTGAGGTACAAGGAAACTAATAGAATGACAGCTGATGTTTTGACAAAGTGTTTGTTGAGAGGTAAATTTGAATGGTGTGTGAAAAGCATGGGTTTGAGTTGTGTGTGAATAAGATGGCTGTTTATATGGTAGGTACACTAACAGGCATGAGATTAAGGAGGAGTGTTAGAGCGACAAATTGCTAGGAGTTTATATTTGCGTGTAATCTCATTGCTGTTATTCGTATGGTTTGTGGTTGTCAGAATTATTTGAATATACTGACTGACATGCACTTCAAGTTTTTGGTTGTTACTTGCTTAGATACGTTGTTTGTACTCATGTGTTCTATTTTGTTTGTAAATATATATTAAGTCAATATTAGCTGGCATTCTTTATTTATTATATATGATCGAGGTTATCTAGTCCTCGATCACTTTTATATGGCTTCTGTCGCCCCTCGCAGTTCTTGCAAAACGCAAATTAGGCCCCACATAGAGTACGTACCTACTGCTCACATCTCTGGGCTGGAGCTTCCAAATAGCAGGTGATGCTACACGAAGATTCGTGATTCGGATTTTCGATGATCCCAAGCTAGCGGAAAATATCGATCTTTTAGAACTGAGCATGGACTTTGGTTGCATTTACTCCGAGGAATTGTTTCAGATAATACCCATAGCACCATATGACCACCACATCATCCGTCACCGTAGTCGAGTTAATCCATATTACCTGAATAACTGTTCGTATCCAGAAATCTTTTATTCCATGAATGGTCCTCTTCAAGAGAAGCTTAAATAGAATATTCCACTAAAGGCAGCACTGGCATTGGTGATGTCCTTGGACGAAGGTGACCACATAACATCAGGTGGCCTGTCTGCCTTCGAAGGCAATAAAAAAAGAATGTGTAGTACAAGTTTTATATTTTATTACATTTTCTACTGTGATTAAAATTTAAAAAAGTGCAAATAATTTGTCTATATAAATACTAAAGTTTATACCAGTTAAGTACCAGTAGATTAGCCACTCTAAATTTGGTAAAGCTCAAACATTAAAATTTGATATACCTATGCATTAGTTAAAACTTCAACAACTTTTGCAAAAGTATACATCTCTTCTGGTGCTCAAATTTTCTTGTTACGTTGTTTCTGGAAACTAGATTCTAAACATAGTAATTGTATAATAGTTTTGGGATTATAAATTAATATGTAATAACTTTAAACAGTAAGTACCTTTAAAGGTGGGTATTTAAAAATTATAGAGCTTCCCATTGTTATTCATACCTCTTTTTTAAAATAGGAAGACAGCAGTACGTCCTTCCTCCTCCTTAGAAATCTGTATAAATGAATGAAAGGAGCAACCTACTAATAGCAAATATACAAATATTCATGAGAAGGGCCAGCATAAGATGTTAACTTATATCTTCCATCTATTTGGAAAAACAAGTAGAATAATTTTAACGTTCAAGCTTTACTTTGCATAATCATTCTTAATTATTTAAGTAAAATTTAAGTCTCCACGAAGTACATAATTTATCACAAAATAAGGAGTTAATTAGACCGCTTGTAGTAAAAATAATAAAGCTAATTTATAATTATCACCAGAAATAAAGATTAGTAACATTGTGCAGATCTCACATTATCTACAGAAACTAAAAGCTAGTCTTATAATTTCTAACATCATAACCAGTAAAATAAACTTTTACTAACTCAACAACTAGGCAAGAACCTTATAAAAATTAATCACCTTACACGTTAATTTAGTACCTACGTGAAAAGAAACTTACTGACATATTGATGGACTTAGCAAGGATGGAATTTTCTTACATTTTTATAATAATTAATAACTAACATTTGTATGTAGAACCTACCTAAGCAAGTTATAAGGAAGAATAGTACCTGGAAGTATCGGTGGATTTTATAGATACCTATTACATACTTTCGTTCTAGTTCTACACTCTTATACGAGTAAATATACCTATTATCTTTGTTCCACAAACACAAGACTTTACTTCCATAACTCAATTCTACTAAACTAGTTAATATCAAACATTCATAAGCTTAGTTTTGTCATTATAATTAGAAATATCATTAATTTTAATGTAGTTATGAAAGTTAAAGTATATACTGTACACACAGTAACAACAACAATATCAAACGATGATTACTCTTCATATTTATCCATATATTGATAGGAGTTAAGCCAGCAATATACTTTATTTTATGTATATAATATATTTGAGCATAGGCTTCAGGCCGAATGCGTCAGTCGAATTGCGTGTATAGGTACTATTTCATTCTTACAACTAACATTTCGAATGCCATTCCATACTGAATGCTTTCAAAACTAAGAAACATTGACCTATAATAATTATGGCTTATTCATGGTACATGAAGCGCTAGCTTGTCTCGTTCCAAATAGAATATAAGTTATTATTTCAGAAAAAAGATATATAGGTAGTACCAAATCATCGACAGTAACAAATATTTTAACAATAAAGGAAATCGGATAAACATTACTGAGACTTGTAATATGAAAAAATAAGCCCTTTTTTCACCACAGGTTATCTCGGAGGAGCTGGCGGCCATTCGCCTAACGGGATTGCTTTGGAAAACGCTATCGCTTACGATTTCATTTGGATATTTCTGACCGCCGAAGGTTTTTAAATACCTCACGCTCATTTTCTTTTATATTGTTATTACCAATGCAAAAGAAAAAAAGAGCGCGAGGCATTTGAAAACCTCAGGTGGCTAGAAATAATAAAATGAAAACGTAAGTGATAGCGTTTTCCTAAGCAAATCCCGTTAGGCGAATGCCCCCCTGGACTCCGTGAAACATCCAATCGTGACGATACCACATGAGTGGTCCAAGGACTTGACCTGGCTTGACTTGACCCCTGTGGAACACCACACTGCACCAAATGTACAATATTTAAGAAATTTTGAATCATCTCGTTTGTCAGTTTTGTATCAACCTTAAACAAACCATTTCAGGGTCGAATTTGAGGCAGGGCAGGGCTACTGTCCAGGGATCTGGACTGATCTTTTAATATGTCAGCATTTTTTACGTCTTTTTTCAACAATCGATCGTTGCACACAACCATAAACAGAGAATGGACGCAATTTACAACTCTCCAGAAAGACAGCGTTGTTACAGCTGACAGATATATAGGATGAACTATGGCCGTACGATCGCTCTGTCTTATTCACACTTATCTGCGAGAAAACGAATCGTGTGAAGTCCAATGGGCAGTAAAGTGAAAAAAGAGATGAATTGATCGAACGACCCATACTTCGCATTCGAATTTTTCTGATAGCTGGCTGAATCCTCAGTCCAATTTTTGTGTCTATATGGTCTGTAGCATGTGGTTTCTGGTCGAATGAATCAGACGAAGTGTTATGGCCAGAGACGTCCTTCCACAGTTGCGTTTTAGTCAAGTAAGTCACTCTAACTTAGACAGCTAGCGCGTATAAAATACCCAATTCTGCTGATATCCATGAGCAGGGCCGGATTTAGAGGTGTGGAGGAACGAAGGAGTGGGTGAGTTATAAAATCTGGCACCTCGAGCCACTTACGATTTGTCCCCTGGTTAGTGACCTGTCGAAATTTAGCTAATTTTTTTATCTCCAGCCTCGCTTGCTCTGCCTTAAATCCAGCTCTGTCCACGAGGATTTCTCACGCGCTCTCCCGCCTGGGATAATACAAAAAAGCATGTGGTAAGGTTTGACGTAGAATGGTGGACTGTATTTAGAAGCGTAGCTCCATGTCGCCGCTGCCGGGCGCGTCCTCGTCGTCGGCGGGCGCGCCCTCGGGTGGCGCGGGCGCGGGTGCGAGCGCTGCGTGCGCCGGCGGGCACGCGGCCGCGCCCTTCGTGCGGGTGCCGGGCAGCTCGGCACCGTGCGCATCCACACACCTGCGCACGGATATACGGTTTAGTGCTTAGTTTATGGCGATTGATTGTGAAGTTTTAATGTGACAGAGATCTTTATGAATGTGAGTGACAGTTCACTCACGCACTGCTACAATGCCCCCTGCAGTGGCCAGACAACGGATGACACACCGGGGTAGCCTGTGACGCTACTAGAGGCCTGCGGAGACACCAAGAGACTGCTGAGCTTCTTGGAGGAGTTGGGATTGTACCTTTAATGTTTGCTTGACATAAAATGTATGGCGGGCCGAGTGATTTTCACTTAAGCGATATCTAATTCGTAAAGTAAAGTCACTATGTAACTTTTTAGTAGGAGGATATTTAGAAAATATTATTTTATGACTATGTTGTATGTACAACTAGTATGTAAAAAAAAAGTTACTAAAGACGCGTTTAAGCGATTTTGCTTTTCTACTGTCGAATTAAGTTCCGGCACACGGGCGCGCTGTATCCATTCACTATCAATGAGGTTTGTGTGTACGTACCAGCACACTCCGATGGCAGCGTCGCACTGTCGCGGGCGGTAGAAGCCGTGCGAGTCGCAGGCAGGCACGTAGGAGGCGCGACGCGGCGGTAGCTCGCGGCACACTGTATCCATTCACTATCGATGAGGTTTGTGTGTACGTACCAGCACACCCCGATGGCAGCGTGGCACTGTCGCGGGCGGTAGAAGCCGCGCGAGTCGCAGGCAGGCACGTAGGAGGCGCGGCGCGGCGGTAGCGCGCGGGCGAGCGCGGTACACGGGCGCGCGCCCCGCCGCAGACAGCCGCACCACGCGGCGCGCGACACGCCCGCGCCCCCGGCCGCGCCGTCGCCGCACGACGCAAGGAACGGTCGCAAGCACCGCTCGCGATCGTCGTGCCCTAAAGTGCCCATTACAACAGATTAAATAAAATTTTACTTCTGCTCTTAGGTTATGTTAATATATCAGTAAAAAACTTCTGTTCTGTTCTTATGATAATTAAGGGATATTGGGTACTTCCCCGTCGCTGCAATACGAAATGATTGAGAATCTACGAAGTTATTAGGTTTTCCATTTTCGGGTCTGTGGGTTTTTGTTTTTCAGTGTAACTAAAGAAAAGTAGATAAGTAAGTACCTACAGCAAATTTTCGCCCTAAGCCAGCTTTGAAGACCACAATTTTCACTAACACCTAATTAATAACAAAATACTTGTGTGGACTACAGTGGCGTAGCTACCGTCGTAACCGCCGTATCAATTATACGAGGCCCCCAACGTGCATAAGCAAAAATTAGTGAAAACTTCCCAATTTTTTTTTCTGAAATGACATAAGTAAAAAAAGGCAATTTCTTTTTTTTCCCGCGTATTGCGTGCGTTGGTACACCCTACATTGGTTATTACGGGCTGCGGGATTTCCCCGTTTAAGTCATTTACTTCAACAGGGGAATCCCACAATTATCGATGTACATACGATACAATGATAAACTACGGAGAGCAGTGTTTATTCACACGTTTTATTTAATTGTGCATTACATTGTAATACAATACAAACAATTATTGTTCTTCTGGTCTAGCAGTATTAGTAGCGATTTATAAAAAACAATGATTGAAAGGCAAAAGAGATTATTTATTTATTTATTTAATTCTTAATGCACAATTGTACAATGGCGGACTTAATGCCGTAGGCATTCTCTACCAGTCAACCATAGGGTGTTGTGGAGAAGATTAGTGGTAGGGTGCACATGTGAGGTGGAAATCACATTTAAAGCAATAAATCACATTTAAACATAAATATTATAATAATATATAATAATTAAATTACACAGTAATTATATACAATTACATACATATATATATATATATATATATATATATATATATATATATATATATATATATATATATATATATATATATATATATAAACATACACATACGTAAACATATAATAAAATAACACTACATAAAATTAATACATAATAATGACGACTAACTACTAAACGAAATTGTCTGTTCCAGTAAAAAGCTTCGCAGCTTGGTTTTAAAGCTATATTTGCTGGTGGACATTCTAATGGCTAACGGGAGTTCATTCCACAAATGAATTGTTTTGATGAAGAAGGATGAGTGAATGATATCAGAGCGGTGAGAGGGAACGACAAGTAAACGATTAGAAGAAGATCGAAGGTTTTTAGGATGAGAGGTACATAAGTACTGAAATTGAGAAGTGAGATAAGGGGGGGCATTTGGAGAATCTAACAAAGAGAACAAAGTGGTCAGAGCCCGCATACATCTGCGCTGCCTAATAGGCATCCATTTTAAGTCAGAACGATACGCGGACACATGATCATATTTTCTGAGGTTAAAAACGAATCGAATGTAGTAATTCTGAAGTCGATCAAGTTTATTGAGTAGATCTGCATTCAGGTCGAGGTAGCACACATCACCATAGTCAATTATGGGAAATATTAAGGTTTGCACAAGCCTTGCCTTAATATTGACCGGCAGAAAATTTTTCAGGCGATAAAGAGCACGCAGAGTTCCCGTTACTTTTTGACAGACGCTACTTACTTGATCTTGCCATTTAAAACTCGAGTCCACATATAATCCTAAATCTTTTAAGACATTGCTGAAAGGAACTGCAGTGCCGTCATAAATAATGGAACTAAGACCGCTGCTGTTAATTCTGCTCATCATTCTTGACCCACCTAATAAAATGGCTTGGCATTTTGAGGCATTGACAGTGACACCGAAACTATCCGACCATGTTTTGATAGCGACTAAGTCACTATTTAAAGCATCAATGGCGTCGTTTAAGTTGTCAATGCTTGCCTCTGTATATAGTTGTAAGTCGTCAGCATAAAGATGATACGAACATTGAAGTTTGTGAGTGATAAAGTCAATAAAAGTTGAGAAAAGAAGAGGAGAAAGAATACCGCCTTGGGGAACACCCGTTTCCAGACTGCGCCAGGATGAGGAAGAATCCCCAGACTGGACTAACTGCTGGCGGTCCCGAAGATAGGATGAGAACCAAGTCAATGCTTCGTCAGAGACCATAAGATGGGATAGTATGGAAAGGAGAATATCGTGACTGACAGTATTAAAGGCATTGGAGAAATCGATCAGAACTAAGCACGTGACTTTACCATTCTCCATTCCCGCCCTAATATCACCAGTCACCTTTAAAAGCGCTGAAACTGTGCTATGTCCGGGCCTAAATCCGGATTGGAGCGGGTTCATTAATGAGTTTTTGTGAACGAATTGAGAGAATTGCTTGTGGACACAAGCCTCCAGCACCTTTGACATAAAAGGGAGGATGGCAATCGGCCGAAAATCATTGGATTATCCCAGTGGAGCTACGAAAAAAAAACAGAAATATAGGCTATAGTGTATTTTCAATAAAGTTAGGGTTTCGTATGAAAGCTTCGATAATGTAACCCAACGTGTGTAAAACATACCAAAAAATAGCCTTATATCGCGTACGCTGCGGAAGTCATTGACAATAGAGCAAAGTGATGTACTAAAGTTTTATAGAGGATACCAATATCTACAAAAAAGTCCTCGATACCATATGTCTAACTATTACAGCTATGTCACAACTACAGGCCCCTGCGGTTTCACCCGCGTTAATGTTAAGAAAAAGGTTTGTAGTGTTAAACTTAAAATATGGACATAGACTGTCGTGGACCTTTTTACAGAACTTTTATAGAGGAAGAATTCCGTCATAAATGATTTTTGTGTAACATTAACCGTTTACCCAGCGCACGCAACGGAATCTCACAAATGGAATAATTTTACCCGCTTTTGCAACATTTTTCATCGATGCTCCGCTGCTACTGGTCGTAGCCCGGTAATATATAGCCTATAGCCTTCCTCGATAAATGCACTGTCCAATACAAAAATATTTTTTTAAATCGGAACAGCAGAACAATGTAGCATTCGGTACAACAGGTCCTAAACTACGCAACGAATTTTTTACTTGGAATGGAAGGTTTATAGTAATTATAAAGAAAGTCATTGTGTATAATACAAGCCTTTGAACAAAAACTATAGTCTATATTACAGCTCTACACCGCAGCAAAACGAGAGCGGGCCACTCGTGATTTAATACATCAGTTTGCAGAAAAAAAGGCAAGGAGAGTGTCTATTTAATTTGAATTGTTTATAAAATTTGGAAAAATTTAGAGATATATAATAATTATGATGAATAAATATTTCTTTTAATTTTATGCATTTTTATTTTCTTTTGTGAGAAATATTTACCCTTCCTAAGGGCTCCCAAACAATTATTTATACGGGGTGGGTCCCCGCCAAGGCGCGCTACGCCACTGGTAGACTACCAGTCCACGCGTCTAAATGCTCTTGTAAATAAGTAGGTATCAGCAGCAGTATTAGGGATGTCGAAAGTTGAAAAAAATATCGATATATCGATACATCGATATATCGATATTTAAAAAAATATCAATATCGGCTTCGATATATCGCGAAAAAAACATCGATATATCGGACCAATTTTCCCAAAAATATATTTAGGTCAGCCTAGCACAGTAATAATAACAATACAAATTATAATTAAAGAAAGAATTATCAAAGTACCAAATTGCCGCTACACTAAATGACAGTACAGTATCTCACGAAAGATGATACGAGGAATAATAGTTGAACGAAATTTATCTCCCTAAAAATAGACCCTATTTTCGAATGATGAAAATGATTGCAGGGCCTCTCAGGTGCCATCTTTAGTAAACAACACTAGTCACACACTTCCACAGAATATAATGGAATTCAGCACAACCAATTCACCAGCGAAACATATTTACATATCATAGACAATACTAAATACAGCACAGATCATAGATATGTTGATTATCATTAATCTGAGATCCAGTTACGATTTTTCCAGATACGAATTTAGTTAGATTGTGATTTGCCGCTAATAATTAAAAAATATCGTTTTTGATACGAATTTCGATATTGGTTATTTTGTATCGATGTATCGATATATCGAATCAAAATATATCGGCTAAAAATATCGATATATCGAACAAAAAATATCGATATATCGATACATCGATATATTTTCAACAAGCCTAAGCAGTATACTCACTCAATGAGTAGAGATTAGTAGGTGAGAGAAATCCGTCGCCATCGGTGTCAAGATGCGCGAAAATCCAACGAACTTCGGCTTTGCAGTCACTTGGAAAACCTGCCAACGATATGAGCTAATAATAAATCCAATTCCATGTAGTTGTTTTCATCCACTTATTTGATTATCAGTTTTTTTATTTATCAGTAAATTATGTGACCAGGTACTACCTTCTTCAGGCGCGTGAGTTTCTCCAGCTTCTTCCATTAACACCGAAAACCAGTCGAGCAACCGATTCGCCATTTTGTCTAATGCACACTCTTCGGAACCTGATAAACAGAATTGTTTAAGTCATTCTTTAGGTTTTTATTGATTGGTTTTATGAATGCATAAAAGTATACAAAAGATATGTTATTGAGAGACACATGAGGCATCGGAGGTTACAATCAGCTTCGCGATGAACTGCCTTACTAATTAAAAAGTGTTCACTCTCAATTATTAGATACATTCATTAGATACACTGAAGTAGACCACAGTCCAGGGGAAGCCTATCGTAATTGCTATGGCTATTGTTTTATATTATAATTTCATTTTGTATTTGATAGCCTTAGGCGGTCAGAAATAACAAACTAACTTCATAACTATAGCAATAGCCGAAGCAATCCCGGCAGGCGGCAGGCCTAGGCCCCCAGGTGATTAGCGAGCCGACTACCTCCCGTTCCTTGCAGATATACCAACTTCCCAATCTACCTCTCTATAATCGGTCATGGCATGATTGCTAAGTATTAACTCGGTGGGTTTTTCAGCATGTCATATCACACCTAAACCGTTCTATTAGCTTCACAGCTATTGGAAATATCGCTGGCAATCTGACGATTGCTAAATGTGATTTTTAGTTGCAATCAATATTTTTTAGTGAAAATAGTTAAATATTATACGAATAAATCTTGAGTTAGATACCTAGTTCGTTACGACGACGTGCAGGTCGTTCTGGCAATACTTCATTACGTTCTGAATCAGCTTTGCGTCTGCGCCACTCCTGCAATTTTTAATAATGAAGAGATAATTATTACTTATTCGCACTAATCTTATTTGATACATTTTGTGCCCAAGATTATCGGTGTTACGGGCATGGTTACGTCACGGTAATATTATAATATTACCCTAAAACAGTGACTTTCGTCTGGTGCGGTGGCGGTCCAAAAAGGCCCGACACTTTTTTGTTTTATACTAATGCTACTACATTATTAGTGACAAACCGAAAAAAAATTGTCTCTGTTGTACTCGTAAAAATGCCAAAGATATACCGTACCGCAATAGCGGAAAAACCCCGTTTTTCCTTTACGCACATAGTGCTAACACCGCATCGGGTTGATTGTGGATGATAGATACGCACGCAGTGAACGTGTTAATATAATTTACTGATACTTTACCCTGTCTGGTTTGGCGTGGGTACGCCGGCGTGTGCACGGACAGAAGCCGCGACAGGCGAGGCGCACAGGTCGAGCCGTACGTCGCACGCAGTTGTGTAAGTCCAGCCGGCACAGTGACGAGTACGTCCGGTTGTCGGAACCGCACAGGAATTCAGCGCGGCCTCGAGCTGGACAACCTACGCAGCGAGACGCCGCGGCGGACTCCTGCACCAAAAGTTATCAATAAACATAGATAAATGATTGGTCTCGCGTCGAGTGAAGCGATTCCGATCTGTACCGAAGTTCGAAATAGTGTGTTGTAATTCGTCGATAAACAAATGTTTACTATTTTTCGGTGGCCGATACACTGCACACAGAACAGCGGAATATCGAAATGGTGTTGTGATTTTGAGTGTTAGGCATTCAAATTGTTGTGTTTTTATTTTAAAATCAATTAATTTGTGCTTGTTATGAAAATATACAATTATACCTCCACCTCTTCGAGAATTTCGCAATTCTGGCCGCATACTATAGCCACGGTAATAAGATAATATTATCGTGCTATAGCCATCGATATTATATAAACAACACAACGAATCAGATATTTATTAGCTTCAGTTATTGGAACGAAAGTTCCTTACGGCAGGCTTGGAGGGGATAGGGATTTTGCTGCGCGACCGAACTGAAAAAAATGTGATAGTAAAACCGTAAGAAAAAATGCGTGGAATAAAACCGTTAAATGAGACGTGCGCAGGCGCGACGAAGTTCCTTACGGCAGGAGAGAAAGCGACGAGGGTGCATCACTGAAATATTGTGATATTACACCAACACTGAATATGTGTGAAGTTATAGGGAGTGGTAGAGCGACGAGGGTGCATCACTGAAATATTGTGATACTACACCAACAGTGAATATGTGTGAAGTTATAGGGGATGGTAGAGCGACAAGGGTGCATCACTGAAATATTGTGATACTACACCAACAGTGAAAATGTGTGAAGTTATAGGGGGTGGTAGAGCGACAAGGGGGCATCACTGAAATATTGTGATATTACACCAACACTGAATATGTGTGAAGTTATAGGGGGTGGTAGAGCGACGAGGGTGCATCACTGAAATATTGTGATATTATACCAACACTGAATATGTGTGAAGTTATAGGCAGTGGTAGAGCGACGAGGGTGCATCACTGAAATATTGTGATACTACACCAACAGTGAATATGTGTGAAGTTATAGGGGGTGGTAGAGCGACAAGGGTGCATCACTGAAATATTGTGATATTACACCAACACTGAATATGTGTGAAGTTATAGGGGGTGGTAGAGCGACGAGGGTGCATCACTGAAATATTGTTATATTACACCAACACTGAATATGTGTGAAGTTATAGGGGGTGGTAGAGCGACGAGGGTGCATCACTGAAATATTGTGATATTACACCAACACTGAATATGTGTGAAGTTATAGGGGGTGGTAGAGCGACGAGGGTGCATCATTGAAATATTGTGATACTACACCAACAGTGAATATGTGTGAACTTATAGGGGATGGCAGAGCGACAAGGGTGCATCACTGAAATAATGTGATATTACACCAACACTGAATATGTGTGAAGTTATAGGGGGTGGTAGAGCGACGAGGGTGCATCACTGAAATATTGTGATATTACACCAACACTGGATATTCGTGAAGTTATATCAAGCTGTGGACCAGTAACGCCTGTGAGACATGATTATGATTACAAGGTGAGTACTTATCAGAAGGTGGCAGAGCGACGGGGGTGCATCACTGGATTATTGTGACATTGTAGTTTATTCTAAACTGTGGGCCAGTCCTGCCTAGCATCCTTTACGAACGCTAGCGGGACATGATAATAAGGTGCGTATGTAGGGGGTGGCACAGCTACGAGGGTGCAGCACTGGAATATTGTGACATTACACGAAATCTGGATATTTGTGACGTTATACCGAGCTGTGGACCAGGAACGCCTGTCATCTGCTGTAAACTTAAGCTAGACATGATAACAAGATCAGTACTTAACAGGGGGTGACAGCGACGGGGGTGCAACCCCAAATTATTGTGGCATTATACCAACACTGGATTATTGTCGTATATTATACTAAACTGTGGTTAAGTCCAGGGGGCTGGCAGAGCGACGGGGCTGCATTACTGGATTATTGTGACAGTGTAGTTTATAGGAACGAAGTTCCTTACGGCAGTCTTAGAGGGGATAGGGATTTTGCTGCGCCACCGAACTGAAAAAAATGTGATAGTAAAACCGTAAGAAAAAATCCGTGGAAAAAAGTGCGTGGAATAAAACCGTTAAATGAGACGTGCGCAGGCGCGACAGTCGCATACACAAGCGAGTTTGCAATTTGTGTCGATTCTACATTAGCCGAAGGAACTTCGTTCCTACCTGGTGTCCCACGACACCACATCATTTTTTTTTATTTCGAGTGTTTTTAACAAAACCTTCATATCGATACTTGTGGAGTTAAATTTGTTTTAAAAGCTTCAGGGCATTATTCTCGTAGTTATACCTATGTAAATTTTTAGTGTAAGTTACAATCACCGATAGAAAAATATTTTTGCTAATATTACAGCTACAGATATGTATTATTATTACATCTACGCAATGGCTGCATGAACTGATACATTGTTCTAAAGCTGAAAAGTTTTTAATTAGCAAAGTAAATTCGCAAAACCATTAGGAATGCTGTCCAGAAAACATTGAATGTTTGATTGAACAGTCTTTTACCTCATACACATCAACTTCTACTGTCGAAGCCATTTTTTAAAGAGTAACAATAGGTCACTTAAGTTAGTTAAGTAAAATGATGTTAAAGTATCTAACTACTTTTTATGAGCTAATATTTTGATATCACTTACAGATCCTATTACTATCGGTTTTTCTTTACTTGAATTACGCACAATTATTATTCCTTTTTTGCACCATACGTACTTATATATATTCTTTAGTTCCTGCTTTGCATTCAAAAGAAGTTTTTGTTATACGGAGAAAGAGCAGCGTTAATATATATCTTCGGGTTTTCAACATCTACAGATTTTATTTTATTAGGTCTAAATACTCAATTTAATTTGTAATGTAAAGCTGGATTAATGCGTAATAAAGAAATATGGTTTCGTAGTAAGTATCTCTAGTGAAGGTTTAAAAAGAAGTTTTCTGTTGCAGCTATCAGCCACATACCTCTGTGTCAGAGCTGGTATCGACTCGTACACCAGTTTCGGAACCAGTGCCTCCCTCATAAAACACATCGTCGTCATCCTCTCGACCCCATACGCTGTCTTCACGCACACTACCCGCTACTATCGTATCACTGTAAAGAAAAAGCATTTCATTATTATTTCCTTTTTTAGAACATTTTTACTAGTAAATATACATCTCGGCCAAGGTTTCAGGCAGGACTCGAACCTTCGTCTTCTGCTTCTCGGGTGGATGCACTAACCGCTATGCTATATCATTTTGGACCAAAAGATCAGTACATAATATCGAGTTCTATCGACCTATATTGTGTTATAGACATAAATAAGAAATAACTACGCATTACAATAACTGACTATGGAAAGATATTTTTTTTTAAAGATTGCAATAGAAAAAATCTTTTGATATTCAGATATAGGTAGATAGATAATAAAAAGATCAATATTGATTCACCGGGCCCGGCAATAAAACCAGTAAACTCAGAGTGCCTGACCGCCTCGCCTCTAGGCTATGAAGGTCGTCAAAATGATTTTCTTACAACCTTGCACATACTTTTGTTTATTCTATTGACTTATAATAAGACAAACGAAAAAAAAACTTGTTATATTTAGTAAGTAACTTCGGTAGTTATAGTCCGTTCCAATACCTCCTACTTATTCATTTGTATCTTACGAAAGCCCAAAGCAACAAATTCTACGCTATAGAATAGTCCAAGGTGTACGCACCCTTTCCGTAATATTTCTTTCTTGTTGGCACAAAGTGCAGTGAAGGCATCCTTCAACAAACACACCTCTCTCCTCTTGCAGACCAGAGACTGGCATAAGGAATCTGAAGTCAGAAAAATTACTTGACAATCCAAAAAAAATGTCTAACTTTAATTTGATTTGATTCACTTTGAACCATGTGGTACTACAGTTATTTTAATCTTGTCTAGGTAAATAATGAATAAATAAATAATACAGATGACACATACTGTGGGGGTCGTAGATGTAGCGTCGTGGCTTGCGGGAGTGCACAGGCGTCAAGTCGACGTTCGCTTCCTGTCGATGAAGTAATAAGTTGCAATTGCAAATGCGATTAAAATTTATATTTTTTATAAAAGTACCAACCTTACTTTGGTAAATATATAAATTTAAATCGCATTCAATGGTGGTGCAAACCACACAACTAGAATTGTTAATTTGCGGCATTGCATTAAATCGATCTGACTGGTAATCAAATGCATTTAATTTTACCAAATAAAGATGGCCGATAGTGAAAAGTTTAAAAAACTTGCTGAATTTAGCTAAGGTACTTACACCTAAGATGGCTCGGTTCCTAGGATGGACTACTATCCAAAATTTGTTAGGTCCAATGACTTTAAAACAATAATACAAAGTTACGTATGTACGTTTGTGGGCTATCTTGAGAAGCTAAGCGTTGTTTGGATTATTTATGAATTTTTATCTAAAATAAGTTGTTCTTGTTAAGGGGTAAAGTTCCTATTAAGGTCTACCACAAGGGTTCCCAAGATAGCGCCGGCCTTATAGAATATCATAGTTTTTTTAGTTCTAGTAGAAACTAGAACCTATGTTTAGGTAGTTCTTTAGTTCCTACTTACTAGTTTTAAATTAAAAAAAATGTCCGCGATGACGATAAAACATTTTTTTTAACATTGTTTCGGCAATAGAAATCCACGCATATCGAGCTTAATTTATTCCTTCTTCTTTAAATATTTTTTTGGATTCCGTTATGACGCGGACGGGACTTTCAGTGTTACCGGCTCCCCGCCTATAAGTATTGCTAACCCTAAAACCGCCCACTGTATTTAATTACAAAAAAATATGTTGATTTGTATGGTGTTTTTATTTATAAATAAACAAATATTATTTTGTTGTAGTTTGTTTTGATAAATTATTCTAGTTTTTATAATTTATTGTTCAACATCGTGGACCCAAATAAAGGCCGCATCGGCCACATCACATAAAGTGTTTTTCGTATGTAGCCATAACATTAACGAAGTGTTGTGTAGCCCTATAAGTTTTCTTAGTTACAATACACAACATAATAATACAAAAAAAACCATCATTATTACGTTGCTGGGTATGTAAGTACGGCCATGTTTGTTAATATCAAAAATGTATGGTGATCGTCGCATTCCTATCTATTTTACAAACTGTAATAAAGTATATTATCCCCTTGGGATACGAACTCGCTAATATTTAACAAGCAGCGTGCATGACACATACATAGCTTGTACAGTAATTATCACCACAAAACTTGAATTCGTCTTTCTATCCCGTATGAAGAGGTATGGCAACCTGATTCTGCAATCGATTTTTAAATTCTTAATTGAATTAAAGAAAGTTTACACCTTTTTGTTATCCTGAACGGGTTGTTTTAGGTGTAGGTAGCACAAAATGTACTGGTAAATATATGTTACAAAATGTACATGGACCATTAAGAAAATAAACGATAAAGAACTTTATTTTTTTCTAGAAATGGTCCTACCCACATTTCTGTCGTCCTACTACTATCAGTGATATGTGATCGGAGTCTGCAGACTCTACCGAGGTTATTTCTTTAATGTTACTTTAACTGCTCATAATAAACATATATGTTAGAATTTAAGATATTCTTTTACAGTGTGGTTTACCTAAGTATATGTAATTAATCAGATCATGTTATCAGATTAGATTTCTTTCATAAAACAAATTTCTTGTTACTTACCTGCTAGAAAATAGAGAACAGGTAAGTAGATAAGTAACTAATTATTTATTCTGAACTTATTGGTAATTTTGATGACCTATTAATATACCTTTTGCTACCAAAAATATCATTAATACTTGGTTATTGTCCATAAGTTGACGAGCTAGCTACCGATCGATATGTAGTTATTAATTTAAAATCTTTCTTGATGAAAACTACATTGCTTCAATAAATATAGGCACGTAGGTATGCAGGAAACTTTAGATCCAAATCATTGGACACCGCAAGTTAACTAAGTTATTTGTGATTTGCAATAAACCTCCGGAATTCTAATCTAGATTCGCATAATGCAACTCGTTTGCAAATCCATTTGAGGTCTCTATCGCGATATAAGTTCGTATATATGCAGGTGTGTACAGCCTTGGGGAGTGTGTTGACTGACTGTTGACGCTCACGCCTACCGAATCATCGTCGAATTCGAAGTCCTGGTCGCTGCGTCGCGCTGCTGCTGCCGGCAGCGCTAGCAGCGTTGTCACCGCTGCTGCGTATAGCCACGCTCGCATTGCTGCTCGAAGCTCCTTTACCCCACTGCACCGAAGTTTACACGCGCGCCCCGGGAGCCCGCGCGCTGTTCACTGGCCCGCCCGCTATCGCCGCCGCGCCGCGCCGCGCCCTCGCCCTTTGCGTCCCGCCGACATTCTGCCTACATTTGGTTTCATCACAGAGGCTTCACACACAATAGATAGGTAAATAAATAAATCGCATCTTATTGTTTTATGTACCGACCCAATACAGTTTCGACTCTCATCCATAAGTTGAATTAAGCAACGAATGGCACATGTGTTATACCTCGGTACTTAAAAATCAACCACTCAAATTTGATGCTATAGTTTATATAGTTAGATCAAAAGATCTAACTTGTGAACCGATTAACCGGCATATGTAAAAAAATAAGAAGAACACCGCACGCGCTTGTTAGTTACTTAGCCGAAAATCACCTGGAGATGAGTTTGCAAAATAAATAATCTATGTGGTTTCTTTTCTGAACTAAAAAAAGTGTTCCCAAAGGTCATAGGTTAAAAAGGACTGAACATTTGTTACCTTCACGCTCGGGTACTTATTTAATTATACAGTGGATTTAGACAGGTTCCGTCCTTCGTATTCGTTTTAACGATAAAATATATGCAATAAAAAAAGCTTGCAATTAAAAGAATAGAATATATTTTTATTAACCCTCATTTACATATTTGCAAATACAAATTCAAAAACTAAGGGCTAATCAGGACCCTTCCTCAGCATCCGCTGATGCGACATTGTGTCGCACCAGCACTATTATTCTGGCAGGGCCTGTTTAGTGACACAAAAAAAGACATGTAGAAGTTTTTCATTACTTGAAAGGATGTATAAATCATGACAATCCTTTGCTTTCATGAAACAATAAATAAAAAAAATAAGTCAGTAAAGCAAAAAACAAAACAACATGAGAATTGATAATCACTATTTCGACGTTGTTTGCAAGATGATAAACAAATTTTATAACATTCTATTTAGCTTTTTATTTCTAAGGTAAATAATTTGAATAAGTAATTAAATTCAATCATACACAACGCAAAATGTCGGTTCTGTACCTAAGCTTACTCTATGCGGCGCGGCGGCCAACATCCACATCCCGCGTCCTGTTTCCCGCGCGGCCCTCCTCTCCGCAAGCAAGAGCCTTGTAATATTTTAACAGGTTCCGATTTAATGATCGCTAAGCCCACCGCACTGTTCGGTTCGGCTGTCTGTAGGTTGCTAATTATGTGAAACATATTGATGTTTATGATGTATAGCCATATAGAAGGTCATCGCGTATAGGTTTATCTTTCGTTGGCATAAGTAGGGATTAGGGATACTTAAAATTAGTTCACCTTTCATGAGGTTTCGTTGCAAAATTTTCAATCTAGAACGGAAAAAAATCCCTGTTCCCTGTAAATAATTTTTGAACGCTGCAAAATAAATGTTGATAAAGACCAAAATTCAAAGTCGTCGAGTCGGTTTACAGACAGACTGTGAATGGTAAATTGCATGTATAATGGATTATATGGAATGGCATAGTGATAGCGAGTGCCGTCCCAGCCGCAGAGGCGGCGCGCTGCGACGCGATCGGGTCGATACGGCCCGCCCGCCGCGTCGCCGACTGTACAGGGTTACCAACCTGGGAGATTTTCCCGAAAACAAAAGAATATACCTACTGTTATCTTTTCGTTACATAATTTACCATTTTTTGATGTTTAACATCTTTCCTCTCGCATTCCTGCAATTTGTGGGAGTGATTTCGTGAAATGGGACGGAAGTGTGTAACAGGAAGTCGCGAAAGCGCGCGCTATTTGATTTGATTTTAGAACATAATGTTCAAATTCCTTTTATAGTAGGTTTTATTTCTTTTTTTACTAATTTAAGGTGCGGTTTCAAATGTTTCACATCATACGCGACTGTAAGGCTCGCTCGTTTTTTTATTATGATGGCATTTCACAATTCACATGTAAGTCCATGCATGTCTATTCGTATGCCTTGCCCTATGACAGTAGTCTATCTTTATCATACTCTATCTATAGTGAATGAAGAGTAGAGACTGATGTCTAAATGTCTTTATGTTAAGTAAGCATTTATCGCTTCCAATTTTATATCCAAAGAAAATTATGCAAAACTACTAAAAGTGGTTCTACCATATATCGTACTAAATGGATAGTCATATAAGTCTAAGGAACTCTTTCATGCTAAACTGGGAGCGAAACCAACCCTAAACGGTATTCTGTATGCCTAAACATAGAATGCGTGAGCATGCATATTTTTAGGGTTCCGTAGTCCTGACAAAGAACCCTTATAGTTTCATCATGTCCGTCCGAGGTTTTGCTTGGAGACTATTGGCACAGCAAAGAGCTCTTATTTTGTAGAAGTATGTATATTACTTACGCCGACAAAGTGGTAGAAGCTAGCTCCCTGACATGTAAAGTGAGGATGATTTTTTTACATCGTCTACTCCATCACGTAGAGTATTGTTGCATATTTAGATCCTTTAAAATGACTTAGGGGTTGCTAAAACTATTTTTTGATTTAGGGTTCCTTTTGCGAAATGTTTAACTTTAAAGTGCTATTTTTTTATCGAGTAGGGCTTCCCCACTCTAAAAGCTAAATTATTCGCTTAAAAAATCTGAAATAAATCATGATAATGCTTTTCATGAACTTTTAAGTAAAACTATAACCGTGAAGATAGATCAGTCACTTTAAAGAGTAATAGTCATTCAACTTATGATTTAGTTTTTAATGACTTATTATGTATTTAGCTGTTCCAAATTAGTTAAAAAGGATGTTTATTATGTAGATAACACTAGGTAAACCCTTTTTATACTTGAAATATTTTCTATTTTTTACTAAATTCAAATCGAAATATCTCATTAACTCAATTAGCTATCAAATTCAATTAAAGACTGGCAGTATACTCTAAAAATAAGCTTTGCAATAGTATATATTTTGCTCCTGTACAAAGAACTTGGTATCTGTACCAACCCTTCATACAAAGTGGTTGTTCTCTTTTCTTACTATAAATATTCGTTAGAAGAAAACAATAAGAGTGACTTAGATGAAGTAATTGATCGTTTATAAGTAAAACCCTTCATTAAAAAATAAAATAAAACAAAAAACTATTAAAAACCACAATAAAATATCTGCAGAACCGTTCACTGCGCGTGGCAAGACACGCACTTGGCTTGGTTTTTTAAATAAATTTCAGCTTATAAACATTTTTTTGGTGTCTGGGAAATGCCTTACGCATCCTTCATCCACTGGCCACTAGGGGAGCGAGAAGAAGGTCCCTGTTCATTTCAGCCAGCCCTGTGGCCGGACGAAATAAACAGGGCCCTACCTAACGCCCTGAACAGGGCCACTAAAAACCATACAATACTCATGCACCGTCACCCGACACGCACTATGAGGACCGCGGTCCCTTTAGTGCGTGCCGAGAGGGAGGGTGATGTCGCGGCTCCCGTTTCCGAATGGCTGCGCACCCGCTAGGTGTTTGTCCGCAAATGGACCCACCCCGATGAAGATGCCCCGGAGCATCAACATCCAGAGAGCTTGTGCAATGCGATTTTCGATTACAGAACACAGGATTCGGCGCCACGCAATGAGGATCATTACTAGGTCAGCAAATCAACAGTTTAATTATTTTATAAGCTTTTTTATTAATATAAGTACCTACTTTTTAAATCATCGAAATCGGTTCAATCGTTGCGATTTTATAACTAATTTAATGCTATTTTACTTAGCAAAAAATAATCCTTAGATTTTCGATCGTTATATTAAAATATGTCGTGTTTGTTTTCTCAAAATTTCACGAGTCTGATTCCCGGTTGTAACAGGCGATTTTAAAAAAGACTGAATGCAGTTCTAGTTATTATTTTAAATATTAATTATATTTATATAGAAATGCATATTAAACATCCATGACTGGAGTACAAATGCTCGTATTCATTACACAAACATCTGCCCCCACCGGGATTCGGACCTCTCGATTCAGCGACACCATGAAACCCGGCGTACTAACTACTCGGCCACGGAGGTCATCAAATAAATATGTATTGCTATTTAACATACACTTTTTAACACGAGGAGGTAGGGGTATAACCTCACACATAAAAAGCTCAAATTAGAGCCTGCGTTGCCTTAAGCTGGAGCATGGAGCGGGTTCCGCGTTTTTTTCATGTTATTTCATAGGGCAACTCTGCATGAGGCGGATCTCCTGCGCTCGCTGAGCGGACGTCCGCTCAGTGCTCCCGCTTAACGCAGCGCAGGCCGTTAGGCTCCAATGCTTTATTTGATCTTATTCTATTAATTAAGCATAACTTCCTTATAGCAATTAAATTCCTTCACAGTCGCTGCGTTATCAAATCTTATGTATGTCATTCGCAAGGTGAAAGGTTTCTAAAAGTAGTTTGTCTGGTTTCAAAGGCGCCTATTGTCTGGGTCTAAACGCCACTCGCCAGTCGCCACTCACATTATGTAACCGCGGGGCATAGGGTTGCAAACTTGCAAAGTATAAAGATAGAAAAAACATAGGTTTAAGACTCGAGAGCATTGAACCCGCGCCATAACAATAACATTATTTAGCTGACCCAGCGTACTGCGTACTGCTTACAATAATTTTATTTATATGGGCAAATGAAATTGTATTTTTACTATCTTCCTCGCAATTATTCAAAAATTTCTCGCCTTTAGGGATTTTTTTTTTCTAGGGAATGTTTTAACATTCCCTAGACATCTACGAACATTTCAAGACCAAGATAAGATAAATCCGTTCAGCCGTTCTCGAGTTTTAGCGAGACTAACGAACAGCAATTGATTTTTATATATAAATAGATAATTTGTTTATATTTCCGTTCCTTCTGTTTTATTCTCGACAATAAAACAAACAACTATTTATATACGAGTGTCACTACCGCGATAGTTTTTTTTGTGCAAAAGCCAATAGTGACGTAGGCCTATTTTGTGGTTTCATGAGAATTGTAGGTTCCGCCCGCAACTTTTCATTCAAACAACTTCCTATTTATTATTCCTGAGGTGACGACGATTTCCCGGAAAACGGTAATTTTCCAATTTTTGTTTCATTTTTCCCAAGTGCCTTGGTCCCTCGAAATTATAAATCATACATAGAAAAAAAAATTTTTTTTGACGGTTGGAAAGAGGTAATCTTATCGCATCGTCAGTTTCTATGAAAACTAAGCAGCGCCCCTACCGGATGTAAGAACAAACTGGCGCTTTCCATACAAAATTTGACGATACGATCAGAGTTCGTAATTAGGCCTCGGAAGCCAGATGCAGCAACTGAAGAAGAAGAAGGGTCTTCATCAATTCTAATACTGACTGACCAACTTAAAAAAAAAGATGAATCGATGAAGTCTTTCTCAATCTATGGCGTACGTGACCAAGGGAAACAGGGATTATTTTTTATGTCTTAAGATAATTCAGTTATGTACTTTTTTGAGAATGGGTGTAAAATTAAAATGCGAACGCTTGAAAACATATTACATCAGTACGACTGGTTAGCGAATTCAATGTTAAACGCGGGATGGCAAAATTATGTGTAAAAAAGATCAACATTTTTCTTTTTGCTTTTCATATTAAAATTCACTTTAGATTTTCATATTAAAATAAAAATTTCCCATGTAGTAAGTCAGAAGCCCTATCTCGCGACACTTTCATACTACAGTTCGCTTAGGTTCGCTCACACTCTAGACGGGGATGCTTACAGTATGTTAAAGTATGCCAAAACGTATGTATGTATGTATAAAGTATGATAATCTTTGTATGATAATAAAAAGAACAAAACAATTTGTTTTTCGTATAAGATCCATATTTTGTTTGCATAAAATATTGCTTCATTTAAAAATATCATTCTCTATAATAGTGAAAGTGAATGTAAGAATTTAACCTGTGTTTTAGAGGTTGCAAATAACAAACGATTGAATAAGTGCAATGCCATTGAAAGAACTCATTAGCGCTTTGGGTCTGTAATTGTAAAGGTTTAAGGTCATATCATCGAGTAGTTTCACGCTTATATAAAAATATATTAAAACCCTTTTGGTTTGGTCTCGGATGCATCTACCTTCTGAGGCCTAATCACGAACTCTCATCGTATCGTCAAATTTTGTATGGAAGAAGCCAGATCGTGCTTAGTTTTCATCATGGAGGTTACAAAGGAGAACGATCGCTATAAAAAATAGTGTCCAAGAAATATGGACAAAATAAGTGAGGCGCTGCGATCGCCAAGTTGTCTCAAGAAAAGCGGGCTAATTTCAAATGACAAATGCCGCGAAGAAAATTTGTACATTATCCAACTAACTTCATCTACTTGTACTCATAAACAGCTAACTTCACAGATACTACTTACCGACGGCAGCGCGGCTGGTGGCTGAAAAATGAACTATAAATTATACAAATTTTCATGGCAGGCGGGCTAATGCTTTAGTACGTAGAGATCGTTTTCCTTCTCTCTTATTTTCATGGTTTTCATGAAAACTGACGATGCTATAAGATTACGGAGCTGTCAAAGTTCGTGCGTGGGCCTTCGAAGTTGTTAGCACACATAGTTCTTTTTAAATGACTTCCAAGTACGGAGGAGGTTCTAAATTGGTCGGAACCTTATTTTATATGTTCTGTCTATGGAAGAAAGTATAAATCCGCACAAATTACTATTAATTTAGAAGTATTAAATATACTTTAAGTATGTATGTAGTTATTTTAACTCCTTCAATACTAAACTACTCAGTCACATAAAATATGATAGGCATGATGTTCATTATTAAAAGTAACTTTAAAAGGCAATAAGTTTAATTAAACATTTATCAATAAATATACACGTATTCACTAGATGTGGTAGCCGGGACAACCGCTGCTCTCCTATAGATTCGACACGAAGTAACACTTGTCCACTGAAAGAAACAAATAGGACAATTATATTTTTTATTTTAACTAAAACAAACTAAATTATTAAACATAAGTAAAAATTGATAGTTCGCAGAATTGGTTAATTATAGGTTTGATCAACTTGCACCTTAATTGAGATAATAAAGACGGGTGGGGACCAAGTTCTTCAATATCTCAATTAATCCACTTATCAGTGACAACCCATAAATACGACTTGTAAAATGCATATATTCTATGTTATAGGCAAAGCAAGTACCAAAAAATACGACAGGGTTCGTCGACCTCGATATTAATTTTATTAAAGTATTATTCAATTCAATTCAATTCTTTATTGTCTCCATGGTTTAAAAGGTCTTAAAATATAAATACATTAGGTACAAACATGGAACCCCGTTGGGGCACTACAATATAATACAATAATTTACTTTAAAATAAATTAAAATCAAATAATATTATTAACATGTCAACGTGGCTTAATTACAATTGGGTACTAATTGAAATAAATATCATTCAATTTATTCATAGGCGCTCATTAAAATAAAATGTCAATAAAGTATTTTACAATGTCAATATTATAATAATGTCATTTTGTTACTTTAAAAACTCTTCCAAACTATAAAATGCTTTACCTATTAAATAATCTTTTAAAGCTCTTAGAAATGATTTATCCTCAACCTCCGACCTCAAGTGTTGTGGAATTTTATTATACATTTTAATGCACATGACAAATGTACTACTGCTAAACATTTCTAATCTACTGGCTGGTAAGTGGAGGTTATCTTTAAAACGTATGTTTAGTGTATTTCCCCGCATTTGTTCGTTAGTCTTAAAATAGCTTGGGTTTTGTTTTACAAAGGAGATTGGTCAAATTGGCCTAAATGCAAATAAAATATTGACATATACAGTAATTCTTGGCGTAATTTATACTTTATTTTACAGTCATTAGATTTTAACGGCCACCTTTAAATAATATATTAATTTTAAAGAAGGACTTCTATTTTTACCGGTTTGGAAAACATACGAATCATTTTTATTGGCTATGGGTGTAGTAACATTCACAAAGACTGATCGAGGTTGTTTATATAACATCAAAACAAATCTATTTTGTAAAGATAGATAAAATATATATATTTTTTTATTACACGGGTGGTATTAATATCCACAACTTTATTATCATTTTTACTACATGCAAATGTGCTAAGACAATTAATATAGATGGTAGGCGACATCATAAAGTCTATTGCCGTACATTTTTTGCCAAACACCTAAATAAACACATTATAAGGTGTGATACACTAAAAATCTAAAATATGGTTATAATAAAAACATAATAAAAATAATGAAGCTGCTGAAGATATGGCTGTATAACCTACAGCTCTTAGCTTTCTTTGATTAACGAGAGTTTAAAAATTCTCTCTAATCTGTGGCTCATTCACAATCATCACACAGTTTCTGTTCGTGTTTTTAAAAACATGCACATATCTGTTATTTTACATGCTCTATATACCTGAATCTAATACATAATATCGGTAGGTACTTGGCTTGATTGCCCTATTTTCCTATATAAGTTATTTGGTTTTTATTATTCTAATACCTATGTGCCTATTTGCAAACATAACCTCAAAATCATTCAGTGTATATGGTTTATAGAAGTTCTCAGGAGTGGCCGTCGATAATATTCGTTTCTACGGTAATTTATATATAATTTCGAATGTAGGAAACAATTTTTCATGGTTATTGGTTTTTAGGCCAAACATGTATGGAAGCTGAGCAATCTCCTTTACAAAGTTCGAAAATATATAAACTTGTTAAGGTTAGAATTTTAAGCTCTTTAAAGTGTGGTCTGCAGCTTTCAGTTTGTTCAATGTTGACTAGTATTCTTATGCATTTCTTTTGTATCACGAACAAACCTTGGACAGCTGTGCTATTCCCCCATAATATCACACCGTAATGTAGCCAAGAATACGCATAGGCGTAATATGCTGCAAGAGCGGTTTGTAAGTCTGTGCTACGTTTTATTTCAGACAAGGCGTATATAAAGCGTGACAATTTATTTTTTATTTTTTCAATGTGGGCCTTCCATGTAATGTTGGTATCTATTTCTAAGCCGAGCAGTGTGAAATTATGGACACATTCAATAATTGTTTGGCCCACGGAGAATTTAATTTCTATTGGATTCTTTTGTCATGGTCTGAATTGCATTAACTTGTTTTTTTTTTAATTTATTTCCAAATTATGATCGCTTAACCATTCCATGATGTTTTCGAATATTTGGGAGAGCTTAGTATTCAATGAGGAAAGTGGAGCGCATGGAAATAATACAGACACATCATCAGCAAAGGCTACACAATAATTCTGTATCACTTTTGGCAAATCGTTCACAATCACCAGGAAAAGAACACAGCCCAGTACGGTGCCCTGTGGTATGGAGTTTGGCATTTCACATTTCTCTGATCTGCAGTTTGTAATACCTCCCGTTATTGGATCATACTTTTCAACCTCCACACACTGTTGCCGACCACTCAAGTACGATGCAAACCAATTGTGGGCGATTCCTCTCACACCAATGCCATAAAGTTTCGAAAGTAGGATTTTGAATGATACTCGTTCGTATGCTTTGCTTAGATCGAGCAAAATACCGATTGCATATTGTTTATTATTTATAATTTCAAGTGCTTTCTGTATATAATGATACACATCCATGGTAGTTGATCTTTTCTTCCTAAATCCAAACTGACTCTCATCGAATATTTTAAACTTCTCACAGAAACTGTTCAACTTTCGACACATAGCAGTTTCTATTATTTTAGATGAGGTACATAACTGTGCAATAGGGCGATAATTATTTATGTCGGTTTTGTCTCCTTTTTTGTGAATTGGCTTAACTACTGCAATTTTAAGTTTATCTGGAAAAGATCCTTCTTGAAATGATTGATTAATTAAAAGTGTGAATGGAAGTGTCAGTTCGTCAACGCACTCTCTAATTAGTATTGGAGGCAATTCATCAATACCAAAACTACGCTTATTTTTTAAGTTTCTTATTATAAGTCTTACTTCTGGACAATCAACGGGCCATAAAAATAACGAGCTGTCGGTCGGATTTAGGACAGGTCTGCCTTGTGTAAGATTTGCTCCAGTCACTTTACCTACTGATGAGAAAAAGTCATTAAAATTATTTGCTATTTTGAGTGCATCGTCACAGATAGTATTATTAATTTTAAGTTTGATATTTTGTAGATGTCTATTAGGCTGCTTGTTTGTTCTTTCCTTTATGATCGTCCACATTGTTTTCGTTTTATTTGTAGTTTTCTTCATTCGGCTTACATATTGTAGTTTTTTAGAAGTCATGACTACTTTTTTTAATATTTTTTTATAGTGAGATTTAAGTATGGGGTTAGCAGTTTGTGATAAAAGTAATTTTAAATGACGCTTATGTCTACACGAACGTTTTATTCCACTGGTAAGCCAGCCTTTAAAGGATCTTCCTTTTATTTTTATTTGTTTCCTAGGTATAACTCTATCTAATATACTTTTTAACGTTGTATGAAAAGAATTGTAATTTTGATTCACGTTATGGCTCTCTTTTATTATCTCATCCCACTTAATATTTTTTAGTTCCGATTTAAAATTATATATATTTTGTTTGCTAAAGATCCTTTTATAGGTCCACCATGTATTAAAAGATTTTGTTGAGGTCTCATTTAGAGATATAAGGACAGATTTGTGATCAGAAAATCCATTCTCTTGGACTGACACGATCACTTGTTTATGTCGGAAATTATTATGTTACAAGCTATTAATATCGAGGTCGATTTCCTTGAACTTCACGAAATTCGTGAGTATCTTCCAAATGCCAAATTAAAATGTGATAGGAGTTGAAGTTACCCAATAAGACCCGATTATTTAAAGTGTATATTTCGAAAATGCCATGTAGGTATGTATATTTCGAAAATATACAAACATGGCGTAGCTGCTTCCCAACATGACATGACCAGTATTAAGTATTATGCCCCATTTACAAAAAAAATAAGAGCTGTGTTTATTCAAGTTGCTAGGACCTTGGACTTATACCAAAAGTTAAAAAAATGGCCCTGCGGTTTACTCTTCCCCACTTTAAATTAAGTGTGGGTCAAGTCCACATGCAATGACAGACCTACAGGTGTCCGTGATGCTAGCGTACACACGATCAATATACGGTTTTTCGTTATGCCATTAAATAATGCGTAAATAGTGCCAAATTAGTGTAAAAATGAAAAAAATAGTGCCTTTTCAATTTAAGAAATAAAGACCATTTTTACTGTGTACGCTAGAATGATGTCAAGCTAGCGTACCCATGGCCGTCGTCCCCAAGAACAGCATATATTTAAGCAACTAAATTGACACACAAAAATAGTTTGCAAATAGTGCCCTGGTTTTACAAAATTTCATAATCAATACTCTTAAAGGACCAAAGATATTGAACTGAACATTCTTAGCTGGCGTCAACCTGGCGTACCCATAATAGTTCTCATAGAAAATGAGCTTATCTCGTTATCAATGCTATATGTATAAAAAGTGTGTCAAATAGTGCCTCTAACAGTAAAAGTATTTTATGTGTGACCACAAAAATTTACTATCTCGTTCTCTTTCGTACATAATCATCTCCCTATTCCATCCATAGGAAATGCCAGTACCTTAGCAGTGGGGAAATGAATAGGCTAATTAATAACTAGTAATATAATTTTAACGACGTCCACGGCTCGAGTTATATGTACGCCGGTTTTCAAGGTGTCGCCTACTCTGAGTTCGAATCCCGGTGGGGCAATTTTTTGTGTGACGAATACAAGCAACTTGTACATGTATAAGACATGGTTGTTTGTTTGTATTTCTAAATAAAAATATGTTTTACCATGTATCAGTATATGTATACTATCCGTTAGCCTAGTATCCCAAAACACAAGCCTTAAGGTGCTGTCCGACGGCCTGTGTTGTTTGGTGTGTGTGTGTTAGAATTTTTTAATTTATTTTAATATCGCATTACTGTACCTGTGCTAGGTATCGGCTGCGGATTTCCACGTGCGGGTGCCTTGGCGAGTATCGCGGCTGCTTCCGAACGCTCCACGCGAGTCGGGCAGTTTTCTACTGTCACGTTGGTCCTAATACACAAATTATAAGTTGCACATAAAGAAATACTAGTAGCCTTAGCACGAACCAATATCGAATTCGAATAGTTGAATTCGATATCGATACGCGTCAATAGCACAGCGGTGACACTCTGTGTACGTGAGAGTTCCAGCGTCAGTGACCTTGAGCAGGAGCGTGTATGTGCTAGGGTTGAACTTGGAATTTAGACTTGTGCCAATGAATATTTATGCATAGTAATTTATTAAATGTAAACTGATTCAAGGATACTGGGGTAAATAATGAAGGATAGGTTTGATTTTATAATCAATTTTTAATCTTTTAATGTAGTACTTATAATTCTTATTATTATCTAAATAATAATAAGATTGCGTAGCGTAGTCAGTCTGTGCGTGCAATGCAGTGCAACGCTATTATTTTACTATTTCGCTACTGCCATGCCTTCGGTCGAGGCAGTCGGCGACTGCCCTCTCCACGCCCCGCGCGCCGCGCAACGCCCCCGTGCACCTCCAGACACCCACACATAGCCGCGGTCGATTTTACGAGCACACATGCTTAAGTGTCGCTTCTTTTCGCGTAGTGTATATATTCTGTGTCAATAGCAAGAAGTTTTGTATGGAAAATCTGCGCCACAAGTCCAGCGTTGCCAAACGTCCCGATTTTGGCGAAACATCCCGGGTTTTTTATCAAAATTTAATGTCCTGCGCGGGACAGGCACATTCCCGCTTTTCGGGAATAACTCGACCGTGCATGCAGCGTACAGAGAAAGCGCAGGCGGGTGGCACAGACAAGTGTGGACTGGCCACCGGCACCGGCCTGGCGCGTAATGAAGATAAATATTCAATATCTTTTGATTATACACGTTTTTTACTATGTCCCGCTTTTTACACTCAAAAAGTTCTGAAATCCCGACTTGGCAAGAAAAACATCTGGCAACGCTGGCTACAACAGACGTAAAGCGAATTAAAAACCTTCCTCAAAAAACTTCTTGACATTTGACGCGTATCGATATCGAATTCAACTATCCGAACGAATTCGATATTGGTTCTCGTACTTATGCATCCGACAGAAAACGTTTCAAAATATTGTATGTATCGATCGATATTCACTTCCTTATTGTACCTACTTAGTAAACTTTTGCCACTTTACGAGTCAAGTTATAACAAGATTAGATTACAGTTATTAATGATCTCATCATTCAGTTAACTTATCGATATTGTAAAAAAGGGATTGTTACTCACTTGCAGATGTCGTTCGCATCGGTTACCTCGCCAGCAACCAGGCCGCGCCAGAACTCGTGCACCTATAAAATAATCTTCGGTATATGACGTATCTTTTTTTAATTAGAGGTGCTCGATGGCGCAGGTGGTTAGCGCGTTCGGCTGCGTTCGTTGAAGTTAAGCAACTTTCGCTGTGTTTGGTCATTGGATGGGTGACCAAAAATTTACTATCTCGAGCTCCTCTCGTCGTCTTCGTGCTTCGGAAGGCACGTTAAGCCGTTGGTCCCGGCTGCATCTGCAGTCGTTAGTACCCGCCAATCCGCACTGGGCCCGCGTGGTGGGTCAAGGCCCAAACTCCTTATTCCATCCATAGGGAAGGCCTGTGCCCCAGCAGTGGGGACATTAATAGGCTGATAATGATGATGATGATGATATGACGTAATTTTGGTAATAACAACAAATATTGGGACCGATACTGGCATGTTTCTCAACTATAAACTAAATTTAACAACGCTCTCTCCTTAAGCTCCACCTTACAGAAGAACAAAGTAAAAATAACACTACCTTTTGGTGGTGTTGTGTTTCTGTCGGCGAGTTAGTTCCAATACTGGTGCCTTGGAACCTTACTCACCTACGGGGTAGGGGATTGGGTCAGGGTAGGCAACGGCCCGAGTGCAAAAGGATCCCGTAGATTCCTTATGGAAGCTGGCTCTCGGCCAATTTTTCTGTAATTTTGGGAGATGATAGCTCATGACACGTGGAATAAAAGAAAAGAAAACCCAGAGACATCCTTGAATGGAATAGCTACATTGAAACTAGAATGAAATAAGCTTTTCCATGTTAGCTAAACCTCGCAGCTTACATGCATACATATATACATTTCGACTTTGACAAGCTATAATTCCTCATCTATAAACTTTTGGCCATTGGGCCCATGGTGTCTTTTATTCCACGTGTCATGAGCTATCATCTCCCAAAGTAACAGAAAAATTGGCCGAGAGCTAGCTCCCATAAGGATTCTGCGGGGTCCTTTGGTATCGCAAGCGTCTGCTATGGTGGCCGCTTAACATACAAGTACTTGTTTGCTACCCTGTTAACGTAAAAAACCGGCCAAGTGCGAGTCAGACTCGCGCACCGAGGTATATTTGTATAGCAACCTGTAGGTATATTTTAATAATTATTAAATAATATTTTTTATTATATGATGTAACTAAAAATTTACGGTTTTCGCAAATTTTTCTTTATCTGTACTATAAGATACTCTACGTTACTTCGTATCAAAGGAGATTGTTCAAATTGGCCCAAATGCACAAAATATATTGACATTTACGGTAATTCTTGGCGTAATTTATACTTTATTTTACAGTCATTAGATTTTAACGGGCACCTTTGTATAATATATTCATTTTAAAAAGGACTTTTAGTTTTACAGGAAAACATACGAATCATTTTAATGGCTATGGGTGTAGTAACATTCAGCCAAAGACTGATCGAAGTTGTATAAATAACATCAAAACAAATCTATTTTGTAAAGATATATAAAATAAAACTTTTTTTTTATTACACTGTGGTATTAATATCCACAACTATATTATCATTTTCACTAGATGCAAATGTGCTCAGACAATTATTATAGATGGTAGGCGACATCTTAAAGTCTATTGCCATACATTTTTCGCCAAACACCTCTATAAACACATTATAATCTGTATATCTGTATATATGTTAGACTTTAAGGTATCTATCTATGGGCCTACGTTCCCTGATTATAAATTAATAAATAAATAAAATTATAAGGTGTGATACACTAAAAATCTAAAATATGATTATCTTAAAAACATAACAAAAATAAAGAAGCTACTGAATATATGGCTATAAGAACCTAAATCTCTTAGCTTTCTTTGGTTAACGAGAGTTTAAAAATTCTCTCTAATCTGTGGCTCATTCACAATCATCACACAGTTTCTGTCACAGAGTACCTTATTATAACCGGAAATGACACCTGATTTTACTCTTAAGCATTAACTTTAAAAACAGGCAACTATCTGTTAGGGATGCAAAGTCTTTTGAAATATCGATATTTATATCGATATTTATATCGAAGTCAGGAAAATATCGATATCCGATATATCGACCATTTTAACTCGATATTATCGATATATCGATATTTTTTTCTTTTTTTTATTGACATTAGAATACGGGGTGAGTGTGTAACACATTCATATGTTTGTTGGCGAGTTTCTCGCAAAATGCATTGAGCCAGCTTTTTCGTTAAACACGCTTGATGAAATCGCGCCAAGCAGGATTTTTTTATTGGCTCGCACGGTTTATGTTTCAGCCACGACAGGAAACCAAAAAATTAAAATTATTATCCTGATCGGATCACTCACATTTATTAGCACGAATGCGCCTACCCGCATATGTGGGACGACATTTGCGAATTCCTTCGCTAAGTTTTCACTACATTCGTGCTTTTCCAAGCTATCTCGGTTTTTTAGCGCACATCAAATACGCAAATTGCTTAGTCTCCCAAACATCAGGGGCGTGCCCATGGCTTCAGAAAAGGGTAAGCCCAAAGCTTCCAAAATTACTATATAATCGATATAAATATCGATATTTTGGTCTCGATATTATCGATATTCCGATATATCGTTGCAACCCTACTATCTGTTAATCTACATGCTCTATATACCTGAATCTAATCTATAATTTCGGTACTTGGCTTGATTTCCCTAGTTTACTATATAACTTATTTGTTTTTTATTATTTTAATATGTTCAGTGTATATGGTTTATAGAAGTTCGCAGGGGTGTCTGTCAATAATATTCGTTTCTACAGTAATTAGGAATCAATTTTTCATGATTATTGGTCTTTCGGCCAAACATGTATGGAAGCTGAGCAATCTCCTTTCAAAATTGTAAGTTCACGGGGCGTATGTAGGTTTTGATTCCCGTGCGAGTTTCGAAAATTTGCGGCATAAATGGCTGTATCTTTTGATTGCTTATAAGTTTGATTTTTTCACAGCACAGGGACAGTAGACCTGAGTATAAGATATGAATTTCAGTTTGATACCTCCACGCGTTCCCGATAAAAACGATCTTGACAGACGGACAGACAACAAAGTGATCCTATAAGGGTTCCGTTTTTTACTTTCGAGGTACGGAACCCTTAAAAGGAATATCATTAACTCATCATTAGTATTTTTTTACATTAACCTACCAGAAGCGACAGCCATGTAATAAAAGTTTTAGTTTAAACATTTCTATAATGCTTATCTCAAAGTAATACAATATTAAAGAAGGCGCCAGCTAATAGGCTTGCCGCGCATAATGTTAAGTCTCAACGGGCAGGATTAAATATACACGAAAATTTCGTATATTATGGTGTGAGTACCAACACCAACCATTCTTTCCCTATTGTTTAGACATTAATAGTATTTATTGAGTATACAAACTCAATATATTAATTTGAATCAATTATTATTTGCCTTGACAGTGCAGCTGGGCTTTTGTGAAAGTTGTTTTGCCACCACAATTAGTTCAAATGCAATGCGCACCACGTCATCCATACATTTTTAAAAAATGGGAATGTAAATCTGTCTGTATGTTTCGCTTTCACACCTAAATCGTTGAACAAATTCCGGGTTCGTTTTGGATTGGTGATACAATGATTTTACTCAGAAGAAGACTACTTCGGTAACAGAAATTTATCGACGTTTAGTGTGTTAGCACTTGTTTTTTTAGAGTTCCGTACCTCAAAAGAAAAAAACGGATCACTTATACAAAAACTTTTTTGTCTGTCTGTCTGTCAAGACCTTATTTATCTCGAGAGCGCGTGGCGCAGGTGGTTAGCGCGTTCGGCTGCGATCGTTGACGTTAAGCAACTTTCGAAGTGGTCGGTCATTGGATGGGTGACCAAAAAATTACTATCTTGAGCTCCTCCGTGCTTCGGAAGGCACGTTAAGCCGTTGGTCCCGGCTGTATCTGCAGTCGTTAGCACTCGCCAATGGCAGGGCCCGCGTGTTGGGTCATGGCCCAATCTCTCTATTCCATCCATAGGGAAGGCTTGTGCCCCAGCAGTGGGGACATTAATAGGGTGATGATGATGACTCGCACTGTAGTCGCATGTGTCGCGAAGGTGTGAAAAAATCAAATTTCTAAGTTCATCAAAAAAGGATGCGGCCGTTTTTCTCTGTCTGTCAAGACCCTTTATTTCGGGAGTTCGTGGAGGTATCGAGTAGAAATTTTAATAAGCTTAAATCTGCGATCCCTTGAAACAGTAAAAAACCAAAATTTTAAATTAACGTAAAAAAAGATATGATTGTTTATGTTGCGTACCTACAAATTTGTACGGAACCCTCGGTGGGCGAGCCCAACTCGCACTTGTCAGGTTATTATTAACACATAGGTTTAATCATAAGTATATCCTAACTCACCTCATCGACGATTTTGTAGGCGAATTCTTTGTCCTTTGCTTCTCCTTCGAACGCGAACTTATTGATAGGTTTCCCGTCAGGAACCTTGTACAATCGGAACCACTCAACTGTGGCGCGTAAAAGACCAGGGAAATGAGTCTCCACGTCGGCAACGTCGTTCAGCCGTGAAGCATTAGAGTCGCGTGTGTCAATTGCTATCAACTTCCAATCTGTCTCGCCCTCATCAATAAGTGCTAATACTCCCAATATCTTTACTGGAACCACATCCCCCCGACCTGCTACTCGCTCTCCGATTTCTATGACATCGATAGGGTCGTTGTCTCCGCGTGCCTGCGTGGAGGGGTCAATGTGTTGAGGGTTTTCCCAAGTCTGTGGCAGAGCTCCATAGTTCCAGATGTAGCCGTGGTGTGGGAAAACGTTGCAGACGAACCGTAACGCGCCTTTCTTTACGTCCTGCCTGATGGGGTTGAGCTGCTCAGAAAGGCTGATTTCCATCTTGGCGTTACTCCAACGTGGGACCTCCACTACCATATTGACGACACGTTGTGCACGGTCCGCCCACAATGGAATGTCGTGAAGTGGTGAGATTGGACCACTTTCATCCTCTGTTGGCAACAAACCAATAAAAAATTGTTGAGTTTGTTTTTAAAAACAATTATAAAGAGATCCTGAAATTAATAAAAAATAATAAGGCATTAGGTACTACTAGCAAACCAGTGAACCAAATGTTCACCAAAACCTGATTTCTCGAAAACCGGAAGAGCTACGTTACTCAAATCCGGTTTGTAGTCTTATAGGACTATCCTTAACTTATAACTTAAACATTCTCTTTATCTATCTCTTACGGTTTGGCCGCTGAAACAGCACCACAGACGGACGGACGGACTTGTCTAATAGATAAGAGATTGTGTATTTGATTGTTAATATTGATACAAGTAAATCACTTTGTATATCTGGGTTTAGTGTGACTTAGGAAAATTTGGATTTTATATATCGGATTATGGCGTCAGATATAGAAAATATTATGGGTCCCGGACAGTTTAATCCGAAAATCGGTAATTGGAGTGAATAACAAGAGAGACTGCTTTGTGCATTAGACACCGCGGGAGTGACTGATGTGGCTGATGGATCCAAAATACCAAGATTCGGATCAGGCGCAGGTGTCTTCTCATTAGACCTTAACATCTATATATCCCTTGCCGTGCCCTTACAGGGCTCTTGTTTGCAACCTAACAATACTTGTAACACCTATGTATACAACAAGATGCAATAAATGAAAATGAATATGAATATCATCAGCAATGGGTAATCGCAGCTCAATATCCCAATGTGAATGCATAGATATTACTCAAGCCGCAACCGCTATTATTAACAGGAAAGTCACAAACTACAAGATACATATTGTAACGTGTTAAAGACGTCACATGGATCTCCTTCGCTCGAAGAGCGAGATAGAAGATTTTTTTGGTTGTCTCTCTGGTCGTTTTTTATCTCGCGCCCATTTTCTTTAATCTGTGCACTTTTGGGTAAGTGTGTTTCTGCCTTTATCGAGCAGTAGGCTGAATGGACATTGTTCTCTTTGCCTACCGCCAAGACAAACTAAGAAAAGAACTGTCACTTCACGACCAAAATTCTTACGAGGAACATGTGAAAATATAAATCGTAATTTTTATCATGATAATTCCTTAGATTGTCCATTATTTTTTAATGATGAAACATTTCACCTCATCTATACAAAATGGCGTTGACCATGTTTTAAGCTTAATTTAATTGAAAAACGCGAAAAGCGTTTTTTTTTTATTTGGATTTTATAATCAACTTTCAACATTTCCCATGATGAGAAAGTGAACAGTCCCGTGATGTAACAGCGACATCCATTTAATATTACAATTGACACCAGACATAGCCACTACACAGATGCAACAAGTTCGGTAACTTTCCAAATTCATTGTTGTACCGGAACCCATAAGGTAAAATTTTCATTTACATTTTAGTAGCCATAGTATAATAAGTTGTTTCTAAATTTAGCATTAACCCTTTTGGACTTAAGTAGTTTTGTAGTAAATTTAAATAAATCGACAACCCAAAATGAATATGGTTTTGCAATCAAGCCTTCTCTTGTGATTAATAGTCCTTTGCTTTCCCGGCTAATATGGTTTAATAATATGGTATGGGTCTGGCGCCCGAGTATTCTTCTTTTTTTCATTAATTTCGACCTATCCATTTAAAGTAAATTTCTCTCAAACTTTTTATTTTTTAAATATTACAATATAATATCTGATAGTATGGCTGTCCTAAGAGCCCTAGATAGCAAAACTTCTGGGCTAGTATATGAATGTCACCAAGCATTGGAGCGCATAGCAACAGATAACAAGGTTATCCTCCAATGGATCAAGGGACATAGGGGCTCTGTGGGTAATGACTAAGCCGACAAACTGGCAAGTAGGAGATCATCACAAAGAGTAGAAGGCCCTGATCCACTTCTACCATTACCCTTCAACCAAATTCGTACATAGGTGCACCAGAGAACCATATGGAGCCACAACACTCGTTGGGCTAATACTGAGGGCTGCAGGCAATCTAAGGATATTTTTCCTAGCCTCAACCCCAGATTAACTAGGAAACTATTAAATCTTAACCTAAGTGATCTCCGAATAATGCTGGGCACCATAACAGGGCACTGTCTACTTAACAAGCATTTACTAACCATATGTGTTACAGATAGCTCTCTGTGCAGATGATGTCTGGTAGCAGACAAAACGGCCGCTCATGTCATCCTGGAACGCACGAGTGTGGCTGTACACCGGGCATCAATTCTCAGGAAACCGAGGATGCTCCTAGAGGCCTGGGAGTCTCAGGAGACTACTGCGCTACTGGAAGGAGCTGGGCTGACTGTGCTAGCTAGCCCAACATACCCTGCACGCACAATAGACCATAGAGTACAGAGTCTTCGTGCGGATACAGGGGCCCACAACAAGTAACAAAGTTTCCTCTCAAGTATGTGCTAGTAACCAACATGCTCACAAGCAAATTGTCAGCAAATATTATACATATATTTTTATTAAAAAATATTTTATTATGTATCAAGTAAAGATGTTAATAAGTATGCAGTGCCTCTCACCGATGATGGCAAATGCACCAAAAAACTCAAAAGGTCTATAGATATCAGTGAGCTGGAAAACAGAAATTACCAACTTTGTGAAATAATGAGAGAACAGCTTCTTGATTAAAAAACCATCAGACACAGGTGTTTAATTAGTAGCCGCCATGATTTTGTCCATATTAACTTTGGTTTTAGAAGAAACCCACAGGAGCTTAACATTTTTAAGGGATGAAAAGTGTCCTATGCGTCAATCCAGGTCATAAACAATATATGTACCAAATGTCATCCAAATCTGTTCAGTAGTTTTTATGTGATTGAGTAACAAAGAAACAAACAATTACTCAGTTCCTGTAGCATGAGCACCTCAATTTACGTTATAACACATTCTTTATCGCATCTAACTGTCAAACTCTATAGTAATTTGACAATTGAGGGTAAAAAACGCGTTAAGTATCATATTGCGGTGCTCATGCTAGGGGGCCAGGATAGGCTATAAAGCAGGTACAATGTCAAGTATAGTGTAGGTAAAAATTGTCTATCCTATTCTGCTGATTCTACAATACTCTCAACTGATTATGTTGGTTATGTAGAGTCCTTTTCAAAGAAAAAATCCTGCATCAATTTATGTATGTAATCATCACCTAGAATAATCCTAAACTACAATGACTACAAAGTGTCAAACATTTGAAAGAAGAAATAGCAATGCAGTTACTAGATTTTATGCACTAAACTATTACATTTATAAATATAATGAAAATCTTATTAGAACAAATTTGGACGGAGTGGAATATTTTATAGTATCTTGTAGATTTATAAATCTAGGTAGATGTTTTATGGTAAAATAAAAAACATATTAACTACCTATATTTCTGTAAAAAATAACTCGGATTATGCTGTGCTAATTGGGTTCTTTTACTATACCAAATATAGCAAAAAAATAATAAAATATAACAAGCAAAACTTAGATTAATAATCAAGTTAGATGTAAGAAATCATAATTTAGAAGGGCTGTTCATAAAAATTAAATTAAAAATATGCTACAGCAGGCAGTTTATCAAATATAATGATTTGTATTTATCAATATGATATAATCTACTTAGAAGATTATATGATATTGAAATAAACAAATTCAAGGTCATATGCATTAACAGAATATTTCTGAGTACTATTTATGTGACTTTAATTATTAAATTATATAAAAATTCAATACATAAAAAGAGGTAATTTTAAAAATTCATGTTAATCTGAAATTATACAAAATAATGGTGAAAAACTCTGATGTTGCCTCATCTGCTGCAGATAGGGATATTGCCATATAATGTAGTATATTAGGGGATCAAATACTATATTTCTATAAAAATATATAGTAGGCGAACTAACTACTATATTCTGCTTAAAGCATATTTTAGACAGTAAAAGCTTTCTTCAAAATTATTATATTATTAGTAAGGCAAAGAGCAGCAAAAATATATTTATTTCAAAAATAAGGTAAATATTTTAACTACAAACTATATTTTTTCATTTTTTTTGCCAGCTACTATATTTTGAGAAGAAACCCTTCGAAAATACTATATTTGATAGATAAAAAGTTGGCAAGCCTAGCTGCAGATGCATTAGTTTACAAGCTCAGTTCAACTTATTCATAGAATTCAAAATCAATAGTTGGTATAGTGTGTCAATTTAATTGTATTTGAAGATGTTTAGGATCCTTTTGCTGTTATTTAAAAGTCAAAGCATGCCATTTATAAAAGGTTATATTTATAAGTTATAAACTTATATTCAAATAACCTCTAGTTTTAACGATATTCTTATCATAGGTTTTCATGACCAAAATATTGCAGTTACTGAGTGAGGTAAAAATTAATAAATAGACAGTTCACATTTTTCCTAGACCTCTGACCTTTACAGATAAGTGACGCAAGAGATACGAGTGCTAAAGTAAAGTGAGCCACTTGAAGAAAGCACACGTGCGGGCCTTGTGTACCCTTGAAGTGCTGATAAAATAGTAATAATCTATTCCAAACACTTACTGAAGAATACACGGTAGTCCGGAGCGTACGGTGAACCTCTTTCTTCCGCGATGTACATGTTGATAACAGCACAGTTCCTATTAGTTACTATTTTTGAACTGAGACACCGGGATTTTACCACACTGTTTCTACTTATACCACTACAACACGTCTGTTTCAAAGCTCTCAAACAAGCCGGAACCACAGCCGCAGCAACGCAACGTGTTAGTGACATTTTGCTAAAAAATTGACATTGATTGACGTATAGTATAGTCAATGTTGCCAATAGTAATAAACTTTGAAAAACTGCTTAGCAAAATTCAAATGCAGAGGAATCAAATGGCAGACACTGATACTGTGAGTGAATTCAGTAATAAGTGGACACCAGTCTTTTATTTATATTTTAACTGTTGCATTATATATATATATATAACATTTTCGATATATATGTATATATATATCTATTTATCGAAAATTTTATTTTCACCTAAGGTGAGACAATAAACTATTGTTTTAATTGTGGACAAACACTTGTTTCGTATTTAATATATAATAATAATAATAAAATAACTTTATTTCTCACCACAAATGACAAAAAAGGTTTACACAAAATCTTAGGCGAATTATATAATCATGTCGTCATTCGCAGAGATGTGATTTATTTGAAATACTTCTATTTTAAATGCAAATAGAAAATGCAAAATACCTATTTTATATTTTGTATTTAAATACCTTTCAGTGAAAAGTATTTTGTATTTTATTTGAAATGCCTTTCGAGATGCATTTTGTATTTTGACGTGACAACGTCTTAAATTAGGTTGCGGCTGGGAGTCACTTATGAAAAAGTGTAACGCTCGGTAACGTTACGATGAGTCTCTCGTGTTAAGTTTAAGTTTACATGTACAATGTTTTAGTAAACAAAATATATTTCTATAGTTAAAATTTGTGCAATTCTTATTTTCATTCAATTCCTTGTTCCTATTGTGCAATTTAATTATATTCATATCAATAAATATTCTACCGAGAAAAAGACGTTGTCACGTAAAATCTTCGCCCGTAAAACCGACTTTACAGGCAACCATTTTTTTAATATTAATCTCAAAATGCAAAATACTTTCGTGATTAAGTTTAGCCAACATTACCAGTCAAACAAAACAAAACGCTTGTATTGCCGAATTCGACCGATAGAGGCGCCTGCTAACCATGCGCGACATTTTTTTCTTCTTTGGTCAAAGTGCGCGCCTTATGTCAAGTAATGTCTGACAAGTGTCAATTTCTAACGAAAACGGCGAACATTATCTATGGCTATGAATTTATGGATATGAAACGCATAGCCGTTGACACCGACGATTTGATTTCACGACGAGTTTAATATTTTCTGGTGCTAGTGAAGTAGTTACTGATTTGATTACCTACTTCTCTGATATTGAAGTGTTGTTATTATTTCTATAATACTGAAACGGTTATGCACTATACCTGGAACGGTTACGTACTACAAGATAATTTAGATAATCTAAATAGACGTGACTTGGTGGATTTGGCTGGTGTCTAACAATTTCTACCTGAAGTCTGTCCAGTTTATTGCGCACCGTTAATTGAAATAATAAAGGAAAGTATTCAAAATCGTTTCGAAAAATTTGATTTAGATAACCCAAGATCCAAGGACAGCATTCTGGCAGCAATATCGTATCCATTTTTCAAATTAAAGTGGGTGCCTAAAAATAAGGAGCATCTTAGGGAGCTGTTTATCCAGGAAGTCAGGAAATTTAAAAATGAAAATTTAAAAAGCTGCCTCTATCACAGACATCGGAAAGAAAAAGAGAAAACAGTGAGTCTTATTACATGTTCCAGGATTCAGATTACTCGGCAACCAGTGAGGGTGGTAGTGCTAATAATACTACAATAGATCTGGAAAGCCTGCAATATTTAAAGGATGAGAGCACAAGTCTGGAGATGCTAAATGCTTATCCTACAGTAAAAAAAGTATTTTTTAAATACAACACATCCTTACCAAGTTCAGCACCAGTAGAAAGACTTTTTTCGTATGGTGGGATGATAATGAGACCTCACAGAAGAAAAATGAGTGATGATGTATTCGAACAACTGGTATTGTTAAAAAGCGTAATAAATAAACAATGATATTTATTTTTATCACTTTTTAACAATACCAGTCCAGTTCCAGTTGTTATTAGTTTTAATAAGAAAAGTGTAATCATATGTAATATGTTATTAGACGTTTGTTTTTCGGCTCGGCATTGTGTGTCTCTATTGCTCATGTATGATAAGTAAATATGTACCTATAATAAATAAAAATATCTGTGATTTGGTCAGGGGGTATTTTATTTTGAAAAAGTATTTTGAAAATACCTATTTTGCATTTAGCATTTGAAATACAAAACGCAAAACTATTTAGTATTTTGCATTTGAAATAGTAAATCTGAAAAGTATTTTGCATTTTGTATTTAAATGCTTTTTTAAAACCATTTTGTACATCTCTGGTCATTCGTGGGAGACTGGTGCCCGTGTAGGTTCATAGACCCGTGTTACAGGTCACCAGGCCCCCTTTGTTTACAGAAAACATTACACCTTGACAATGATACTCTAAGGGTTTGTATGGTAAGCATCGACTAATTATGGGCAGTTTGTGTTAATAAGAGAGTGTGTGTATGTAGGTATGCGTGTGAGTATGAGTGTGTGTGTGTGTGTGTGTGTGTGTGTATGTGTGTGTGTGTGTGTGTGTGGGGAGTAAATATTATTGTATTATGATAAAATCTGCAACAATTGTTCAGCTTCTGTATAAGTAAGTGCCTGTAGGTATTTTACAAGTTTTCCCTTACACGACCACGAACCACTTCTATAGAAATCTAATTTTCTATTGAGTTTGTTGTAAAGAAAGGGTCCCAAGAAAGGCAAAAATCTCTTAGAGAAAGCTGTTTTGCAGAAAACTGTACCAGCAACAAAATAGCTACGGTGACGTTTATTGGTATCAGATGTGACTTTTGTCACTTTGTGCTGTCTTAAGACAATATGCAAGACGAAGAGTTGACGGACCGTGAGAACGCCACTGAGTCCGTATAAATCTATGGTGGGGTAGAGATAAGGTTTAGAGTGGATGAATTTTAAAAGACACCTCTGCGTCCACTCCAATTCGATAAGACAGGTCTTAGCTGTACCACCCCAAACCTCAATCCCGTACGTTATCAATGATTGACACAGGGCATAATAAGCCATCTTAAGAGTATCCCTATCAGCAGCATGGCGTAATTTTTTAAAAACGAATATTAATTTACGTATTCTGCCACATAGAGTCTGTACGTGAGAGTAGAAACTTAAATTGCTGTCGAAGAGTATGCCGAGATATTTAATACTTTCTGCTCTCTAAAAAAATAAGTTCATAATAAAATATTAATTTGTAGCAGTAATTGTATTACCAACAATTTTGCAATTACACTAATTGAACATTTTTTTCTTTTAAGGTAATTTACTTTTCGTGATTAACGGATTAGTTATCAAATTAGTGACAAATTTTTAGAAAAAATATTTTTCTCTGTTGTTTTATGTACCTAATGGTAAAACAAGAATCATCGAAATCGATCTCGGATATATGCGCGAACCACAATAAAACGATTTTCGACAAAAAAAAATACCTTTTAAAAGCCAAAAATCCAAAACATCATCGACTAACTAAGTACGCCATGCCAGGAGTAATAGGCTAGTTGACCCTTTTTGGAAAAAGGTTTTAAATGGTTAATAAATGTTCTATTAGACCGAAAAAAAATGTATTGTATTTTTTTTAAACCTAGAAAGCTATAAATCTTTAATTTTAAAATAGACTTTTCATGGACATACAAAAACGCTGTCGGCCATTTTAGTCTATAGATTATCTATGCTATGACGTGAACTCTGGTAAACAAAAACTCGTAAACACGTAGAAAATTACTTAAAACTGAGTTTATAATAAAAAAAACATGATTTCTAATAAATACCACGAAAAATAAAGTAATTATCATTACTGTATTGTACGAGAATATAAAAACACATCCTTGAAGACTCCAGGAAAGTTGTGGATTAAAGTGCCGAAAGAAATTAACCTACGCAACTTTATTACACTTATTCATATGTTGTATCAGTTTTATGTTTATTACTACACTGTAATACTAAATGCACTGTACTTACATAGATGCCTTGTCGTTTCTCTGCTCCGCAGAGCAGAAATCGGGGTTTAGTGCAACAAATTCACCAACCATCAATGCTTCAATTCTTGGCAGATTTGTGCTTTCTGCTTTCACAAAACCGGCATCCATAATTAGTTTTGTCAAAAAAAACTAAGTTTACTGTTTTTTTCTTTCCTAAAGTTAAAAGTGTTTTAAGATAAATTTAGTCAGACGAAAGAATCCACCTACAGTAACACGCGAATGACATTTAATTGTTTACCACAAGAGACGTCAAAATCATGGCGGATGTGGCGAACAGCGTTTTTAGTGTTTAAAAAATATAGACGAAAAAATATTTTTTTAAATTAAATTTCTACAGCAATCTTCTGCTTTTATGAAGTGAAATCGATATATTTAGGTTCCTTAGACCAAATACTTTAAGAAATAAACATTTATTTAATACAATTCGACATGAGTAAACTAGCCTATTATTATTTGCTTATAGGTGGAATAAAAAAAAAACTATATTCTGGACAACAGCATCCCATATCACCCATTAAAAATCAAACAATCAATGAACATTAAATTAATTTACAAATAATCATCATCAATAATAAATAAATTACCTGTGAAATGCATTACCAGTTTTTATATTTCTTAGAATAACGAAACAGAATATATATACTGCTTGTTATTCAAGAGTTTTCTCGTTTTGTCTCCCAAAGTACTCAACAGATCTTCACCTAATTAATATGGGACCATCTCACCAAAAAACTGATTTAAACAGAAAACCAGGCCGAGCGCGAGTCTAGTATCAGTCTATTATAGTTCTGTGCAGTGATTATCCTGTTATTGAAGCTACCCAAATCACTGAGTTATGAAATAGTGTGTTTCCGAGCTCTAGCGCGGTATATTGCGAACTGCGATGTTGTGATACCGCGGAAGGAAAAATCGTACGTACGTACAAGTACGTCATGAATCGACGTTTTTTGCATTTGTTGTTTAAATACAGATTTTGAAATTGAAGTTTTAGGTGTGTGATGTGGTGTGAAGGCACATACCAAACTTTTCCATTCTTAACTAGTTTCGATTTTGAGATAGACCACGTAGCAAAAATGGTTTAAAATGTCAATTTTCACGGCTAACCTTTTCTAAGGTTCCTGCTCCGGACAGGGACAGTTGAGTTGAACTGACAAGTGTGATCTGGCATTATAATTTCGAACCCCATCCTG